TCCTGTGTTGTAATGTCGTTTTACAAACATAAATTTCACGCAGACAAATACCCAGATGCGAAACAACTATTTGTGGGTCACACAAATAGTTATCCCGTGTGGGAATCGAACCCACGACCCCTGACGCCGAAGCCAATACCTTGGCAACTGCACCACGGAGTCATCGTCAGTCGGAGTCATTTCTCAGGAATACGTTGACAATAGCCGAAAAAGTTTGTCTGAAGAGTCTAGTCGAATCTTTGTTACACAGGGTCGACTAAACTTAGTCCAATATATCAACCATATATAAACCACAAAAACACGAAAGAGAAAAAACGCAGATTAACTCTCCATTCACACAAAACGCAAATTCTCCATTTGTCGTAACTCCTCATTTATGAGAACACTGTCTTGTATGCCACAGCAAGTATAATACTTGGCATCGACATTTTGTACAGCTCCGCGGTCAATTGGAACGTAAGGCCAAATTGGCCTCAAAGTATTTTGGTATGCTTAGCACGGCTATACAGTTCTGCCTGTTCGAACCACATTTCCATAAAAAAATATTAGGTACTAACCTCACCTGGGTAAGATCCTCATATTATGTGAATTATATTGTAAGTGTTTTGGTTATGCTTTTTACGACCGGTCGCCTGCCTATCCTTAGGAAGAACCAACCAGATCCGGAGCAATATTTGTGAATCACAGCAACAAATACATTTCCCGTGCGTAGATCGAATCCAAAAGTCTCGGCACCGAAGCTTAACAAGTCCGCCTCTGAGTCATCATTCAGAATAATTATTCTAACAACAATAATTAAATTGTAAAATAAAATCTCGAATATAATCAATCACGAAAGATTAATTTATTCGACGGATAGTTTCAGAGAATAGCGCGTCCAAAGAAATAAACTCTTCAGCTTTATCATATTAACTATCGGGTGTAAGCTCCTTGCCGACACCTCTATATTATCACGTTTGAAAGTTGTTGCCCTGAATTGTGTTGCCTGAAGTTGCAATCTTTTTCGAAAAATGAATATACATATTATACAGGGAGGCTTTTCGAAAGGTGCCCTACATATATATATATATATATATATATATATATATGTGTGTGTGTGTGTGTGTGTGTGTGTTTTCTGATTGGTCGGTTTTTTTTATATTAGAACGGGTCCGAGATTCATAGTACCTATTTCTTTGAATTTTTAAAATTTCATTTTAAAACGCATTCTGGTAACTTTGTAGAAAGTGATAATTTGACATAATATGTAGACTATTAAACGTCTGAGACACGACGGTTGTAAACAAAATGTTTTGTGATAATATGAATTAATGAAAGAAACTTATAATACCGTCACTTTGTTTCCCGTATGAATTTTATAAAAATGAGATCTTACTTTGGGTACGCTTACATTCAATTGAGATATATATAGTAGAAGAGAATATCTTCAGTAAACCTATATTAGTACGATAATCGTTTCACTATGAATTGCACAATCAACCAAGCCATGAACCATGTTACTTAAAGATTATATATAAGCCCGTAACAAATACTTGTAAATATTAAGTATATACATTTTTAATGATTTATAATTAAATACAAACTTGTAAAAGTTTCAGACCAAAATGTTTGTGTTGCAAAAACTGTTCAAAATGTCAAGATTTTATAAAATTAATTTCGGAAAATGGTATCGATATCTATGTTTATACAAAGGCTTCCAAAACTGTAAGTTAAAACAGGTACTTTCTTATATTATAGTGGCTACTTACTATCTTACCGTAAATACAGTTCGAAGATTTACCCCCGATGCAATGAAAGAGAGTGAAGACTATTGTAAAATAATTACACCTACGTGTTTACCAATGCTTGGCGCATCTATTATTTGCTTCAAATGCTTCAAATGCTAAATAACAATGTAGAAAGAAGGCGTTAAGAGTTTCGTCGCTGAGGCTATCAGCCGTTTAGCTCAGTGGCTAGAGCGACGGGCCGCGAATACCGCAGACGTGGGTTCAATTCCCACAGCGGCGACAGTCTTTTCGTACTTTTTCTACATGTTTTAATGTATTCTAATATTAGCAGATTTCGTTAGCAGCGATTATTACCGCAGGATAAGATCCATAACCTCATATAATCGTCAGCCACTCCCTGCATATACATAGACACTTTTTGTGTCCAGTCGCTCCTATTTGACACATACCAATCGCCAGGTGAAAAGTGTTCGGTGTTACCTACACCGAACACTTTTCACTTCAGACCCACAGATTCACTGGAGACCAAAATTCGCTAGTTTAAACAACTTTAACAAATTTTCTTTCCATTGTACGGAATTGCGCAAACGGATGAGTTGCATTTGGTTTCCGTATCCTGGGTGCGAATACAAGTCACGTAATCTTTTATTCTTTTATTTATTTTCATGATAATTCTTTAGCAGTAATATTTATAAATTGATTTCGATTATCAAGAAAAGGAGCATGTATCAAGAACTGACGAAATCAATTAATCTTAAAACTTTTAAAGCAAAGGCGATCTTTCTTTACAAATGTTCATCGTTGAATGTTTTTTGTAAGATATTACATAACATATGCATGCGCTATGCGCCAAGCATAGCTAAAAATACAATAGATTAGAGGAACGTAAATTGGTGTCGAGATTTCGCGCTGTGAGGTCATCGCCGGCTTTGATTAGTTGGTAAAGCGTCTGGGCGCGATACCCGAAGACGCAGGTTCGAATCCCCAAGTGCTGAAACGTTTTTTTCATTTATTTGCCATAAATAACATTTTAATAGTTAAAGATAAGTAATTGTTATCAATGAACCAAAAAAGAGGTAATAAAAAATAGCCCCGTTTATTTAATTATTTTAAATTACTGATATTACTTTTGTGGAGATTTATTCATACAGGGAGGTTTTTCTAAGTGTATCCATTTTTTTAATTAAATTCTAGACATAAATAATGTTATATAAAAATTATAAATATTTAAAATCACTCTTAAGTAATTAATTACATTCATTTGAAATGATCTGAAAAAGTGAGTGATTTATAGGTACGCAACTCGTTTATTTTACGCGCGATCATTCATAACTAACACGCACCAAGTTCGTTTCAAAAGTATATGACGCATAAATGTCGACACCTATCTATCTACACACCTATCCTACATTGTGACACGCACACAACTACAGTTTTTTACTACACGCGTATCATAGCATAGCACAAGTAAGTTTATTAAGAATTTTCCTTCATACTTAGAACTAAGGTCTGTATTTTAGGGAATAGAATGGCATTTTTTTTTTAAAGTTTGTTTTTATTTCAATAAACGATTATATTACCGAGTCTGAACCTCCTGTGTAAATTTGGGCACCTTTCGAAAAGCCTCCCAGTATAATACAGCGTGTCTTTATAATTGCGACAATAAATGAACACACATATAGAGGATAACTTTTTAAAATTGTATTAAAGATTTACATTCTTTAAACATCAATATTTACCGAGTTATCAAATTTTCCAAAACAAAGAATGTTAGAACACCCTTACGTATAAAACTGTAATGTAAAGTTCATTTGTAAAGGTCACAAAGCATATGAATGGGTTGAATGAATTTAAAAGAGACAAAACACACTATTAGAAGGAGAGGCTTGTAATGCGACGCTGTGGCAACGAATGAAAAAGTCTCTGAATATATGAATCAGTCAGTTGTAGTTGTATAGGTGTTACAAATTTTGTTTCTATTTTACTTAATTACTTTGTTTGATAAATATTTTTTTTAATTATGTATTTTTTTAACGGTAATATTTTTTTATGATTATTGGCAAGTAGCTTTAGATGTGTGGTTATTTATTGTCGCGGTGGTATAGACACGCTGTATATATTTATATTCATATATTATGTTTTTTTATTAGAATTTCTAACAAAACCTTATTCCTTTTTCTCCGGTAATTCTATCCGAATACTCAGTCTATTCTAATACGGCAACAAACAATTATTTAAAATAAATATGTAGAGATGGACCGCCTTTTTATAATTTTTTTTCATTTAAATCCTAGAAATTACATAAGTAATTACATAAGTAATTTCTAGGATTTAAAATGAAAAACGTTTACATTTTCGCGGGCCGTATAAATGATGCAGCTCACGTATTCACTACGACAGAAAGAGAAATCGCTTATCAATATACAGCGTGTCGTTACCATCGCGACAATAAATGAACACACATAAAGGGGATAATTTTTTAAAGTTGTATTAAACATTTAAATTCTTTAAACATCAATATTTACAGAGTTATTAAATTTTCCAAAACAAAGAATTTTAGAACACCCTCACCTAAAAAAGCGTAACGTAAAGTTCATTTGTAAAGGTCACAAAGCATATGAATGAGTTGAATGAATTTAAAAGAGACAAAACATACTGTTAGAAGGAGAGGCTTGTTATACGACGCTGTGGCGCGAGTTTTATAGGGTGTTACAAATTTTTTCTTTTTTAATTAATTTGTTTGTTTGAAAAATATTTTTTTTTAATTATGGATTTTGTTTAACGTTAATGTTTTTTTATGATTATTGGCACTTAACGTTAGACGTGTGTTCATTTATTGTCGCGATGGTAACGACACGCTGTATAACATTACAGGTCAATTTTTTAATTAACTTCATTTTAAGTACAAGTTTTTTATGTTAATCATAAAAAAAATTTCAGATTTTCAATGGAGATTATTCAGAAGAAATTAAAGGTTTTGTATTCAATAATATGCAAGATATTCCAATAAATACAAACGATTTAATATCAAAAATTGGTAAAGTCGTTTCAAGTTTTTATAAGTGTGTAATTTTAAAAGAAATATCTTGGCATGTGTATCTTCTTTTAGAGTCAAGTGAGTTTAACTGCCCACGTTGTAAAGCTGTTCTTTTACGTGTCAGCAATATATTAAAAGAAAAATCTTTTCGGAAAAATGAAGTTGTAGTTATTTGTGCATCTTGTATAAGCAGGTGCATAAGTAATGGACAACAACAGTGTAAATTTTGTAACATAATGTATGACAAATTTATAGCCAATACAAAACTACAAGATTGGACAACAAATGTTGATAAATGGTCCTCTAATACGCAGCATACATTGAGTAATAAAAGGTACCTAAATATTTAAGTCAACGAGCTTTAATTGATAATGAAAATAGGTAACTTATTTTTCATGTACGCTTTTCTATCAGAGAAACACGGGATAGACTGCCTATAAAAGAAGAAGCTCGGTATTTAAAGCCACCGGTGTCACGTTCACCTCAAAATTTACTAGCAAATAATGTTGATGTGAAGTAAGTGTTAAATTAAGTTATCACAAGTACGGCAAATGTAATTTATCTTAAAATAAACCCTGAAGTATTGCTTCATCTGAGAGACATAGACACATATGGTTTTATAAAAATTACTAATTGTTTACCAGAAATGTAAAACAATTAGTAATTTTTTATTCCTATAAGCTTTTATAAACATGGCATGTACATCATGTACATTTTAAAAATTACAATTTTGTTAAAGTTACTACTACGTATTGTAAAGATATCTTTTCGTAAAAATTATTTCTTTTTTTATCTTTAAAAATAATCATTATTTTTAATTTTAGGAATGAATTTGACATGGAAATAACGAGTGATGGGCAGGTCATAACTAATGATTATTTACCTAAGCAACACCCTGAAACACTCTATTCCTCGGTACCAATTACTGACCTTTTAATAAGAGATGAAACTAAAGAAGATTTCATTTATATTTTTCCGACGATAAGTATTGAAAAACAGGACTTAAAGGATCATGTCAGTTCAAGTCAACTACTTAAAGAAATCGAAGAAAACATAGACAAAGATAAAGGAGATGACCACACAAAAAAGAAAAGATCCGAGGAGAATAAAACAGAAGAACAAAGAACAGAAGACATAGAAATTATGAAGTTTAAAAAAAATAAAATAGGGAGGAAAAATAAACAGGTACATGTTGTTGAAGAACAGTTAATATCGCCATCTACCATCATGAGTAAAACACCTGACGTACACCGTAGACCGTTTGAAGAAAAGATGGACAACGGCTTTGAACAAATTAAATATAAAATAACGGAGACACATATTGATGACAACGAAGGATTACAAACAAAAATTCAAAGAAAAGAAAAATCGCATTCTAAAGGTTCTAGTTTTGAAAAAAAAGCAAATTCACTTAAACAGATTAGAAATATTAAAGAAAGTGGAGATAGTTTTATAGATATGTCAAAAATACTCCTGAAGAAACATAAAGAAGAAAAACAAGAATTATTATCATATCGGAAAAAAAATAGGAAAAAAAGTAGCAAATTATCTTTTACCGATTCTCAAAGTCCAACTAAAGTACATCAATTAAATAGACCAAAAGAATCAAATTTACCGACTAAATTACAACAATACGAATTAACAAAATTTGGTAAATCAGAACAAGAAGAGGGTAAAAAAGAGAAAAAATCTAATATTGAAATGAATAATAATTCTGCAACCACAGAAAAAGTTAAGAAAGAGAAGAAATCAAATCTTGAAAACAATAATAAAACTGCTACCGATGAACACTTAGAACTAAGTCGTGTGAAGGTTAGAAAAGCTTCTGTTGACAATTTCCATATGGAATTGGTAAAAATCAAACAATCCCCAGTTGCCAGGGAAAAAGACAAAAAATCAACTCTGCAGTCAGACTTGAAGATTACACCAATTATCGTTCAAAAATATAAGAATCACGAAAGTCGCAAGGTACCGTCTGTTATAATTTCCGGGGAATCAGAATTAGAGATTGAAGTATACGATTCATTACAAAAAGGCAAATTAAATGAAGTAAGTGAAGTTATAATTGGCCAAAACATTGTAAAACATAGAATGCCGTACTTGGATAAAATTGCCAAAAAAGATGTTCGGCCTATTTTATTTGAATCAACTTTTAAAGAATTTGATACAGAAGTTACACAAATGAAACCTTGTCAAGAAGAAGAAAAAATATCTTCAGTGTTGGAACCTAAATCACAATCACTACAAAAATTTGTAAGTTAGTTAACAATTATCTTTGTGCTACTTATTTTAATACCATCTACGACTTTTTTTTATTTAGATACATAACTGCTCTATAAGTTAGTACATTTCAAGACGACTGTTTTTTGTCAGTGCCATAGAAAGCAAAAGCCTGGTAAAAGTTTTCTACTCTTAAAACGCTCACAAGATTTTCATAACCTCCAATGTGAATATAATGTTGGTTTGATGATACAGAAAATGTAATATTAATAAAAGATAATGTTAATTTGAATTAATGTCGTAATGTAAGATGTTGAAGCAAATATCGGGTTTAGGGCTATTTAGCCTTAATAGTTCTTATACACTATAATGAAACTGTTTCTAAACTTTTAAAGCATACACGATTACCATACTTTCTTAAGTACGTAGAGGGGAGAGACCAAAAGCAAAATGCACATCAAAGCAATCTTATAAATAATACTAATTATTTTTATACGTTATAGATTTAAGATATATTATCACATTAATATTTATGTATGTAAATGGGGTTGAACTCTCACAATTTTTCTTGAATATATACATACTGTTTCCAAATACGATGGTTTTTGACAATTTTGATGTGTCAAGTCAAATTTGTGTCGAGTTTTTTTGGAATATGTCCCTTTATCACGTTTTCGATCTGTTAATTTAAACTTTGTTATTAATTTACAAAAATGTCTAAAAGTAAAAAATCTGACACTACTGTGAGTAAATTTTAAATTAGGTAAATGTAAATAACTTTAACTCCGGCGTAATTCAAATCAAATAAATTTTAAACGATAGAGAAAAATCACTTATGAATTTATCAACAGAAAACTATAAGCGACCTCCGAATTCTGCTTGTTGATTAATTCATTAGAGATTTATCTCTATCGTTTAAAATTTATTTTATTTAAATTACGCCGGAGTTAAAGTTATTTACATTTACCTTAAATTAAAATGTTTATTCCGAAGACCAAATTTTAAGTGCTTGAAATAAACAATACATTTCAGACTGACCAAGACGCTGCCAGAGGTGCTGTACATTATTCTTTATCGAATCGGTCATTTATTGATAAGGGCTGGACTATGCTACCGACGGAGAAAATAGTACGAAAGGTGCGTAAATATTTATCCATGCGCTTTTTTTCTTTTTGGACACAGCATGCGGCATGTAATTACGACTGAATGCGGCTAATTACGACTGAATGCGGCTTCTGGTTCTTTCTGTATACTGAGTAACTGCTTTAGCCTGCATTATTATGGTGAGCAGGGCATATTTTATTCACAGCTATTCTGACACATGTAAAATGTTTTTTTACTTAGGAAATTTGACGTAAGAAAGAGAAAGACCCCTCTGACTTCAATTTTCTAAAGTTTTCAATATAGAACCGAAACTACCAAAACTTTTCCAAATTTGAAAAAGCTTGCATATAAAGACCCCATGTTAAAACAATACATACCCCTAAAATTCAAATCTATATCCAAAGTTAAAAGACGTGACAAAAGAGCTAGTCGTTATTACATACTCGTTTCGAATGTGAGTTTACGCAGCGTTTAGTAAGTTTTTATAGGAAATCCTACCAAAAGAAAGAAATCTGATGAAGAAATGATAAGTTGAAATCTTAGTAATTATTATTTTTATATCAGTTAAACGTTTATCGCATGCGACCATCACATCCTGAATTCGATTGGTTTGAAAATAATAAAAGTAAAAAGGTCATGCATTATGACACTGGTGAAATATTGGCTGAATTCGACGAAGATGGGAGAGGCCGTTGGTTTTATAGAAATGGCAGAATAGCTCTGGCCTACTACGACGCCGAAGGTGACTTTCTTTATTCTTTGAATAAATTTATATATAAATAAAAATTAATACAATTATATTTAATAGAATATTCTACAATTTTTGAGCTGAATCAGTTTGAATCACTCTTAAAAAACAGGCGTTTCCAATAAGTCACATTCATTATTTTGTTGGTGGGTGGCGTCAAATTTTATGTAACATTTGCACCGTGAACAATTTTTCATCGGGGTCATATATTTTCCAATTTGAAACTACGAAGCTAAAGCATTGTTAAAGCAAACATTTCTGGCTTTGTATAAGCAGTTACGATTTATAAAAATGACGCCTATGATGAACAAAACGACAATTAAAAAGGAAAAAGAACGCAACTATAAATTTTTAAAGTTTTAAGTAGCAGTCAATTTATAATTTTATCAACATTATTTTGGTTCACGATATTCTTATTATATCGTGTAATTTAAAATTTTTTCAACAAGTTATTTTCCTACGTTACTTTTTAGAAGTTAATGCCGGACAGCGTTACGTTGTATATAGTAATGGAGAACCTGACGACAAGGGGCGTGCTCGTCCAATAACGGTGCTAGCAACATTTGACTATCTTGGAAATGGAATTGTTTTTGATCACACTGGTAAAATAAGGTAAATTGTTTTATGGCTGAAATATCTCTGAATTCTAAAGTTATTTTTATTTCTTATCACATATTTTTTTTGCTTTTTGCCGCTAGTGTTAGTTTTACTACATCCAAGAGTTTGTTATAAGAAAAACTTATAAATATTTTGAATTACTTATATGTTAAAGTCTTGCATTTAAAGACTATATAAGACGAGTCAGTGGCATAAGATATTTTGGATTAAGATAAGACAATACATTTTAGGCTTAAATACAATCAAACAGAGGGCGTGGTCTTGGATAAAGATATAGGCCCAGTGTCACACTGGAAATGGCACGAATTAAATGACCCTCCCGTACTGCAAAAAGTTATGATAGATACTCAAATGGCTGTTAAAGATGCCGAAATTTTAAAACTTGGAGGAAATGAAGGGAAGATTCCTCGAGTGGATACCGAAGAAATGCTTGCAATAGAGTTTGATAATTTCATTAAAGAGAAAAGTAAAAAATTGTCACAAAAGTTCAAGCCGTTCCAAATTAAAATGAAAGCCTTGAAAATTAATGAAAATTTCTCGTTGAGAGTATTAGATCAAGCCACTGTATACCTTAACTTTAGAGACGGTCCAACAAATTTGAAGTTAAACTTGGGTATGATTTTGGATCACAAAGAAATTGTGGACACAGATACAGCGGAAGTTGGGGAAGTCACTTGCAATTTGGAACGATTCCCAGCGCGTACGGACAGTTTGGCAATGCTACAACGTAGCGTCGCCCACGCTCAACACGTTGAAAGGTTAAGGTTAGAACGTGAACGTCGGTTCAGGCTTTCCGAAGTTAAACCGAGTGTCGACCGCATAACTGCAGCAATTTCCCGTCCACTAAAGCCTCCTGTGAACACTGTGCCTGAAACTGAATGTATGTGCAACAAAAGAAAACGGACTATGTGCGAATATGACTAATAAACCTATGTATGTCATAATTATCTTTTTAAAATCCGCTGGGGCAAAAATCGAAGCCATAACATACTACCAACAATGGTATTACTTACGGCTTTATATGACAAATGTAAAATCTTAATAACTTATATTTACATATTTATATATGGTATTTACTCGAGACAATCTTGTTTTTCGTATTTATTTTTTAGTTGAATATATTCTTTAGATGATTTTAAAATTGTTACTTTTTTATGTGCTGTATTTATATTTTAAATTTTTGGTATGTTATTGTAGCTTCTTTTCTTTGATTCATTACAAAGTTTGTTTAAATTTGAAAGTGATGTTTTCTAAAATATATCCTTTTGGGTTTTTACTGTAAATATTTTGATTGTTAAGTATTAAAGAGATTTTTGAAGTTGGTACAATATTATTTCACCCTTTTTTCGTTTAATAATCAGCGCAACATTGGGCGGTAATGATATTTTACACTACAGATTTGTTGCGCCCAGTGAAGCCAGTGGCAAACTCAAAGAAGCAGCAAATAAGTTTAGAACGGGGACGCGAAAGATGGATGATGCGTTAACTTAAATTAATAGTGGTTAAATATCAAAATTTATCGATGAAAAGTGATCTTGGTGATATAATACGGTTTTCCCACATAATTGCGACACAATTAGAAAGTACAAACCGACATAATTAATTATTTTTCGTAAGCACGTTATCCATTTATGCGTTTCATTTGGCATTTACTTATTAATATAACAGGAAGCCTTCGCCCAGCTGTGGGATATGTATAGGCTAGTACTCTATTATGGTAACATTAATTGTGTCTTTCTTTCAATATGTTTGTGTATAATGAAAATTATTTGAAGTAAAGTAAAAAAAAACAAAACTCGTATTTCATATCTGTTGAAAAACAATCTAGAATATATTTAGTTAAAATGTAAGCAAGAAGTCATCGGAGACTCCACCGAACGAATGACGAACGAAACGAACGAACCGACGAAAAAGCAAATGTTCGCTGCTTCGATCTATCAGAGAGACTAAAAAGGCAGTGGCGGGAGAAAAACGCTGCCACCTGTGCTTTTGACTAATTTCTGGTTGATGCCATGTTGCACCTTAAACCACGTCAGGGTGTACCACATCCATAGAGAATTTAAAGAGCGGATACAAGTGCTAATAATGGGTGAAGAGCCATATTGCCTTCTGGCAGTTGGATAGAAATCTTAATTCTGAGAATGTCTCCGATGCCTCTTCTGACTATCTCCGATGATAGAAAAGACGAAAAGGCCGAATGCGTAACTGACAGCCTCTCTTTGTTAAGTTGGGCACTAAATTTTAACTTTTAACTAGTTTCTTAACAGACCGTTTACACGCATGAATTAAGTTACAATTTATTTACTTACTTTGCTAACTTCACACGCTTAAATCGGCCATCTAGCAAATAGCGTACCGTTTAGCTTGACATCTCTCTTAGTTTATTTTGTGTAATATAGCCGAAATAAAAGAAATACATCTAATGCCAACAAGCAAAGAAATCGTATGAAGAAATATTTTAAGTCTATCTCTACTAATAACGTTCTTATTAAGGCAGTGATGTAGACTATTTTACTTATTATAGTATTTTCAAGCTGCAGACTCAAGATATTGTAAGTACAAAAAACTACTAAAGTACTACTAACGAAGTTTTTATATATCAGTCTTATAGTTTGCTACAAGACTAACGTACAGAACAGATAAAATAAATAGTCATCCAAGTCCTATATTAAAAGCTTTTAAGCTATTGCGACCAAATCAAGAAATTCCGTAACGAAAAAAAAATCTAACACCCCCACTCCGCCTACCATGTAGCTCGGCTGAGCGTTCGCGTGTATATACTAGAGATGGGTCGTATCGTTTTTTCTGAGTACCGTATCTGAATCAGATTTCGATTTCAAATATCAGATTTCGAAACTATGTATTTTAATATCTAGATATTTTACGGTCCCGTATCCACCTTGAATTGTTAAAAAAAAAAAAAAATTTTCAACAATATTTTATACTTATTATAAATTGTGCAGGCGTGAATAAATTCAAAAACCTTACTGAATTTAAAATCACACTTTTTTTATACTATTAAGGTAAAATAAAAACATTACCTGATTAAATTAAAAATAGAAATTGAAGTAATATAAAAATGATTTATTTCAACATCTTATATATCGCTTAATAATTGACTTTAACATATTCTTAGAACACGCAATCATGAGTGACAATATTTTTATAATTTGTGTAAGAAATAATACATTCAGTATTATAACTTAGGGCGGAAGAAATTAAAATGTACACACAAAGCACATAAGCCTTCGTCTGATTTCCACCCAAGCAGCACAGCACTATTACATTATATTTTTCTTTTTGTGTAGTTTTATTTTTTTTCAAAAATATGAATAAAATTTAACTAATAAAAATATTCACAAAAAATTTACCTCCTAAAAAATTTCCATTTATATTTTTCTTCCTTAATTTAGTGAGTATTTATATCTCACGCGCTTTGTCGCTCGATATCTGATATCGTTCATTACTTGCCGTCCCGCTCTAACTAGTGAGTATTTGTATCTCACGCGCTTTGTCTCTCGAAATCAGTTTAAAAATCAGATATTGTGGCAAACCGTATGATATCGCGATTCGTGTCGGTATAGTGAGCGAGCGAGTATTCGGTATATCAGATTTCGGAAATATCAGATATTGTAAAATACATAGATATTGAACGAGCCAGTAAGCGATATTCGGATATTGTAATAATATCTAGATTTCATATCTGATACGATTTGTATCGCCCACTTCTAGTATATACAATTTATTACGACTGTACGAAGCACGCACGGATGGATATTATAATATTATATCATCATATGATGATATGATATTTGGAGGATATCAAGTCTCAAACTAATGTTTCTTATTTCAGTTACCATAAACCTATAGTTTCAATGATAAAAAATTCCTGAATAACCTACATGTATTGTAAGATAATAAAAATATTTTAAACGATATTAACTTCTCATTTATTCAATAAAAGAAAAAAAATTGTTTTCTTATCGGTCACCACGCTCAAAACGTCGAACTTGAATTAATATCAAAGAAAAAAACGAATTAATACAAAGAAAAAAAATACTAGGTTTACAGAACGTAATTTATGTTCAAACCGCACTAGAAAGACTAGAAACAATCATACCTACAATTGTAAATAGGGTGCAGTGGGGCAATTCCGAAAACGGGTATATTCCGAAATCGTTAAATTTCTATTAATTATAATTATATTTCCCTACTAGCAACGTTAGGCTAGACAGCATATTTAATAACCATCCCGTCTCAGTCGTAGCAAGTCGCTAGTGACAATATTATGTGTGTGACAGCAAGTTTTCTTGGACAAGTGTTTTTCGCGTCATTTTTAGTGATTCATAATAACCCCAATAAATTTATTTCGCAATTTTGGTAAGTTACATGAACAAGTTTTCCTTTTAACCATAGATTATCGTATTATGCGATTATGTACGAGGAACATAACATTGTAATTGTTATTAATTTTTTTTTTCGGAAATACCCTTCCGGGCTTATTCCGATATATTATATTTTCCTTATAATCCCATTTAGCTTTTACATAGTAATTAGCAGTGATTCTCAAACTTATTTTTATGTATCTCCATTATTAACAAATTTGTTTTACATATCTATCATGTCCCGAAATCACATAAGAAAGAAAATTAAAAAATACACTTCACAAGATTTGGCTTAAGCGATCGAAAAAGTTATAAAGGGAGAACTAACTTAATATACTGCAGCTCAAGTATATAAAATCCAGTTGACGACTCTTCATGTATACGTTAAGAGAAATAAAGCAACAGTCAGGTTTAATGCAAGAATACCTACAGTCATACCTATAGAAGAAAACAAATTAGCAGAACAATTAAACTGTGGAAGATGTCGCTGAACATGTGCAGGTAAAAAATATTCCGACACCATTTAAGAATAATATACCTGGTTAATTAATTTCCGGAAACGACATAAATTGTCTTTTAAAAAAGTACAGCGCGTAGAATTTGTAAGAAGAAAATGACAGATCTATTCGTCATTGCAGAATATTTCGATTTGCTGGAATGTATCTTGAAGAAAAAGATTATAAATTAAATAAATATATATTACATTCTTTGATCTTCCTCGTCCTTATTTATGTTGGTTTTTCCAATACTTTGTATTATTTAGTACAAAATAAGTGGACAAAACTTCTTAACAAAAAGTTTCCTACAATTGTAACTTAAAGATTGAGAACCACATACACTTTCAGAGGTAATTACGAAATAACAAAGCTGTAATAAATTAGATTAATGTTTCTATGGACAATATTGCGTATATTTTGTGTAACACATAATTACGATTGAAAAAGTAATATGAACTTTGTGGTCAGAGTTCAATAAATACAACTTTTGAAATACTTCAGAATTACCCCATGATAGTTCGTAATTATCCCTTTTACGAAAAGAATATTAGTTTAATATTTCAAATGCTCTAATCCAAAACCCCAATTGCATTTTAAGAATTGAATAAATATTTATTACAGTTATTTTCGTAACGCAAACAGATGTAAAACAATTATGGTCTTAGATATAAAACTACTTTCAATAATTAATCGAAAACTGGACCCTTAGTGATGTCATACAAATTTATGTCGGAATTACCCCACTGCACCCTACTACTTACTCTTATTAGCTTCATCGATATAATTAATTAAATATTGTGATTTGAGTTTGCGATATACACTAATAACTTGGTCTACTGTTATTCATGTTTTACAGTATTATTGCAGGCTAATAATACATAAACAGCCTACGTAGCACCCGTGTCATTTAATACCCCAGCGCCCTCTAGTAAGCGCGTGGTCAAAATAAAATGGGTTTATATATCAGCAAATTAACACAAACTATAAAATTTCCCCAATGGATAATAAACTCTATCGATTGGAAATTAAATAGAATACTAAAATATGTAGGTAATGAAATGTAGATAAGTATTAAATATATTCTATCGGCTTTTATAGATAAGTATTAAATATATATTATAAAGTACTATTGTTGGATTCTTGTGAATGGTGAAATAATTGTCAAAATCAGTTCAGTAGCTTCGGATTTTGCCCATAAAAATAAACTCACCCGGAATTGGAACCCGCGACCCTTGGCTTCTTAGTCCAGAGCGTGAATCATTCGACTATGGACACGAGTAGCGCAGTCAGCATCATATTGACTAACCCAAATTTGACTAATCAAAATATCCCAACTGATATTGAACTCTATACATTCGATATTAGGTTTACATTCAGTTGCAAAAATTTGACAGAGATTGGTCGATGTGACGCTGGCTGAACAATCTGTTATTATATTCCACAACACTCGGTGACACACAAAACATAAAATAATAAGCATATTACAACAGACTTAGGGCGCGTGCTAGCTCTCATATTGTACCAAGACATAATCTAATCATGCAAACACGACGCTGTGTTAAAATTGTTGCATCAAAATGCCATCAAAATGTTGAAGTTATTTACCACCACCTATTCGTTGGCTGCGGTCAGTATGTCATTTCAAAACAAAATGTAAAAAAATTATTCTGTTGCAGCAATAGGTTTCTGGTACCGTCTTGGTAAGGAATTAGTAACATAGCAGATGATATTTATTATTATGATGAGTTGGAGTTTCATGGTGTAGTTTTAACTGTTGTTATTATTATATTTATTTATTATTATTTGTTTTCAATTATTTTAATTTTATTGTTAATCGTGTTCTTTTAGCTTATACAAGGCTGGGGTAGAATATCGGCGTTGTGCACGATGTGTGTTACAAAGTTTAATCCCAGACCTTTTTGTCTAAACTACGTAAGGTCGTGATGCTGTCCACGTATAATTGTCTATCATGCACTGCATTTGAATTTGGATTATGTTCTTTTTTACTTTTGATGTGCGGTGTCATTATGTATTAATTATATTTTCTCATATACAAGTAAACACAATGTTTTCAAGTATTATTTACGTTTTAATTAATTGCTATAGCCGCTAGTCCACCCTATCACGCGACACGTTCTCCACTTCACGCAGCGGAGTGGCGATTTCATCGTCTTCATGGAATACCTACGTTGTTCCTCCCTTGTCCATCGGACGTCGTTGTCAAAGCCGCCGCGAAATACCAAACTGCACAATTACACAAAACTCCAACCATAAGAAAACTTTTTAAGGGTAGGTAGCAACACTAAGATCAAGAATAAAAATGGTACGTCAATGTCAGTCAACCTTCAAACTTAAATTCATTTATGACGAAAGAAATATGGTACTTGTAACTTGGTTTATTATATTAAAGATTCTGTATTGCTTTCCTTATTTCACATTTTCTGTTTAGATTTTCATTGATTTAACTTACTTTTAATGATCGTTTTATATACGTAGCATACTATTCCCATATCAACAATAGTGAAACTAATTAATATAATGTTTGCTACGTATTTCCAATAAGAATCGTTTTGGGAAATGTAGATTTTAAATCAAATTTATAGTTGTTTTTTTATATAAAAGTTTAGATAATACTAAAATAATGGTAAGTAGCTAATTTTTAATGCACTCATTAGGACTAAAACTTTTAATTGAAACATTAATAATTGTGTTGTAGAGCTATCAAGATGAATCAAGTTATGTGGGCTCGTTCCCGAAGGATTTCAGCTATGGTCCGTTTGAACAAAATGGAGAAAACGATAACACTTCATTACAAGAAGATCATAAACCACGAATTTTGCTAATGGGATTAAGAAGGTATCTAATATACACCATTTTTAAATATGTGATTAAATTAATTATTAGTTTCTCTTATATTTGTTTATTTTAGATCTGGAAAATCTTCAATACAAAAGGTTGTATTCCATAAAATGTCTCCAAATGAAACACTATTCTTAGAATCAACAAATAAAATAGTTAAAGATGATATCAACAACAGCAGCTTTGTACAGTTTCAAATTTGGGACTTTCCTGGACAAATAGACTTTTTTGATCCTACTTTTGATTCAGATACAATATTTGGCGGTTGTGGTGCACTTGTTTTTGTCATAGATGCTCAGGTATATTCACATTTTATTTTAATTATATACTTTATATACAGGCCTTTCTACCTAAGAAGTTTTGTTAGACTTATAATTTTCAATAATGGAATACAATGTAAATTAATTTATATTAATACTAATTTATATTTAATGCAAATGATATGGTACTATACAATCACCAGTCAAAACTTGGTTTTATCTATTTTCATATTTTATGTGATATAAAAAATGATTTGAAATTTAAACTAGTGCAAATTTTTCGAAAAAACTTTTTATTAGTTCGAAATAAATTATTCATTTAACAGCGATTTCAATTATTGTAAATGACTTTGTTTTGTAGCATTTAATCAGTATGTATTTTCAATGTTTTGACTTGGAGTTGGCGATAGATAGATAATTATGTTATTGACTTGTGTAATATATCTCGCATTACTTGTCAATATATTCACTCACAATATACTCACGAAATACCTAATTGCATAAAATTTTTGTTGACAACATGAATTTTTAAATTCCTCTTCATTGTTTTTTTCTTTTCCATAAACCAAATGACATCCTCAAATATCAATTTGGCTAGTTATTAAATATAATAAAAGGGTGTTCATACATTATGTTATTATCATAATTAATTAAGTATAAAAAATAATGACCCATAATTATCTTATTGTAGATGTAAATTAAAAAAAATTCAAATATATTGTTTTGCTTTTATTACAGGATGACTATCAAGATGCTTTGGACAAGCTGCAACTTACAGTTACAAAGGCTTACAGAGTAAATAGTAATATAAAATTTGAGGTTTTTATTCACAAAGTAAGCATTTAAATATGAAAAATGTTACAAAAAGAAAAGTATATATTTTTCCACTCATTATAATCTCCTTTCAGGTTGATGGCCTTAATGATGATTACAAAATGGAATCTCAAAGAGATATCCATCATAGAGCAAATGAAGATTTGGGTGAAGCTGGCTTAGAACATGTGCACTTATCATTCCATTTAACCTCGATTTATGATCACTCTATATTTGAAGCATTCAGTAAAGTAGTGCAAAAATTAATCCCACAACTGCCCACCCTGGAAAATCTCCTCAATATACTCATTTCTGTAAGTAATACATTAGTTATTATACCCCATTCCTGTTTCAAAAACCAAAATTTAAGGCAATGTACCAATGAAATTGAATGGAGTTAATTTGGCGACTTGGCTTCAACTAGTATTATAAGCTCTACAAAGTTACTCTTTTTTTACTATTAAATGATCCATAAGGTTCCAATAGTGTAGGTATATAATTCTATTTTACACTCATTCATAACTGTGTGAGTGTCTTGATTATTTGCTTAGATGTTTCCTTTGATGTGTTGGTGATGACTGGAACAGTGAGGAAAAATGTCAGAAACAATGAATAACATTCATTAAAATCTAAATCTTGTCAACTTTAGTTAATATTTCGTCTTTTTATTCATTTAATTTAAGGTACCAGAAGTCCACTTAAATTATTTAATTGGAACGAAAAAACATTTACGCCCGGTTTCTGAAACACTGATCATCATAGAAGTTAACTAATCAGCTGTCAAATGGCTTTTTAAATTTTATTTAAGTTTCCAAAACCATGGTTAAACTCTTTGATATGATTAGAATGATCTTCTTAATCAGTGTTTCTAAAGCCGGGCGTGCCAGTGTTTCAGAAACCGGGCAATAGTTTTTAATATTTTTATCCAATCATTGTTCCATGTTTGATTTGCTCTGGACCAAAACCAGAAGACGCAGGTTCGAATCCCGCAGCGCCGAAAGTTTTTGTTAATTCATCTACAAAAATTTACAACTTAAAGTACATCTTGAGTGCAGAGACTAGCACGGAAAATAAAAAAAATTGCGAGGTTTTATATGCTAGGATGCACACTAGATGAGCCAAGAATTGCTGAAAATGCAATAGAACAAACGTAGATAGATGTCAACATTTTCGCGCTGGGAGGTCATCAGCCGCTTACCTTAGTTGGTAAAGCTTCTGTTCTAAATTTTTTGTTCATTTATCTACAAAAATTTTAAATTTCATCTTAAGTGCAGAGACTGGCGCTAAAAAAATAATACAAAGAAGACAATTAAATGGTTTACTTATCTCTCGGGAAAATTGTGCATTACTGATAAAGGTTATATCTTTGTTGGTTTTATGTTCCGTCCGGTTTTTGTGGATATGAGATGAAAAATATAATCAATACATATAATAAAAATGTAACTGATCGTTGTCTGTATATGGAAGATATTTGAGAAAAACTGTTATTGGGGGGGCCTTTATCAACGCAATAGAACCCAAAACAATAATGGTTAAAATTTTGGTCGCGCGCTAATCACAGAAACGGCTTAACCGATTTGGGTGCAACTTCAGTAATGCATTGTAGAAAGCTTTAGTTAACATTTAGTGTTAGTTTTATTTAAATCGGTTCATAAATAAAGAAGTTATAACAACTTAAAGAATCACATTGAAGATTTGTTTGATAAAATGCTGTATAATAGCTTCAGTTGAATTGGATCAAACTATAATGTACTATATATTATGGTCTGTAAAATGATGATGATTGTAAGTTTTTTATAAAGTTAAAAAAAAATAGGCCAAGTTCGAGTGGAACTCGCGTACGAAGGGTTCCGTAGGTACTTTTAAGCACGGTATAAAATGTATTACATGTGGGCGGCGCCGCAGGCGAAAAGCTAGTAAAGAAAATGTCTAGTCTGCCACAAATGGCTATTTAACTTTAACCAGAGACCATTAAATTTCTATCGATAAAATATTTGAGTGCTGCCAGCACTAGCATAACTATTCTATCGATTGAAATTTATTTCAATAACTTCACGAATCATCCTCGGCAGGAAGTAAGAGATATATTAAAAAACAAAAATTTCGAGATAATACGTATTAACTGATGCTCCTAATTTTTCCCTCTCTATAGAATTCGGGAATTGAAAAAGCATTCTTGTTTGATGTAGTTTCAAAAATATACATTGCGACCGACAGCTCTCCAGTAGATATGCAAAGTTATGAATTATGCTGTGATATGATAGATGTTGTCATTGATATTTCGTGTATATATGGGTATGTAGTACATAAGTCTGCCGTATAATGACATTTGTAAAATCTTGATATTAAATGAACTAATTTCAACATACTTCACAGGATGGTGGATGAAACCGAAGTAAATACGTTTAATAGTCAGAGTTCTAGCCTTATCAAGCTTAATAACGGCACAGTGCTCTATTTACGCGAAGTAAATAAATTTCTGGCCCTTGTTTGTATACTACGGGAAGAGAACTTTCAGAAACAAGGTATGTATGTACTATGTGTAATAAATACAGGGAGGCTTTTCTAACTGTATCCATTTTTGAGATAAGTTCAAATGAATGTAATTAATTATTTACGAGTGATTTTAAAGATTTTTATTTTTTTTATAATTCATTATTTCTGTCTAGAATTTAATTAAAAAAAATGGATTTACTTAGAAAAGCCTCCCTGTATATCAGCTAAAAATATCGATATTGTATCGACATTCCTACTAACGACTAGACTGTCCGTAGAGCGGCTAGGCGTTACGTTTTTTGCCCGTATTTTGTTTAAGAGATCTACTTTGTTTAGTTTTTCGAGATTTTTGCGAGACTCGATTAAGAATATGATAAACTTAGATAATTTTTTATAAAACTGCCAAAATTTACTTTCAGGGGTAATAGATTACAACTTTTTGTGCTTTCGCGATGCAATAACTCAAGTTTTTGAACTACGAAACAAAAGCCAAGGCGCTTTAGCTGCCGCCAGAGCTCGTACGGACTCCGATCTAATGGCCAATGGCGCAGGAGATTCTCCTGAAAGTACATCCGACCACTCTCAAGTTCAACTACCATAGCACAATATTTTTACACCTACGTTATTTCTATGTTAACTGTAGAAAAAAAGCTTAAACTTTAAAAATATGTAATTTGTATATTTTCATTTCAATAGAACATCCAGTATAATATATTGTTAATAAAGGCATATTTTTTTTATTCTTGTTAATTTATTGTTTTTGATATGTAAGTAATGTGACATTTTTTTTTTGTATAACTGATATTACGCTTTCAGTCCTTAGACTATTGAAGCTACATCGAACGCAGAACCGGTGTGCTAGATAAAACCCACGGGTTTGAGGCCCTCCTCAGTGGGTAGGGCCTTCCATGTACTCATGCGTGCGTTCATTATGACATGTCGCGTACTGATGCACTAACTGAGTGTGTATTGTTATTTGGCTTCCTCGACCGGGTTGGTTAGGACGTTGCGCGGGTGACTCTTGTTGACGTTCGCGTTAGTGTCGGGTTGGTAATTTCATTCATTTACCACCAGAGGGTTGGGATAATGTTCGGCTCTGTCAAAGAACAGTTTGGTGAGATCTTTAAAATGTTATTGACTCGTCGGGAGTCTGCAGTCACTATGACGCAGGTCGACGTTGAGTTGAGCACTATGCACCGGTTGCGCGGCGGATGAACTTATTTTGTACTATTTGCAACTTGTATAAGCGAGTAGAGTTTATGAGGGCGTAGGTCATGCACGCGTAGAACATAACTCTGACGCAGGCCTTATATAATAATATTTTGTGCCTTAAGAAATTTTTATTTACAAAAGGTCTCTCGCGGCGTCTTTTTATAGGCCATTAGGTAACTCACTCCGGATGAGGGAGAGTTTTCTAAAATGAGGGAGAGAGACATTAAGTGTTTGTTATACTTATATTCCAACCGTCGACTAAAAGACCACCACCGCTCTTCTTAAAGTGACTAGCGATATTAGGGTTGGCATGGAGGGACCAAAGATTACCGTTATAGTTTCTATTCATTTCTCTAACGCCTTTAATACCGTCAGTCACGATATCGTGTTAGCCATCCTTTCCCATATAATGGTTTCTGACGAAGCACTGGGATGGTTTTTCTCCTATCTTCGAGGGCGCCAGCAGTTAATCAATAATGGTGATTCATCATCACGTTGGCCTAGTCTGAATAATGGTATTCCTCAAGGCGCTATTCTATCCCCTCTGTTATTCTCCGTTTTTATAAACTTTATCACTCATATTCTTCGCTGTGCGTATCATCTTGATGCCGATGACCTGCAGATCTATGCTCAGGCATCAATCGATACTCTGAATGAGGCTTTTCTTAAGCTTAATGAAGATTTAGTCGCCATTAAGACTTGGTCAGATAAGTTTGGACTAACTATAAATCCGACCAAATGTCAAGACATAATAGTTGGGAGTTCCCGTACTTTTAGTAGAGTGAGTAAAATTAGTTTTGACATCTCCCCCATACCTCTACAAAATAAGTTTAACAATTTAGGTTAGTTCATTGACGGGACGTTTTGTTAGAGAGATCAAATAGGTAGTGATAGCCAAAAAGTAACTACTTGTCTTGCGCTGTCTTTACCGTCTCAAGAATTTCCTGCCATTGAAAACCAAAGTAACGCTCGTACAGGCCTTAATTTTTCCTTTAATTGACTATGGAGACGTGTGCTACTTCGACCTGAATTCAGATCATCTCAATAAACCTGACCGACTTCTGAATAACTGTATTCGATTCGTTTTCAATCACCGCAAATATGACCATGTATCGTCTTACCGGTCACAGGTAAACGCTCTCTTAGAGCCTTAAATGGGGAATCAAGGTAATAAAAAAATGTGGCTTTTTTTATTACCTTGATTCCCCATTTACTCCTTCATATTTAGCTCCCCACTTCCAATACCTTAGTTCAGTTAACACCAAAGATCTTCACTCTCAACATAATCGCCTTCTGTTCTGTCCTCCTCATCAGTCTGATTTTATCCATTCCTCTTTCTTTATTCAATCTATCCTTCATTGGAATGAGCTTCCTCCCAAAATCAGAATGGCTAACAATCGCCTCGCTTTTCAGAGAATGGCACGGAAGTACATTTTGGGGAACCTGCCAGCAGTTTCATGACATCATCAGATAAAAATATGTATGAGTAATTGTGTATATATTTATGTATATGTATAAATATATTGTACAATATATATATATATATGTCGTTACCATCGCGACAATAAATGAACACACATATAGGGGATAATTTTTTAAAGTTGTATTAAACATTTAAATTCTTTAAACATCAACGGACACTTTTTAATACACTGAGATGGTACAGGTACTATTCCAGTGTTCAGTCCTCCAGGTACTATTATTTAAACTACGAGTATAGTACGAAATCAACTGGATCGTTATTTTTATCTTAGCAAAATAAAAATCCTTAAAAGGTAACACGATATTTCTATTGCACCACCTACGTAGTATACGTTTCCTTTAAGCCATTGGTTGCCTGGAAGAGATCGCTATGAAGCGATAAGGCCGCCAAATTGTACATTGCATAAATTTGTTGTTCTGTTGTTACTTTTATGTATATTGTTATTTGTGGTGGACAATAAAAGTGTATTCATTCATTCATTCATATTCACGATGTTGTTTGTTTTATTCTAGTACTCAATTGTATGTTTGTATGGAAAGATACAAATAATAAATTATAGCAATACGTGCTGCATTTAATAATAGAAACTAAGAGCTTTGCTCGAATTATCTTTATTACTTGTTTTAGGAATTTTGATTATGGCAATAATTAATAACACTGTTAGTTTTGTCGCTGTAATATTAATAAAGTGTAATTATGAAAAAAATTAAGTAATTAGGAATATTACTGAAATAAATAGTTGCGTGGGATGTTTATTTATCATAATAATATATTATTGCGAAAAGAAAACAAACAAAACGTCAGTGGTACGCCGACGACTGACGACATAATTTGACGTTTTCAATTTCATTTTGACGTACATTTGGCCTTTGACGTATGTTATGTTTCGATTTCGATTCGATTGCTTGCTTTGTCTGAATTGTATTTTCATTACAAAGTACATGAAGTGATATTTTCAGTCAAGTCTAGATTACTTGAATTTATTTTGAAGTGAAAACTCCTTGCTTATTATCAGTGCTCAAAAAAGACGTAAGTGAATATTTTTACATAAATGTGGTATTTTCACTAACAATTCAAAAACTCAAAATTGTTTTTACTGATAGACATGTAGTTTTTAAACATTTTTTAGTTATTTATGCTCTTTTATCTTAAGGCCATAATTTATTAGCGTACAACCATTCAGAAATGTATGTAGGAAAAGATTCCTTTGTTATATTGGATACACTCCAAACCGATAAAGGTGTTATGAAAAGTTTTTATTTACATATATTGTTTTCAAAAGAACTTTTATGAGAACAATGAGGGCTAATAGTCACAAAAAGTAAATCTTTAAAAAAAATTAATGACAATCATCACAAATGCAAGTGGTGTCCAAAATATAACTTACCTATTTGCTTTTACCCACGATATCGCCATCAAGGACCTCTAGATGGAATTTATATACAACCTGAATTGCTACTTAGTGCTTTAGCAACCATTATTAGAACTTTTAATATATGTTTTGATTAATTCAGAGCAAAATATCAATTTTGTTGAATTTTACTCTTTTTGGAACAAATAGACTTCTCTATATTTATCTAATAGATTTTTCAGGTCACTTGTATAAGCATCAAACTATCTTTTTAGTGCCAGTCAGCTAGATCATAGATGCAGTTGTTAAAGTGTAATATTGACATCTCTCTCTTAATGGAAGCCTGTTGTATGAACCTACTGAAGTTTCTAAGAGTTGCAAAATAATGTAAAAATTCTATCATTTTAGATTATTGAGAAATTACAGATTTAAGTAAGACTATTATTGAACATATTATATCTCAGTTACACAGAGTATAATGTATGGCAATAGAGTAAAACAATTTATTATAATTCAGTTTACTATTTATTTAAGAATGATAAATGTTTTGATGGCGATTGATGAGAGGTATATCTTTTTAATTACTTCAGTAAGACCTTAATGTCACAGCTTTTTTATTTGCCTTAATGCAAAGGCTTCCTAAGACTGTCTAAAAGTATACTGTCATGCTAGGGATCTGCAATACCGACAGCTGATTTTTTAACATACATGTAATTTTTGTGTTATGGAAATGTTCTGTTTTTCACTTAAAAATTTAGGGCATTTAAATCCAACAATATAATTATGAAGTAAAACAAAATCTTATAGAAAAAATTATTTAAAGTTGTTAATTTCACTAAGAAAATCCACAATTTATTGAATTCAATACACACTCCTGCCAACAATCAAAATAAATGGAAATAAATTTTTATTTTATTTTAAAGCCAATGCAAGAATCATTTTTGCATTAACTTTGACAATGATAATATATAAATATAGCCAAAATGCTATAATGTTAAGACATGTCTATTTCCTAAATTGATTACAGGTTTTTATGGATTTATTGCATTTCGTTAATATAGTGTTGTTTATATAATCTCATCCCTCAATTTCCTTTGATCACTTCTGTTTTTTCTCCACGATAGTGGAGTCAAAATAATTAATTGCAGTCCTTTTCCAAATTTCCGCTAATTGCGACACCTTGACTGTCTTGAGTAGTGCTGTTGTACCCATTGTCTTGCTTGGTGCAGATTCGTCATGACGAACCTAAGCAGTCTCAGTTACACTTCGGTATAAATCACCTTTGTCTTCACTACAGATATCCAAAAAGACACGGCAACAACGCAGTTATTATTTTATTTTTATAACTGATGTTACTCTTTCAGTCCTAGTTTGAGGCCCTCCTTAGTGGGTAGGGCCGCGCAAGAACTCATGCATGCGTTAATTATGACATGTCGCCTACGGGCCATCGAGGTTCGGTGCAGACAGTGATCCCGATGGCCGTTGACTTTGCTTGACTAGTCGGTGGCTGGGGGCGGTGAGAAACGCCCGGGAACGCGGGTGTACCTAGTGTATTCGCTGTGTTGGTTTTGCTGTGCTCGAGGCGAGGACGAACTCTGGTGAATCCCCGAGGGTGGGTCCTACACACTCCAAAGTCCCCTTTCTCGACCGGGTCGGTGAGGAGGTTGCGCGGGCGACGCTTGTTGATGTTCACCTTAGTGTCGGGTTGGTAATTTGCTGCATCAGATTTGGGATGATGTTCGGCTCTGTCGAAAAACCGTTTGTTGAAATCTTTAAAATGTTCGTTCTTTAACAGTCACTGTACAGGTCGACGTTTCGTTGATACCACTGCGCACTGGTTACGCGGCGGATGTACTAATTTTTGCCTTACTTGACGCATTGGTTAGGTGATAGACCCGGTCGGACACGAACGCGGCTCTGTTTCTTATTTCGTTAATATGCGATGTGACGTCATGCGTGAATCGAAAGTGACTCCGATAGATATTTGACCATTTTCTCCCAGGGGAGTTGGAGGCGAGTGGCCAAAGAGAAATATTTGCCTTTATAGAGAGATGGGACGGGTAAGTACTTCGTGTGAAGTGAATCGACCTACTCTTTTCTGGATTTAGGTACTTCTATTCTCCATTTGCGGAACCAATCGCCAAGGCGGTCGGCGGCGTTTTAGAGACGAGTAGTGAGTTCATTAAGATTTTCATCTGTGTAAAAGAGCGGCGTGTTATCCGCGAAAAGCGCGAGATTGACGTGCGGGTCTTTTTGTATGTCGCTCGTATAGAGCATAGAAAGCAAGGGCGAGAGGCAGGTGCCTTGTGGAACGCCAGCCTTGAGGCGGTGGCTTGTAGAGAGGGTACCCTCAACTCGATATCAAAAAGAGCAGTTCGACAGGAAGGCCCGGATAGCGTGCATGAGCCTATCTGGCACATTGAGTTCGAATAGCTTGTAAAGTAAACCTTGTCGAATGCTTTTGCGACATCGAAGAAAAGAGCTCCCGTGCTTATACGTTTGCGATGATTTAGGATTTAGGATTGCATTTCAGAATATTTTGTGTTTGAGGGAGAGATTTTAAGACTTTATTACTAATTTTATAAGGGATTTGGGTTTGAGATTTTTAATAATATCTTGGAAGGCAGTTATTGAACTTCTGATAGATATCACTTAATAATCCCTAGTGTTACATAATTTAAAATATGTTATTTCTTTATTTTCACAACGCAGATATCATAAGAAATGCGCATTTTATGAAGGCCATCAGGACGATAACATTTGTTTATGCGCTCACGCAGCTAGATTTTAACGAAGGCACCCAAAGCCATTGTGACCTCTAATACTCAGTGTTACAGTCCATAGTAGATCGATAATCTTGTATTGGTAATTTAAGAGTAACCTTGAAGCTCTTAAATAATACGCAATGCTACGTCATGACACACCCATCTCTAGACAAATAAGGCCACTGTAGATGTATACCTACACATATTTAATTTCGCACTATTTACCTACATTGCAAATTAAATAATCTGTATGTTGATTTAGGATTTTGAGTTTAGGAAGTGTATGATCTTATTCAAGATCAATTTTACGAATCAAACGACATGCTTACATTTAGCCCACAGTCATGATTATGAACTCGTAAATACTTGGGTATAAGAATAGTATTTGTGCTTGAATTTCCTTTAACCGTTTTTACTTTTTTAGGTTTCTACTTACAGTCATAGGTATTCTTTCTTCTTTATACAAAATATTAAAATTTTCCGTCAATTTTTTTGCTTTTAATAGGTATTATTCACTGTGAAGAGATACGGTGATTGTATAGTCTGAATAATATCATTGCAACATTTAAAATGCCAAGGCCGCAAATAATTTTCTTTATGTATGTATGTTAATTCATTCAAAAACTTGTGATTTTACTAAGTGGTAAACTAGACCAATAAATCTGAATAAAAACTACTTATTGTATTTTATTACGAGTGGTCGCAAAAATAGACTTTGTAGATTTATCTATTACTTGTTATCGTATTATCGATTGAATTTAATTATGCGTATTCGAAGTCGACGTACACTTCCTTGTGCCGAACGCACTTTCGCAACGAGGTGGTGCGATATCACGCCACTCCGCGCGACAGAGGTTGTCGCGACGCGCGCTGTTTTGGTTGGATTCCCGCAACCACATGCTTTGAGCGGTTGCTGCGTGTGAGTATGTGTGTATATTATCGCTCGCACGTCACAATAATCTTTTACTACACAACGGCGAGCTTGAAACGCGCCCACTTCTCAACAAGTTCTCACAGTATGTATGGTATGGCAGTATAATATTAGAGCGCTTGTAGAGTCAACGTGTCGGAGCGATTTAAGTGATCATTTTCCTTACGAAGTCTTTACTTCGCAACGGTTACTTGTACTAGAAAACTTATAACTGTTGCTGACGTTCGCACTTTGTGCTTTTTGGGGGTGACTTTTATTAATAAAAATTCGGAACATTTTTTTCTGGGTACGTATTTTTAGATAAAATCATTTTATGGTTTTTATTTTTTCTCATTATTACCATATAATGCACATATTAATTGTACATAGTACAGTACAAAAATATTATAATGTATATCTATAATAATAATTATATCAGAACTGTTTCAAAATTTTATTTGTACGAAATGCAGGGTGAACAAATTTCGACATGCTAATTAGAATCGACGATCCATAGTAGAATATTGTAAAAAAATAAATTTCGCAAATGTTTCGTGTTATTATTGACACAACAAGGCTTGTACGAAATGCGCATATTAATGATTATTACATAGTTGGAACGATTGAGCAAGATATAAACAAACAAGCAAAGGGGTAAACAATGTCGCACGTCATTTGTTGTTGTAGACAGGGCAAGTGACTGATTCACTGAGGTGTCTATTTTCCTATTACCGATGTAGGAATGGCACGTAAATTCATAAAGACGGGGTTTCCTTTTAAATTTTTTATTACTTTTACGTGATTGTTTAGCGGTTGTTCGTAATGTATAAACAGTGGTACGCTACATATTTATCAGTACCTAACCAATATAGTTATTGAAGTCGTAATTTAATGAACTTACTTACATTATGAACGTAAACAAGGTAGAAATTAAGTGCAGATAAATTATCATATGTTATTTAAAATCGAAGGGGAAGAAAGGTTCTCGAGTGGCAGCCTCATACTGGCCATCGCAGTGTAGGACGACCCCCCACTAGATGGAGTGACGACCTGTGCAAATGTGCGGGAAGTCGATGGATGCAGGTGGCTCAGGATCGTACTTCATGGCAGTCTATGGGGGAGGCCTATGTTCAGCAGTGGACTCAAACAGGCTGAAATGATGATGATGATTTAAAATAATCTTATTAATAATTATCGATTAATTATCATCGAGAAAATGAAGTGGGTTTTTAAACATAGATAATTATGTATGTAACTAACTCATTGTATACTAGTCAAACAACGAAATCGGTCATTAAATATTTTAGACGTGAAAATTTGACTGCGATAACATTATTCTATATAAGTATTAAGTGTAGCGTTTAACTGTGGTAGGGCCATGCAACGGTGTTCCCTTGCACGAATGGGCAGGCCCGTTCGGTTTAGTACTACGAGGTCGTAGTACTAAACCGAACGGGACTGAGGTCAGTCCTCACAGAAGACCGGCGTGAAGTATACTTCACGTCTTCTGTGGGCTGAGGAAACGAAGAAGTGTCACACTTCTAAGTGTGACACTTCTTTGTTTCGTCTGGTGAGTGAGGTAGCCGGGGGCCGTGGAAGCATTTTATTAAAAGGTGGCAACGCATCTGCAACCCTATGGGTGTTGTCAATGCCCATTGGCGGTTATTATTATTGGTTATCAATAAACATCAGGTGGACCACCACCCACCGCCACTTTCTCACATATACTGTTTTATGTGAGAATTCGTTTTTATTAAAATTCCATTTCGAAAAAATATGTTATAAAGTAGAGATGCGCGCAGTCGTGTTAAAACGTACTGCGATTATTTTTGATTTTAACATTAAAACCCCGCTATTTTTCTTCAATAGAACAACATGCAACCGCTGATCACGATTAACGACCGCAAAGATGTTTTTGTAATATGTTATTTGTAAAGTTACATTCAAGGCTACAATGTTCTTATCATTATAGAGACATGTTAACGGGTTGATTTGTGTTATTCGTTTACAACAAAGCAACGAAACTTGGACACTTCAACATGCAAGGTGATATTGTGCTCGTTTCCACTGTACCCACTGGTGTGAAGTGCTATGTTTGTACCTAATATGTCTTTAGTGTTCTCATAATATATATTTTTTTAAATCTTATATCTCAAAAAGGCTTATTTGTTGTAACTCACAACATAAAGGATTTTGCACTAGAGCCTAAAAATTTTCAAATACCACAAAAAATGGCAATTTCGTAAATCAAAAAGCCTTTTGCGCACGTAGCTTATATCCTTTTTGTGTCCATATAGCATTGATGAGTTATCCTCTCAAATAAGGATAACCGATTACAAAATCAAGTATCTGATTGTTATACATTTTTTTGTATATAATCTATTTGAGACTTTGACATCGGACACGTTGAACTTGAAAGCCTTGAAGACTAAAATGAATTTTGGCACTAGACGCGTCTGACGCATGGATCAGGGACACCTGCCCTTCGTAAATGAATGAAAACTGTATTGTTGACCGTAGAGTGAGTTTATTACAAATTATGTATTATGTTTAGTATAAATTATGTATCAAAAAACAAAACTGGTAAAACTTGAATCAGCCGTGAAAAATTATAAGTACGAGTATTTTTATGTAACGAAACGATTCAGCATCTTCAAAACACGCTACATTAAACTCTACCTTGTTTGTGATAACTATAAAAAAATATGTGTCAAAATTACGGCCGTTGTTATTCACAAGCCTATAGAAATGCTACATATTTTAGTGAATCATCACTTCTTTTATGACGGTTTTACAATTTTCCATCAGTACTTCTGCGAACATATAACTAGTAGTTGGAAAAAGTGTAGTTCATAGTTGGCTATTCGCTTGGATTAGTCATTGCCACAGCTTCATTATATATATTTGTGTCGATACAAGTGGGGGCAGAGTCCCCTTTTTGCGTGTGTCGTCACGCACGCCTCTGCCACGTGCTTATGCTAATCCCGTATAGTAAACATTTCGTTCATTATCTGATAAATTATAATAAACATAATCTGCATACAATTATTATTATTTTGTTATTGTGACTTGCTGCAAACAGTGGCACAGTCCAAGTTGTGGAAACTTCCAACTCATGGAATCTCCAATTAGTGGAAAATAGGTTTTCCACGCATTCGGACTGAAAGCTTAGCTTCCTTTAATAAAAAATACAATGTGGCTCAGTATTTATAATAGGAACTCGGATCGTACATTTATACTTTTTTGGAACCAATTTATGGAACGATATTCGCTAAGGCAGCTTGCGGGAGGTGTAAGTTGGTAAAAATCGTTATGTAAGGAAACAGCGTTATGCCGCCTCTATTTCGATTATACCTAGTTGCTCTCCCCGTCTCTTTTAATGCGTGTTGACTGAACTTCTTTAATGTTTACAATTTATAATATATAGCGAAAGCATTTCTCAACGTTCCTTATTAATTGGTTTTCGCGTTTGGATGTCAACTAGTTGGACCACGCTGCAACGAGCATGCAATGTTGAGTAATAACATCCTGTGTTTTGACTCCCTGTTAGTGCATACGCGTATACCGACCAAGATTTTGCTGAATATAAAAGAGGGCTGAACGCTTTGTTGGTTTAAAAAGAAAAAACATTTCGTTTCCCTTATAATGTATTAAGCGAATAAATTTCTCGAATGAAACAAAACTTGTGTATGTTTAAACGTCGTTAATTAGGTGTTAATTAAGTTATATTCAATATTCGGCAGTGTCGAGCTTTGATAAGGAATCGTGGTTGTATAGTATTATTATCCGATATTAAATGAATATTTTTATTCAAATATGATAAATAAACTTGCGACAAATAAAATTATTACATTTATTTTAATTTTATCTGCCGTTTCTTATAAGCATCATTATATAATATGTTGAGAAAACATGACCCTATTCTTTGTCATTGACAGATTAATTAAGTTTATTACAAAAAGTATTATTTAGATTTCTTATCAAAAATAACTCATTTATTGATAAGGTATCATTGGATATTAACATTCTTTTTAATCAATTTTCTTTTACGTAATTCCAACTTTTTTGCAACCATTCAACGTTCATATTTTTTTGATATTATGTTGCATTGCTTATCTCCAAATTAATCCGTAATGCATTATCCTCAGCAATTATCTCACTGTAGCGAAAACATTTTGCCTCATATCATAACAGACGCAATTTCTTTGTTACAGGAGTTGGTGTTTTCAACTCGCAACGAACAATACAAAATGGGGTAATCATTGATAGACTGTTCAATTCTTAGCGATATTGAAGTCGGCATAGTGTTGTTTCCGTGTGCACGCTAGTTGATCACACCGGCCAGCATGTATTCTATGAACTATATTGGGAAGTTCATTGCGAACTTCCGGGATTTCTACAACGAGATCAACAGCGCGACGCTGACCGGCGCCATCGACGTGGTGGTGGTGGAACAGCCCGATGGCAGCTTCACCTGCTCACCGTTCCACGTGCGCTTCGGGAAGCTCGGCGTGCTGCGCTCCAGGTTCAAAGTGGTGAGTGCCTATTAAATGAAACTAGTTTCCGGATTTTATCGCGTTTTCATTTTGATTTGAACTTCCCGACGCTTCGAACCCTTTCCAGCGTTGATGGTCACGGGACAGACTGTGACTGGTGAGTGCCTGCTCTTAGTGCCTATACCCTACACACGAAGAACGTTAATGTTTTTCTTTTCTTTTATTTAGCGTCGTTCTCATAGTTGCATACCACTGATGTTTTAAGATGACGCATTCCATACTGCGTAGCATTTAAAAATGTGGAGCTTTACATTATATGACGATTGTAAGTGAATGTGATAGGTGATATGATATCCGTATGATACAGAAAGAGATAGCAGTCTACAGAGTTGCAATGTAATTACACCAATTTACAGGTTGATTACGCATTCAACCTCAGTTTAGATGCACTAGTGTCATGTCTACCTCTTATTTGTATATAATATCATCGGTTGCATACCTTTCGTCTGCGACAGTTTACAAGTCTGACTTAATTTTAATATGTAAAGTAGATACTGTAATTTTTGTCCTAGCTTGGTTTATTTAAGAAGCCTATATTTAACATCAAGTCTTTACTGAAGACGTCCCTTAAAAAAACGTGAATGTAATAAATCTGCTCTTCGTACATTCAAAAGTTGTGAGATGAGGGACAATTTAATGCTCTGTATATTTTATTTAAATAAAGAAACTGTTTGGGATCTCATCTCTTTAAAAATTATAGGTTTTCTCTTCATTTACGGAAGAAGTTCAAAATTATCTTAACTATAGGTTTAGATGAAAACGAATAAATTTCCTCGGTTTTTACTGGGTAAGAGAAAAACACTGAGTCACAATGACATTCAGCTATTATGTTTTTTATTCTATGTCGATTACCCATTATGTCATCTCCACATTAACATAACCAACTCCGTTGGTGGACGCATTACTAATGAAATATACAAACATATTTCTTTCTCTTTCCTTCTATATAACCGCGATTCTGTCAAACGATACTTTAGAGTTACGTAAGAGTTTGTAAACAATATTGATTGTGAAAATATTAAAATACATTTTGGATTACTTAAAATTTTGGAATAAAATTTCTTCTTAATTCTAATTTAGCTTGTGAAAATGATTCACGCCTTTCTTCCTTTTGCTCAGTATGGTGTGTTTAAATTGGAAAATTAATTACACAGCTATTCTCATGTGTGATGGTTGGTTGGCCGCTATTATTTTAATCGTAAAAAGCTTTAAAACAGAAACTTGATATAACCTGCTTCAAACCAATAACGTAACAAAAGCGTTTGTTTTGCATATATATGTAATCACTGCCCCCATGACGTAATAATAGAATTCATAATCAACGAATAAGTACCTAATTCGAGATAAGATTACATCGTACTTTTATTACTGTGTAGTTCCGACTTATTTATTTTGTTGCGTTTTTTTCATACTCCAAATTTTTTGTCTTTGTTATTTGGCGAGTTGCTTCTTTATTCAAATGCGTATTGCGTTAAAATAAAAGCTTAAAACCTAATAATTGTTTTCCTTTTATTAACAGTTAAGTCTCGCCTATCAGTTTATTGAAGCTGGCCTAAAATTGAGGAAGTGGCTATTCTACTTTATCCTTTAGCACCTTCAACCTTCATTACTCAAGCGGTTTGGGGCGTGAATGCAATTGAAATTGCCTGATTTGGTCTTAATAAATACATTTACAATGTTCTTTTCCATTTCCTATGAGTAGCTGTAATCTCATCAGTATTTTTAATACAGCCTAAACCTCAGTTCCGTAAAACCCTATTCTACTTAACCTATCAAGAGCTTAATGGTGAAACGGCACTTACAGTCGTTGATGTGTTTGACACAATACTTACTAAAATTTTATTTAGCTCTATAAAAAACAAATCGCGTTCGCAGTACATCAGAATCTGCCTGTGAATCTTCAAATATTCTAGAAATGTCGACAAACAGCTTTTTGTCGCTGCCCTTCCCTTGTTACATCTCAGTATACAGCGACACAAGTATAAATAGAAGGACCTTACTGGAATGGCGTCGGGGACTATTTTTCGCAAGATCATTATTATTCAGATCCATACGTTGTAGTTTGGCCCCTGAAGGCAGTTTCTCTCTTTCGAAATAGACGCTTTTCTATCACATTATCAAATAATTTTACTCAAACATTGAATTATTTTGTGAGATTGTTAATGCAGTGCTGACCTCGATAATGGACACAGTATTTAAGACGTATTCTATTTAAATATACAAAAAATCTGAATATGAATCAGTACTTATTTTTACGTATAATAATTTTGCTTTAACAGTTTTTAAATTAAGCATCCGTGTTATCGACCGCTATTAACTGTCCAGACGTATACGTATTAAGATGACGTACTCGTAGGCACGGGCTTGAGACGGAGCGAAATGGAGACGTTACGCATCGGTGAACGTGTCTAGAATATTCTGCAGTAAAAATTAACTCGTTACATGGCTTTAAGTATTTGTTGTTTAAAGTTGTACACTCGACGGTAAATACAACTGGAATAATTTGATTTTTGTTCTGTTGTGCTTTTGACAATATACAATTAGCTGTAATCCGAAGTATCGTATTTTTTGGCGCGTAAACAAATGCCAAAACGGAATAGGAAAACTGCGACCAACTCGCTCCGCAATTTGGAACGTTGCCGAAAAAAAATTGGCGCAAGAATTTCTCTTCGCGCGACCACCTGCTTTATTTTAGATTGTAAAAAGTTTTTATTGCGTATAAAATATAAATCAACTTAACAAATATGAAAACAATTTTTGGAATTCAGTTCATAGTTAGATCAACCTTGTACAAAAACCTTTGTTATAAAGTTAAGCTTATTTAATAAAAAGAATCGGTTCATTGATTTTACGGTGTAATTAATATATATATGTAATGTTATCCATTTATAATACTTTGCGTTAATATCTTGTGAAAAGAAAAAAATAAAGTCAAATATATTTTAGCAGATCCTTTTTTAACTCGCTAATAAAAATTTATCAGGTTTGGAACATTAAACAATCGAGGCGTAATTGTCTGAGGCGAGAAATCTTAAAATTTTGCAGTCCTTACCTCCTCTTAAAAATGTATAAAACTAAACCATAAATAGCATCATTGACGTCAGTACTGAAAACTTCGGAAGTGCTAGATGATATTAATAACTCTTTAAATCATACTTCAACAAACTTTAACGAAAACCTTAATTAATTTGCGTTCACTCCGTTTACCACCTTCCGCTCCCTGATAGAGTGTGTAGACATTACGTGCGTTTGCGCAGGTCGACCTGGAGCTGAACGGGGAGCAGCTGAACATCCACATGAAGCTGGGGGAGTCCGGGGAGGCGTTCTTCGTGGAGGAGGTGGGCGAGGAGGAGGCGGTGCGCTCCGCTCACCTGGCCACCTCGCCGATTCCCGCGTCGCACTTCGAGAGCCTGTACGAGCCGAGGCGCCGCAACTCCCTCTCCGCAGTAGAACCGGACCACGGCCAGGCGTCCGACTACACTAAACGACGGTAATGTGCGGCCTTGAATAGTCTCTATTGCTACGGTTAGTTTAATGGGTACGGTACGGTACTTGAATAGTTTCTGTTGCTACGGTACTTGAGTATTGAGTATTAAAGAGCCGTGATAGCTTTAATTCATTGTACTCTAGCATACTGAGTTCGGTCCCCGGTGCCAGCATCAATGAAATTGTTAATTTTAAGTGCTGAGTTATGGTTCTGTAAGTCGGACTCTCACCTACTGATGTTATCAAGTTACTAGCGGCTGAGAAATTGCCATTGTACCACGACATAGCGTAATACGTGTAGAAGTATTATACTTTTGCATTTCCTCCATTGTGTGCGGTAACCAAGGCCCACTAGTTTTTTAAGTTGGCTAATCGTTTTCACCTGAGGCTAATCACTTAGCACCAGTGAACTCCCTTCTCGCTCGACAGATTTTTCCATAAAAATAAAACAGTGGTAAGAAAGAAAAGCACGGTAGGCTTAAAAAAAAAAAAAATTTTCCATCGCGACATTCATGGTCGTCTTGCAGAGGCATTGTTTCGCCCGATCAGACAAAGCAGCAACTGATTACGTTACTTCCTTTTAAGCGGCAAATGTTAACAAGTAGAAAGTGAGTGCCGTCGCATATTTTCATGTAACATAAATTCGTTCATGGTAAGAGGAATATATGTTAACAATATAAACTTGAGTTTCTTACTCCAAGTCGACTTGTGCTTTTAATGGGTTTTATTGTAACTAATGATAGTTCCCATTTCCTTGGACTTGGTTTATGTTCTCCATTTCTTCCGGATTTGCTGAACGGCCGATTGCCACACCGACGATAATTTTAACTTATTTTATCTATATTTAACGTTCTAGTTTGGCGCATCTATTGTTATGCTAAAGGGCAACACAAAAAATAATTTTAAATATCCTTTTTCGCCATTGCTATTTTCTTATTATAAATATTAATGTTTAATTTTAAGTGCAGAGATTAGCACTAATAAAAAAATTAAAATATTTTTTGAAAAATTGACAACTTTAGGTCAACCGGAAGTACTCTATATGGGCACACAGCACAAATAAAGGAAAAAATCCGGAAAATAAAAAAAAAGTTGAAAATGAAGGTAAATTTCCGTACTTACAAGTAAATTTACGTAAATTTGCCCACAACTTTTTATTGTGTTGACTCGGGATCTTGATTTACACCTAATAGGGACTATAATAGACCTCAGTATCTGGTATAAATTTCACCTTGCCAGGTCCACTCGTTCCTGAGAAAATAGGTGGTTATTAATTACCATTTTTATTATGTCGGTATAATGGGTTGGTACGGAACCCTTGGCAGAGTTCGACTCGTTCTCTAGTTGCTCGAGTATATTTAATTATAAAGCGAGCGCCCGGACAATAGTTTTTCTTATAACGATTGAAATTAAAACATCTATAAATAAAAAAATGGCTAGAATCAGACACTTCAGACAATTGGCGTTTAACTACATTAAATGTAGATCCGATGTGCCCCACTTGAAAGTCTCTAAACGGAGTCTGTTAGACGAATCTTAAGTGTAACGCTGATTTCGACCTCCTGGTGCAGCCGAATATAGCTTGTGTAACGTTTCACTTGTAGGTACACAGCTGACGGGCAATCCATACAGAAGCCGGACTTGAGCAAGATAAAGGCAAAAGACGACAAACAACCGAGGGACGACCACGAGGCGTTGTTCGAAATGGAGCTCCTGGACGAGGTGTCGGTGGACTGGACTGACGCGAAGCCGAGGACCTTCGCGGCGGCCCAGCTGGGGGGGGCGGGCAGCGAGGCAAGCCAGGCGGTGCAGAAGATCAGCGCGGAGAACGACTTCCGCCCGATTGAGGCCGCCGCCGCCCAGGACGAGCCCAAGCAGAACGGCAACGGCAAGAAGAAGAAGAAGACCCGGAAGGCCAGCACGAAGAAGAAGCACCAGCGCAAGTCGTCGACCAGCTCCGTCTCGAGCCAGTCGGACCTGGTGGGCTCCGAGCCGCGCGCCACCCAGCCCGCCCCCATACCTAACAGCGCCGACATCAACTTCTTCAGTGACACCGAAGTGAACGCCACCACGATTAGGTGAGTGGTGATCCTCCTTAAGATTTATAGTGTGTACCTTTATGTTTTGATCGAAATTGGCCAGCGCTTGACTGCCATCCCACGGCCCAACTATTGGGGGCCGTCCATTAATCACGTGAGACTCGAAAAGGGTTTGGCAAAAATCACATGGCGGGAGGGATTTTTTCGTCAAACGAGCGATCTCCGTTACATTTTTATCATGCTCTTAATTTCAGAATAACAACTGGATATTTTTTTATACCTGTATTTAAAGATAATATTCTAAAAATTTTAAGATTCTTTGTGGGTACTTACTAAAACGTCATACAGGCTCGTACAGGCCTTAATTTTTCCTTTACTCGACTATGGTGACGTGTGCTACTTTGACCTGAATGCAGATAACCTCAACAAATTAGACCGACTTCTGAATAACTGCATTCGATTCGTCTTCAATCTCCGCAAATATGACCATGTATCGTCGTATCGGTCACAACTAAATTGGCTAACCATTCGACAACGACGCTCCCTAAGAGCCCTGACCACACTTTTTTCTTACCTTAATTCCCCATTTACTCCTTCATATTTATCTCCTCACTTCCAATACCTTAGCACAGTCAACACGAAGAATCTTCGCTCTAAACACAATCGTCTTGTGTTATGTCCTCCTCATCAATCTGATTTTATCCATTCCTCTTTCTTTGTCCAATCTATCCTTCTTTGGAATGAGCTCCCTCTCAAAATTAGAATGGCCAAGAATCGCTTTGCTTTTAAGAAAATGGCACGCAAGTACATTCAGGGGAAATTGCCAGCAGTTTCATGACATCATCACATAAATGTGTATGTATATGTATATAATATATATATTTAATTATATATGTATATTAAAGTATATATGTATATGTAAGGTAATACTTATTGTATCGTTTAAAAGTATTGTATGCTAGAATTATATTATGTGTTATATTTTTATATTTAATAATTACCTATGTATTTTTTTTCTTTTTAGTTTATAACTGTGTTTGTGCACCTACCTCAACTTCTCAGTACCACCCTAAGGTTGACTGGTAGAAAATGCTGTCAGCATTAAGTCCGCCTATGTACTGTTTCGTGCATGAAGTTTAAAAATAAATAAATAAATAAATAAATAAAACAATACACGTTTTGGGTGGGGTTGGGGGGGGGGGGTAGTCTTAACCACGTATCACCAAGGGGGGTTAAAATGCTAAACGTGATTAATAGACGGCCCCTTGAATGCCCGAAATTTAAATGTGCCTTCGAAGTTCTCCCAACCCATTGTGCTGTACACGGTTTATAGATATGGGATGATTCACATATTTGGCCCTCTCGCTCGCGCCGCAGAGTGTATCGTTCACCGTATCATTACCGCTGCACTTTGTACAGTTGCGAACGACGCTGTTTCCCTTTTTATGGACTTGGATTTATTGCATTATGCAATATATTTGCGAAGCGATGATTCGACTCGACAGTACATAACCTGGCGCATTTAAATTTCGCGCTACCAGTATGAGGAACGTGCGTTTGTATGGTCCCTTTTGATTGAGCCGGGTTAAATGGTTGCAGTGAAGAGATGTCGAATTTCAAGCTGAACGGCGACAACCGCATCCCGCTGGCGTTGTCCGATACAGCGTTCGAGGTGCACGCAGCCCCCAGACACGCGTAAACATTATATTACAATAACCCACTCGCCTCGCTTCACACTGTTGTCTCATCGTACGGTCATACATATTCATATTTTTATATAGATTAATATCGAATTTGGAACGCTTAATGTAAACAACGTAATTTAATCATAAACTGTATTGGTAGTAAATGTACGTAGCACATTTCTCATTATAGTGTTTGGGTCAACGTAATCAGATGGCTTAATAAAAGTATTTTGCTCCAGTAATTAAAATTATCGCTCCACTTTTGTCCGCTATTACAAGCTACATTACTTGTTGTATATAAATACTTACGCAATAATAACCTTAGACATGCAAATAAATACTTAATCTGATATATATTAACATTGCTATCCATGACGTCCGTTTCTCCAGCAGATGTAACATGGTTACACAACATGTAAAATATAAAATACATCTGTAATAGTAAGATAGTAGTTGTAAAGTTACCAAGACTTTCTCTTATATATTTTTGTATAAAAAAAATTAAGTAAAAACTGTAGAATCAAATCCAATTATTCAGTTCATTTATATTGCCTTTTTAGGCATTCGTTTGAAAAGATAATTAATTATACACACATCATATTACGGTAATCGGCATTGAGACACCTAATGATACATTTGCCATGTCAATGTGTTAGTCCACTGCCGGTGTGAAAGTCGTATCCATTAAGATTTTGAAATCATACGATCATGCGATAAACAACTATGATGCATCGACTCACCGATATAATTTACTAAATTATATACATTATATCGAAGTAACATTCGTTGTAACCAGATATAAATCTAAGGTATCGAATTGTAAAAATTATCTATAATATTTAGTGGATTATTCCGCTTACCTAATTGAGGCGCAACTTTGAAGTCGCACTAACACGGTAAAAGAACCAGCGCACGCGTAAATACTTACGCCACGCATTAGATACCGTCAGCGCTACCCGTTGCTTTACGGGAATAGCGACTCGATTGAGTTTTTATGCACCGCTCACACACTTATACGTGTTAACCTTGTTTTTATTGCCACTGCCGTTGTTATGTAAACGAATAGACCGTCGCCATAGCAACGTCGATTCAATGATCATTATATATGTGTGTGTGTGCATATATATTGGAAGCCGCTCCTGCCGTCCCGCCTTCACACCCTCTTGTGTGAGAGCGGGACAGGCAGCAGCAATAGATCTCGTGAGAGCGCGCGCCATACAGTAGCGATGTGTACCATTGTCCACGCGGTCTAAAATGCGCCGCGCGAGACGCTCTATAAAGGATTCGCGGGGCGTCGTTCCTCACGCAGCGTCCCGCTCCCACGGCAGCGCGTAGAGACAGTTTTTGTACACCGCAGCAAGGGATCGCGCAGCGGCACGCCGGTGCAGTCCGACACGGAGGTGGAGCTGTCGCGCGCGACCGGCGGCGACAAGTCGTCGCAGTCGTGGCGCTGGGGCGAGCTGCCGGAGCCGCCGAAGAGGGGCGCGGGGGCGGCGACGCCGGAGTCGCCCGCGCCCCCCGCCAGCCCCGCGTCGCCCGCGTCCCCCGCCGAGCCGCTCAGCTCGGACGAGGAGCGGCCGGGCCGGCGCGGCGTGCTCAGCGGCATGTTCCGCTTCATGTCGGCGAGGGACGCGGCCCGCGACGAGCCCGCCCCCGGGGGCGTCTACCTGGACGACCTCGACCGCGGCCAGGTCGATCCCGACCTCTACTTCCCCAAGCACCACGCGGAGCGCTACCGCTCAGGTGAGTAGCATCTGCCGTGTACTCTATACATAACCCATGCTCTGTGGAAGGTGTTGAGTAGAAATGCCGTGTACTCGATCTATTAGGTGCGTGGTAGGTGCTGGGTTGAGAGTCCCGACAACCACTGCGACCTGGAAGATCTATTGTAGTCGTATGCGTATTAGGATCGAGCATTTCTTTCTACAGAATGTACTCGTCCGGGAAAGCACCATCGTCTGACAACAGTCCAGTGGAAATTTAAGTATTATACTTTTGCGTTTCCTCTGGCAAGTGAGGGTCTTTAAAACATGTTATCGGTAACGTCACTTATGTTGTTGATGTCCATGGGCGGCAGAAATCAGTGGTACCATAAAGAAACCGCCTAATCACTTGCCAACTTAACATAAAAAAGAACAATTCGCTTAGAGTAGATGCCCATTCTAGAAACTTTCAGTATCGTGTCCACGCTACTTGACTGTAAATCAGACTATTTTGTCATGCCTACTTGCATGTTTCGCATATCAAACCTATTAAGTTTGTGAACTGGCGGTTACGATAGGCTACATAATACAAGAGACCTATGTAATACAAACAAAGGCTCAAAGAAAGACTGTGGTCTTTGTTCATTCACGAATTAATTGACAAGTCTGCTATTATTGTGACACCTAAGCGCACAATTGATTGTTTGGTCAATTGAAAAAATTATAACGTTGGCTAAATTTGTAAATTTTAATGGCTGTGAACATTTCGTCTAATTCGTTTTGGGAGGTCAATGTACATATGTAGGTACGTAGTAACAGATAAATGGTTCTTCCTATTATATTTTTGATAAAATGATTCATTCATTGCACTGCAATACCGGACGTGATAGCGACGTGACATAGATATTATATGTTTTGGTTTCTTTGTAAATAGAGTGAATGACACAACTCAAAATTAAGGTATGGTAAATATATTATTTCAAAGTCTTTTTTTATTTCCGATAGATCATAAACGTTTTATTTTTCATAATATGTATTTAATTTGAATTAATAGTTTTTGCTTAGTCGTATAGTAATAAATCTCTTTAGACTCAATAACATGGGACTCGTTAATCTTCTTTTGGCTTTTAGCGAATGGTCGGTACGCGTGAAAAACCTTTTTGACTAATTCACACTTTTTCCGCTCAAATTAATTCACACTAATGGCGTACTCTATTGTCGTCTCTTCCTTGTAAATAAGTTCGTGACTGAATGTATCAATAGGTGTAATTTACTTTATCTTTTATCTCGCAACTATATCGATCTCGTATTGCGAATTGCGACATAGATGACGACTATTGTTATTATGCCACCGACCATAGATGGTAAATAGTGCTGAATACACTACATCACGACACTTGTTTTCCTTAACGTTTAATTGCAATTCATTCATGTATAGTTCTATATATCATAGCAATCGTATTTTTTAAATATGAATAAGATGTATTATCAGATTTTCGATCCAATCAATACGCTCGCTCGTTTGTAATGGTAATTCGTGTTTGGCAATTATATTAGCTCTATTTTAGTACGGGACCAAATGTCGGCTGGCTGGTGATATGCCATATAAGTGCAGTTGAATGGACAGTATATACGTTTATATTACGTGGAGCGTCCAAAGAAGCATAAATAGCAAATGTAATTTTACACAATTTTAAAAGGGTGACGTCGTTGCTAAACAATTAGCTTCGGCATCGGGGGTTGGATTCAATTCCCACTCGGGATAAGTTGTGTGACCCACAGATAATTGTTCCGGATCTGGGTTTGTTTCCCAAGGAGGGCCGACGTCAGGCAGGCAGCCGGTCGTAAAAAAATTGCCGAAACCGCTTACAACATGATTCACATGTTGTGCCATGTTGTCATAAACTCATGTGGGATAAGGGCAGAAGGAAGATGATGGCAGATTTAAAAAGGAAACTCGTGATAGAATGGAGCGTGTTTCGCAGGCGGCGGCGGTGTGCAGCCGGCCGGTGGGCCGACCGAAGAGGAGTACGAGTCAGGCAACGGGCCTTCATTGCCGCAATCGCCCGCTTCGCTAGAAGCGCCCCCTATCGACTCCGATGACGACGACAAAATACTCCACAAGTTAGTATACAAGTGCCATAAATAGCTAGTGTCGGCGCGCTCGCCTTTACTTCAATATTCTCGAGCGACCTGAGTACGATCCTCGGCGCCGGCACCAATGAAATTGTTAATTTTAAGTGTGAATTATCACGTGCTCAGCGGTGAAAAAAAAGCATCGTGAGGAAACCATATTTTCGAAATAATAACAAAAAAAATAATATTTTTGTCATGTCAATTCCGCCAATTCGCAGTGGGGCCGCATGGAGGACTATGCCCTGATACCCTCCCTTGCCTTTACTATAGTGCACTGTCGTAGGGCAGTTTCTGTTGTTACACGGATATCTAGCCTCGTCCGGGGAAATGCCACGGCCTCACAGGAGCCTGAATTGGAAGTATCATACTTTCGCTATCTGGTTAGTGAGGCAACCGGGGCCCACTTTTTCATGATTATCTGCAGCCCAATGTTGTAGATGGCCACCGGCGGCGATAATCACTTAACAACCAACTGCCCAACCTGCTCGCTTGTCCCACATTTCACATTAAAAAAACAATATTTTTATACTAGCGACCCGCGTTCGCTTCGTTCAGGTGAAATTCATTTTTAACAGCCAATTCTTCAAGCAGTGGCCGTCGTATTGTTTATGTGAATTTGTTTATACATTTTTGATGATACAAATAAAAGCTGTACCAAGCCTGTTCATATAGTTTACTTTGTGTATAGTGTTCATATGTAGTGAAAATATAGACACATATATAAATAAATTAAAAAAATCCAGTGGTTCTGGTGATATTACCCTGTCAAAAACTGCCAAAATTAAAAAATTTACTTTGATATAGGCCAAATGGCCTATCGCCAATATATACATACATACATACATAAAATAACATATAGCAAAAATCCATCTAAAATAATTCCCACTTCAAATAGGTCCGTCAAAATTTTTTTCATTTAGGTTCAACGAACGGGTTTTCGTAAATACAAATTCACACAATTCTTATTCTTCTTCACTAAATTCTTACATAGTATAAAACAAGTCGTCCCGCTCTGTCTGTACCTATATGTACATGCTTAGATCTTTAAAACTAAGCTACGGATTTTGATGCGGTTTTCTTAAATAGATAGAGTGATTCAAGAGCAAGTTATAATTCATACAAATATAGTAGAGAAACACTGACAATTTTAGATGTTTCTAATGCGACGTCGAAAACAAACCATCAGCATTGTACCCGTGCGAAGCCAGGGTGGGTCGCTAGTTTATAATATTTAGTATATATTTCAAAAGGAAATCCAATAGCCGTACAATAAAACGTAATGAATAAAAGTAATAACCGGTATTTCTTCAATCTCTTTGAATGTTGCATGTGTTTCCCCGCGCGAGAGACATATTTATGGGCTCTTTAAATATCTTTGTTTAACGTTGAGAAAGAAGATATTATCCAGGCGCTTGCTTATTCGAGCCATCTTGCGTATTCAGATCTGGTTGAGCGAAGACATTTGATTGCAAAGCGATTTATTTAGATGCAGTTAGCCAAGCTACACCCAATCGGTGAGGCTTGTGTTGTTAATATTATTCTAAACATGTTAATGATATGATTTTATAAAAACACATAATTTGTGTTTTTCTGCGTACGGTTTTAAATGCTATCTTTCTGTGATATGTGTTGAAATATGTTAATTCTTCATTTAGGACAATGATATCACCCGTTAACATATCCATATATATGTAGTTACAAATGATCGTTCGTCTGTGATCTGTATTGTGTCTATGACTAAATACCTAGACGTGCATATTGCATCGAGCACTGAGTAAGCGCGTGCCGTTGCAATTTTCCATCGCGTTCTGTGAATCCCTTGAGGTCTGACGTCATCGCTGTTCTTATGCAATTGTATAATTAGATTTGCATCCGTCATTCTATACTAGATTATTGGATGGAGCTTCAACTAAAATCAGCTTATGTAATTTACGTAATAATAAATCCGATTCATGCATTCTAAATATAATAATTGTACTCAATGAAAAGTACATCTAACGACCTTCTAATTTAGGTATATTCCTTAAATAAATTTATTACGTGTTCATATTGAGACGACATTTACATACATTGATTATATAGCTCGGCATTATGATATGGTCATTCTTGAAAGGTAAGCGGAGCGCCCTTTTCAAATGCCGTTTTAATGCCAACGCAACCCGTGTATTGTAGGGGATGTCTTTGAATATAGGTGTTTTCTTATCATTAGGGGAAACGCTTGTTTATTTGCAAGCATTTCCTTAAAAATAACATACTCTATAATATAATATCCTATTCATCACCCGCACGTAAGCGAAACGGTGGACGACAAATTTAGGAAGTTTGATACTGCGAACAGTTTCTTTTTAAATAGTTAATCCCAAGATTACGGGATTATTGATGTGCCGGAATCCCGGTATGGCGCGCTTCCCAACTATCTCATACGTCGCGTGAAGGAAAAAATCGCAAGGAGACCGGCATATTTTCGAAATGATAACATACTACACTACACCAACTGTGGTAGGGCCATGCAGCGGCCTCGGCTGTTGCATGAATGGGCAGGCTTGTCCGGGTAAGTACCACGACCTCACAGAAGACCGGCATAACGTGGAAGTATAATACGAGTGAGTGAGGTAGCCGGACCCCAATTTTCAAAAGGTTGTCAACGCATCTGCAAACTTCGGGTGTAGCAGATGTCCGTGGGCGGCGGTATTCACTTAACATCAGTTGAACCGCATGCTGGCTTGACAACTTGTCACATAAAAAAAAATATTTCGAATCCCCATTGGGGTCGCGTGGTGTACTGTGCCCTAATACCCTCTATACAGGGGAGGCCTTTGCCCAGCAGTGGGACATATATCATTTATAGGCTGTTACCTTACTTTTGTTTGTGCGCACCGTAGGGGCCAGGTGTCGGTGTACGTGCGCGAGGGCGCCGTGTCACGGTCGCTGCCGTTCGAGGAGTTCTGCGTCCGCGGCGAGGCGCTGGCCGCCGAGGGGCGGCTGGTGGTGCGCGTGGGGGCCCGCTGGCTGCCCTGGCGCAGCGCCGGCCCGCTGCTGCTCTCTCTGCTCGCCTACCGCCGCCCCCTGCCCAACGTGAGTGCGGCACCCCTGACTTGACTAGGGTTACGATACACGCAAGCGCACTTTGGACATTTTCCCACTGCCCGGTTTGAGCTCGGCTCAACATGCCCGTTTTAGTGACCATTGTAGTCCTATTTTAAGAACAAGCGTATGTACTGAAGTGTTCCTAAATAAACATGTAGCATCCGTCCGGATTTATGTCGGCCCCATAAAAATGTATATTTTGTCGTTCCAAGATCCCTAATATTTTTCCCGTTTCATTGCTATCGTTACTTATAACAAGTACAAGCAAAATAACTAGTTCGGTTCGATACATAAAAGAAACGATGCTCGGTACATTGAAACGGCCGCTATTACGGTGTACCGGAGAGTGCGGTAGTAAACACGTCGTGTTTGCTGCAGCGCATCTTGGAGTCGCTGGACAAGGCATCGGCGGAGGCGGAGGCGGGCGAGGCGGCGGGCGCGCGCGCGGGCGGTGAGAGCGCCGACGCCAAGCCGCGCTCCTACTCGTGGTGGAGCTGGCGCCGCTCCAACGCCGACCCCAAGCGGTGAGCGCGGCTTTTTCCTCTAACCTGCCAGCCTCGCGACAGATCAACGTCACGTTGCTGCCAGAATTTTTTTTTATTCGTTCAATTGAATTTGGAATGTCAGTCGGCATTAGCATGAGCCATTTGTACGGAGGTTTAACAATCGAAACAAATTAAGTAGAACTTTCACATGGTAAATTGGAATCTATATTTTAATACGTGAAGCGAAGCGTTCAAGCGTGAAGAATATTCCGCGTAAGGAGTGTGAGATTTGCACATAGCAAATGTTTATGTAGAGAAATAATGCATAAAGCTAAAAATTGTTTACGTTCATACTATCAATCTCAAATACCCCAGTCTGTTATCAAGTGGTTTGTAACCGAGAAAGAAATACAGATTGTTGCCAAAGAATTTTAAAATTTCACATTGTCTGGAAATCCGAATCAGTCTGAGAAAATTAATTATTTAGTAAACTTAAATAATTTCGGTCGAATTTGACTATCAGATACTTGATACGCGTCCAAATAATTGATACGTGTATAAAAATTTCTGCAATTATTACTAATAATTACTCTTTATGCACTATTTACAATATTCAACAAAATACTCAAATTTAATATTAACCACATATTAAAACTAGCGTACACTCGTAAGAAGTGAAACTTTTTTATGACGTTATTTTTCAAAAAATAATTTACTATATGCAACTTTACAGAAATTGGTTAAATAAAGTTAAATGAGATAAAGTTTAATAAAAGGCTTTTATTATCATAGACATAAATACAAATTCTACAATTATTTCATTTTAGCTTTGTATAATATTTATATTCTTATTTGTAATACATAGGTGGCGTTAGTAATAAATTAAAACACACTATGGTTTGACCGTTGTAATTAGTATGAGGGTCCGCAAAAATTGTTGATTAAAAAACTTGCAACGTGAACCTTGTTTATTTCAATTAACCTCACGGACCCAAAATACAACCGCTTTGAATTTGTACATGGTCCTTCGTGCCGAATAGTTAGCCAGTGAGTAGAAGGCAGACATTCGACTCGCGCGCGAGTGTTGTGAGTGAAGTTTTTTTTGGAAAACCGAACTTGCGGACGTTGGATCGACGTCGCAACCGCAAGTTCCAGGAGCCGATCGAGGTTTCGAAGAGCATCATCGGTCAGCTTCAGATTGTGTCTTCGGTGGTGCGCAGTCAGGTCACGGTGGGCGGTACCTGCCTTTGGAGAAGAGGAAGTCGACACAGTGTCATGCTCTGAAGTATTAGAGCTAGCACTGTCATTACTACAAAGATTATTATTGAATTTCATTAATTGTAACAGAATTATTACTATCATTGATGTCGTTATTATATATTTGTGTTATTAATGGCTTATGGTAACTCAAATACGAAATATATTGTTTACATTTTAGAATTTGAATTAAAATAAACCCTTTGATTTTGCTGATCACTTTAATATATAACATATATATATATATATATATATATATATATATATATATATATATATATATATATATATATATATATATATATATATATATATATATATATATATATACTGCTATGAACACACGAAGGAACTAACGTCAACTATTAAAACCACTAAAGAATAAAGACGACATAAAACCCCCTATTCAACACTAGATGGCGTTAGAGGAACATTTTAAGATAAAAAAAGATGGCGCGTAACGGAAAAATGTTACACTAAATTTTTTTCCAACCCCGATAAAGAAGTTTCACTTCAAAAGTTTCACTTCAATAATAATGTACGTAATAAGAAATTAAGTATGTAAAAATAAGCAAAGAGTTCACTTGAAATAATATTCTTTAAGGATTGAGCCATCGCCGCCTAAGGAAGAAATCGGGAAGGACTTGATTGCAGCAAGGCATACGTCGGAAATTACCAAAGCCTTGACAGATATGACAATTAGTCAAGACCAATTGGACAGCCCCGGTGAGGAAAAGGACAGAGATTCAGAAGAGACTAATGTCAATGATGTCATAGAGCCAATAGAATTGACGCAGAACGATATGACAGAGGCGTTGCCAGATACGGAGCTGCCTCAAGATAAAGGTATTTCATCATTTTTGTTACGTGTATAAACAATATCTTATGTACATTTATTTACTTTTAAGTATAGTAAGATAATATATATGAATATTGATAGCTATTGATGAATAAAATTAAACAACATACAAAGATGCACTACTCTCAATGTTTATGTTGAGGTATTAAAGATAATATGTTTAAATTAATCTGAAGATATTAATTTATTAATAATTAATCATTTGATCATTCTATATGAAGTGCTCGAAATTAGTTTTTCACTTTAGACATTTAAAACATACATATTTATTAACTGTTACGTGTTTCTGCTCAAACCGGTGAGTTCTCCGTCAATAACGTTGAGGCTCACGATTCCATTTTCATAAAAGATGTTATAATTACATCCATACAGAAATCCGAAAAAGCGGAGGGACGTCGTTGATAACATTAATGAAAACAAATGTTTTTATCAGCGCGCTCCTAACCCAATTGCGGTGAAACATACAATCGGACACCCAGCGATGCGTGTTTTCGCATAATTGTGCGCAGTGCACCGTTTGCGGTTAACCTCACGGCTGCCAACGTACGAATGATATAATTACCTATAATTCTCTGCCCTTCAAAGGTGAACAGCAAGATCAGAGTTCGTCGGACTCCGAGCAAGAGACGCATCAGAAGCATTCCCGTCGCCAATCCACATTCCGCAAAACTCTGCGGCTGTCTTCCGAACAAATCGTAAGCTTATATAACACAAGCAAAACGTTTCACACATGCCTTCACAATAAACGCATAAATAGCGTTGAAAGGAGATGTTAAAAAGCAAAGTGATAAAAAATAATCAAAATAGCTAGCGTTGAAAACTTTATTGGCTCTCATATGTGTGTGTTTTCCAAGCCAATAATATAAAATAATGCCAACTTGATTTAGCTTCGCCAATAGGCATTACCGCTCATTCCAGAAACACACCGCGAATATTTCATACGTATTACTTACGACGTCATTTTACGTGGCAGTTCTCATGCGATAAATATGCCTTGGATTTGATGATTCCACTACAAGAAAAGCTTTACAGATTTCGTCTAGTTGGAAAAAAACGTAGCCATACAAATCCAATAGTGGTTTTCTTTTTTTTTAGTATTATTGACACAATCACCCATTTATAATTATACCGATGAGTCATAGCGTATTATCTGTAGCGTTATTGTTATGTGCAATCATAAAAAAAAAAGAGGAAAAAAATATTCCGTATGTTTACAGTCCTTTCGCGTTAAGTATATTGAGTCATCGCATCGGTGAAACTGCATTGTGTATTCATAATGAAGTAAAATTCAAAAAATTTATGTTTCAAAAGATTAGGTTAATTGGAATACAAAAAAGCAACTCAATTATCTTAAATTAAAATAAAGTCGTTAATAATAATAACAATACAATGTTTAACAGTATCACTTGAATCATCCTACGTAATTATTGCGAAAGGATGTTCTGCGAGTTCCGTGACGTCGTTCAAATTACACATTTCATTTACTTCTCGTATCACGTGGTCACAGCATTTCTTATTTTTTAATTGTCCATTCTACTTAAGGTGACTGGTATTTTTATATTTTTCTAACAGAGATTGATGATTCACTATTTTTTCAACGCGAATACGCTATAGTAATAATGTACTTCTTCAATTTATGTAGTTCTTGTACCAAGATAGTTTACCAAAACATAAATAAAATAAACATTCCAATATATTTTATGCTTTTTACGATTCGTGTAGTGAGCAATGTTGAATTTGTTTTAATGTGAAAAAGTAGCAAACGAGCTGACGGTACAACTGATGTTAAGTAATAACCGCCGCCCATGGACATGCAACACCCGTAGGGCTGCAAATGCGTTGCCACCTTTAAATAAAGTGGGCCCCGGCTTCCCCACTCACCAGACGAAACGCAGAAGTGTAACACTTCTACTTCACGCCGATCTTCTGTGAGGTCGTGGTACTAACCCGGACCCTGTGAAAACAACAGTGAAAATTGTTACGTGGTCCTACCACCATGTAATTCTTTTTTCTTTTAGAAAAAGCTGAACCTGCGCGAGGGCATGAACGAGATGGTGTTCAGCGTCACCACCGCCTACCAGGGCACCACGCGCTGCAAGTGCAACGTGTTCCGTTGGCGATACGACGACAAGATCGTCATCTCCGACATCGACGGCACCATCACCAAGTATGTCCTTCTCTTGCTATCCCTTTCTCACACCGATCACGGACAAAAGCGGATGAGTTCTAAAACGATAATAAAAATATCTCACAGTGTTTTACGATCACAAAGATTAAATATATTGAATTTTTAATTGTTGAACTCAAAATAAGTTAAAGAACTCTATATAAATTAGAAAAAATGTTTTAGTTGATTTGTTAGTTTTTCTGTCTCTAATAAACATATTTTTGCTGTCTGGTCAGATCCGATGTCCTTGGTCACATTTTCCCGCTGGTAGGGAAGGATTGGGCTCAATCGGGTGTTGCGCAGCTCTTCACCAAAATCAAGAATAATGGCTATCAATTGTTGTATCTGTCAGCGAGAGCCATTGGCCAAGCGCGGGTAAGTATTTTATTAAGTTTAAAATTTCTCTCACAGTCTGTCTGACAAAACAATGTGGATACTATATATCTAAAATATAAATATTGAATTTGTAGCTATACACATGAAAGTCTGAAAAAACCTTAATTCGTAAAATTACCTTTTTTATTACAAAATTAATAATGTCGAAACAAAGTTAATTAATAAAAAAATTAACTAATCATGTAGGCCTGAAAAATGTCTGTGCTCTGAAAAATGTGAAAAATGTGTGTGCTCTGAATTTTTTGACTATTATTTAATAAAAAAATACTGGTATAAAAGCCATATTTCAGAACATAACAAAATAATATAGCGTTCGGCGAATAGTCATGTGCGAATATTCTGAAAATATAAAAGCAGAGCTGCGTATGAAGGGCGCTATCGTACGTTTAATATTTATAAAATGCTGGCCGGAGCGCCATTAGGTAATTTAAAAAGGAAACAAACAGCTGGCTATATAAAGGCTGGTGCCGCAGGTGACGCGCGAGTACCTGCGCTCCATCCGGCAGGGCGAGGTGTGCCTGCCGGACGGGCCGCTGCTGCTCAACCCCACGTCGCTGCTGCGCGCCTTCCACCGCGAGGTCATCGAGAAGAAGCCCGAGGAGTTCAAGATCCAGTGCCTCGCCGACATCAAGGCGCTCTTCCCGCACGGCTCGAACCCCTTCTACGCGGGATACGGGAACAGGGTGAACGTGAGTGTCACATTTGGTTCTCTTCAAGGGAGAGTGAGGCGAACGAGAAGTCGTTCGATGGTGATTACACATAGTCCATAGAAATACCCAACCGACAATAGTGGGGTTGCAAGTACATTACCGAACTGTATAAGGGGAACCTCTGGTCGCAGTATTTATTAGGTAGTTGTCAGTTCACAAACTTTCCACGTCCAACTATTTGCACTGACTTCACTTTCCCAAGGGAAACCAGCCCTAATGGTCACATGCCTTGCGAAATCTAGAACTGGTTATTTTAAAAAAAAAGTAATTTTATGTCAAGTTAAAAAACTTGCAATGAAAATATATTCCTTCTATTAGGACGTGTGCGCGTACCAAGCCGTGGGCATTCCGATCGTGAGGATCTTCACCATCAACTACAAGGGCGAACTGAAACACGAGTTGACGCAGACATTCCAGTCCACGTGAGTAGCGCATTCCCTCATTACCAACAATGCACCTAACGTCGCCCCACACGAATCCACCGCGCCCTCCGTGTATCACTAACCTATTTATATCTCTATCAACGTGCAATGTAATAAATGAGCTGTTTCTATTTCAGTTACCACGTGCAAAGTGACATGGTCGATGATTTCTTCCCGCCACTGAAACGCGATAGCCTTGTTATATGCTAGCGGCGATTTAGGCGTTTAGATTAGATTAATTATTGTTAGAATGGAAAAGAGCGCGACACTGTGCCGGTAAGGCCTACGGCATGACTCTCAGGGCTTGTCACGTCTGACACCGCGCAGTCATCTTTCAGTACCATAACAGCTATCAAAATAACTTTCATGCGAACAAAAATAATAATTTTCGACTAATAACGTCCAGCAATCATCGACTTGTCATCTATTTTTCGTTTGTGTGTGCAGCGATCGCTGGTAGGGGGCTGTTTACAAAGTTTTCACTAATATCTATTCCTTATTAACAGCAACCACACTTAGAAGTACCCTAACTAAACCCTTAGCAAATAAGGGATAAATTTTAAAGCCAGTTTTTTGTATAGCTCTGTGTTCTTTGTGTCCATATTTCAGCTAATATCGTTCCATATGAAAGAAGTTGCGGGTAATAACTCGTAAATAATAAATAACGCCTGTTCATACTGATTTCGTATAAGATATAAATACTACTTTTATGCCTTTCTTTTGAAGTATCTGTGTTCCAAGACAGAGTATTTTTTAGCCATGTTATTATTTGTGAAGGAGCACTCTAGAGCGTAACTAAATCATACTTGGTTTGCTTAATCTTCACTTTTGACAATGAACATAAGGTTTTTTATTTTTGATATCTTGTAAAAAAAGTGAAATCGTCAAATCAGTCGATATGTCTTACGATGACTTTGGTTAAAAGTTATGTAGTGATGTGACACTTTGCGAATGTAAGTAACGCAATTTTTCTATTCGAGAGGCAATTTATCGTTTTGACGCGTACAAACGATTCAGCCGATCGTGTAAACAGCCTCACGCCATGTTTTGTCTTAAATAACATGGCTTATGTCCAAAAAACTCGTCTTTACGCTGTTGGTTCCATTTGCGCACATAACTTCCTATTACGTTGGTGTTGGAAAGTTTTGTTTATTATTTATGTACTGTAACACAAAAAATAATTAAAATTATTGTGGTAAATGGAATCCCTTAAAAAGTATACTAACAAAAATATTAACTTGTGTATACATCGGTGTTAGAAAAAAAGTAATTAGAGAAAAGTATAACCGTAACTTTAATTGTGTATAAAAATATTAATTAATTACTATTGCGATTCAATGCACAATTAGCAGGCTTTTCCGTTTTTTTGTTATTAAAATTTTGCCTTTATTTATTTATGTATTATTTCATTTACGTTTTGGCTTTAATAATATCATTTAAATTCCTTGTAAAAAAAAAAGATTTAATCGTACATTAGTCAAATATTCACATTTAACTTATGTCGATGGTAAACATTAGGGATATACAGAATTGGAAAAGTAACTACAGCACACTTTTCTATTCCACCCTTTATCATCCGAATAAGAATATGCAACACCGTCTTTAGAATTTGCAATGTTTTACTCTAAAAAAAAGGAATTGTTTTTAATATGTATGATGACAACTCACTTAGATTGACTCGATGGCTAGGCCGCTAAGCTATTGGTTTCGGCGTCAAGGGTCGTGGGTTCGATTCCTACACGGAACAAGTATTGTGTGTTCCACAAATAATTCTCACGGATCTGACTTTTGTTCCCCAAGGAGGGCTGACATCAGGGAGGCGGCCGGTCTTAAAAAACTGGTCAATTGCGAGTCAGATTCGCGCACGAAGGATTCTGTACCATTATCTATATACATATCATAAAACCATGTATGTTATATGGGAGCCCCACTTAAGTATTTTTTGTACTGTTTTTTGGTATAAATGAAACTAACCGGAGTTTTCATTATTGCTTAGGTTCTTTCTATTTATTTAGCAAGGTGTTACGGTGTACAACCATTACCCATGCTGAACAATGGCACCAACTCCAAAAATTGTTGAATTTTGTCAGTTTGACGTTAAATAGGTTATATAATGGATAGAATCCTATATAGGTTGTATAGTATTTTCAAGATTTGATTATATTAGATCTAGTATTATTTTACTGCTAATTCTTTTCACTGCTAATAGAGTTTTTTTGAAGTACTTGTTAAAAATCTTTTTCCGGGTGTCGCACATCGTAAAATTCACTCATCATTTTTAAAGCCTCCAAACTCGCCCAAAGAAGTATAACTTAAAAAATACGTTTGGCGAAATGCGGATAGCATATAATTATCTACATCTATTCCTTTAGAGTTAACGGATGGACATGTCATGTTTGTCTATGCTTTGCGATCCGGACGCGTTACTTTACATTTCTGTGCAGGTACTCGCACATGTCTGTGCTGGTGGACCAGATGTTCCCGCCGGTGCTCTGCGAGCCGACGGGCGAGTTTTCGCACGCGGTGTACTGGCGAGATCCGCTGCCCGAAATCGTCCTGCCGCCGCTGCCCTCAGCCCCCAACAACCCTGTCAAACACTAAGACCCGTGCCAACCGCAAACACAACGGATTGAAATAATTCAAGAATGAATAGTGCTCATCAGGATGCCGTCAAGCCCTGATCCAGCAATAGTTTTTATCCGCCGTATTCGTCTCGTCTTATCTTTACTGTGTGTATTCATAAAAGTTGGCTCTACGATTTAATAAAAAAATGTCGTTGGTGAAGTTATTATTGCAATTTGCACGATTGAATTTAGGCCTAGACTGAAATTAACGCACGGGAATAGAAGTGGAACTATAATGAATTGTAACCTCTTTCAGTTTACCGATTTTCCAGTTCGTCTCTTTACGTACTCATTATTTTTATTAACGTAGGCAGTTAGTTTGTTGAAATCCCGCCGCTACCAACCGCATACCAAAATGCAATCAAATATTATGTGTAAGAAAGCACACGCAATGCTTCCCTCATTAAAGTTGTTTTATCTGTATGTATGTGTTTAGTGTTGGTGAATTCATGATTTTTATATTATCTGAGTGAACATTGTGATTTCAAAAATGAAACCCAATTTTTTAATATTTGGTGAATTAAAAGATAAAACAGCCAGTACAATTGATGGTTCTGGCATGATTAATTGACAAAAGAATTATTTAATTATTATAACCTTAATTTCGTTTTAATAAGTGTTTGCTATATTGTTTGACTTAGTAAAAAAAGTTAAGACATTTTAGAAGACTAATTCATTAGGAAACGAGCATGATAGGAGCATAAGATAAGTTCATAACAGTTGTTACTCAAAAGGATATTTTCTTTTACGTGAACAAAACAATGGCACATTGGTGCTTTATAATGCGAATAGACTACCGATTACTTTAGTCTTTTTATAAGTAGCGAAAGTATGTTGATTTTATATGACATCAAATTCTTAGTGACAAAAACAATTTTCTCTTTTAAGTTTATATTTGTTTAGGGTTGGCATAGTTCCGCCAAACCGTCTCATCGGAATGCTATCGGTTTGTAGTACTAAATATGACATTGAAGCATCAGACCTAGTGAAGGCGTAGTTGATATTACAAACGTGCTGTGATATACGTGATCTCAGCATCACTGCACCAAGGGTTGCTTGCCGTTGTGGTTTCCTCCCATGCATTTTCTTTAACATAGTGTTGATTTTATAAGCATCCCTACAAAAATTTAATCACGGCAATTACCATCAAGTAATGAGTCTTGTAAAAATAACAAATTAATATACAATCGGTACAACCATAATCCAATAAATAAATAGTAAATTCCTAAACAGTAACGGAACTATATAAACTGCAAACTTAAGACTGTTTACTCTATAGATCGCATAATGCTATATGATTTGCAGATTTTACAAGCTGTGATGTCGTCGATTGATGAAGCAATGCTTTATTTTTGTACTGTGATTATATTATGTATGCTAAGTTATTTTTTATTTTAAACTACACAATTTACACGAAGCCGGAGGCGTAGGCATATGATGCTAGTTTTTAACGTAAATTTCTTTTAGTGTAATCTTTTGTAGTGATTTAATTAATTTTGGATTAGGTTTGTTGTGGATTATCGGTTTTAGCTGATTTATTCATTTTGTAGATTAATTATTAATGAGAATAATTTATTGTTTCTCATTGCAAAAAAAAAAACAGCAGACATGTTACTTTCAGTCGTGTGTTTCATTGATTAAAGAAGTTTAAATATTTATTTGAATTCTTTCATTTTCTTGTCCCGTGTGAATATTCTGTGTGAATGAATCCAATTTTGTCATTACCATTTTAACTTGTGTTCAAATATATGCTTGGTTTGGAAGGAGTCCATGACCAAAATTTCAATGATGTTTCTGTGATCACAAGAATAAAGACCGGCAGTGATCACCGATTGGAGAGAGTCATATTGAATATCTTATCCTTTAAAAGAACAAATCTTGTATATATATATATATATATATATATATATATATATATATATATATATATATATATATAGTCCTTTTCCATGACTTGTTTGATCCAGCAAAATTAAAAGAGTACTTTGCTGATCCACCTTTCTGTCCAAATTTACTTGCCCTTAACCTTTATTTTAAAGGCCGGAAAGCATATATTTGAACAGCGTATTGTGTCGCTTGGACATATTTCTAAATTCAGCAATATACTCTAACCGTTGTTTTATACTTTTCCAAAGTATTTGTGGCTCCGCGTAACGGTTTTTTTCTCAGGCACTTTTTAAACATTTCTTGATCCCTGTGAGCGCGCATACGCAGCTCGACGTCAGTGTTCGTAAAATTAATTCCACAGTGTTTGTAATAAGAACTGAATTTCCATGTACATTTTCTATTGAGTAAACTGTTACTATATGTCGAATATAATAACCTAGATACAAAGAGATGGTTATACCCTATTTCTTATTAATTAGTTTACCGTAGGATGCTAGTGAATAAATATTTTTAATATTGTAAATATTATCGATTGATATTAATGAATCCTTGGGGCATTATCAAAATACCTACTTACTATAAAGTGTATAGTTTTGTTGTTATGCTTGTTAGCACATGCAGCCTGTGTTAATTCGATTGAGGTGAAGCCCAAAATGCTGTTCTCCTAAGTAAGCATCCTAATATTATCCCGAGTTGATTTAAGCAACTGGCGCGGCGGCGAAATATATTCTTTGAGCTCATAGCATTTAATAAAAATTTAACTGATTGCTGTTTGTACATAGAAGATATTTGAGAAAAATCATTATTAGGGGCCTTTATCAACGCAGTAGAACCCAAAATAATGATAGTTAAAATTATTATCTGTTTGTCTGTGTGCGCTAACTTGGCTAAAACGGCCTTTCCGATTTCAGTGCAACTTTTACAAATGCATTGTAGTAAGCTTTTCTTAACATTTATTGTTTTATTTAAGTCGGATGATAAATAAAATAGTTATATCAACTTAAAGAACCACATTGTATATTTGTGCGATGAAACTATAGTTAACTATGGTCTGTAAAATATAAACATATAAAGTTAAAAAAATCGCCCAAGTGCGAGTTGGAGTTGCGCACGAAAGGTTCCGTAGGTATTTTTAAGCACGATATAATGTGCGGGCGAAGCCGCTGGCGCAAGCTAGTTGTACAATATATTGCTACTATTGCAATAGGAAACGGATCAACAACGGTCGCAATGTAATGCGACAAATGATGTAGTGTGAAAATTTCTTTAGAGACGAGGATGACAATATTTTAGTTTAATTTTAACTGTTAAATTTGGTTACAAGTCATTGCTCAACTCATTATCAAATATGAGTTTGGTTACAAGAGAATAAATTATTATTATTTATTATGTAATCAATAGTGTTATTTAAGCTAGTGCTATACAGTGGGTTAAAGTTTGATTAGTTAAGAGATAATGTGCGATTTATCGGACAAATCTTTACATCAAAAGGGACTAAAAGATTATTTTAACCAAATAAAATAGAATATTAAGGAATAAAAAACATAGTTCTTTCTAGAAACATGAATAAATAATAATACGACGAAAAAAAATTAAGACTATTTCTATGTAGTCTATCCCAGAATATTTTTGTTACTTCTTGAAAGAGTTTAGAAAAGATTGGCAAAAAAAAATTCTAATTTTTCATTGTTTTATTACCAATCTAAGGAATTGAAATATGAAAAACATTAATAAATCAATCAAGATTTTTTTAATTTTTTGATTATTCTGTTCATCATCATCATCATTTCAGCCTGTTTGAGTCCACTGCTGAACATAGGCCTCCCCCATAGACTGCCACGAAGTACGATCCTGAGCCACCTGCATCCATCGACTTCCCGCACATTTGCACAGGTCGTCACTCCATCTAGTGGGGGGGTCGTCCTACACTGCGATGGCCAGTACGAGGCTGCCACTCGAGAACCTTTCTTCCCCAACGGTTATCGGTTCTACGAGCTATATGGCCGGCCCATCGCCACTTCAGCTTGCTAATCCTCTGAGCTATGTCGGTTACCTTGGTTCTACTGCGGATGTCTTCGTTACGAACTCTATCACGCAGAGAAATACCGAGCATAGCCCGCTCCATATTATTCTGTTCCTTTAAAAAAAATTACTTGAATTGTAATTATTAAAATAAATACATTGTTTATAAGATTTTAATTTTTTTCTTTTAGGAATATGATGCTTAAGGAAAATATGACATTAAAGAAAAAAATTTTTCACTGCTAAAAACGCTTTTTCTAAATTACAATTTTTTGTTGTTTAGTGTTAACATTATGGAACCATTTTATTAAAATCATAATTTATCACGTTGTTACATCATAAAAAAAATTATAATTTAATTCATTTTTTATTTGGTTTTGTGAACAGACGCTTGTTTATAAACAAACGTATTACGAGAAATGATGTTTATTATTTTTCTGTTCTTTATATAATTTTAAAATTATTGTACACTTGGACTTGTTGTTACCTATCAGGTATTCTCCATTGCTATTAAAATTACTTATAAACTATTGAAGATACGACTAGAACACTCCAAGTCTTATTTATTCTTCAACATTACTTTTTAAATATTGAAGTAGAACTACATTCATTTTATACATGAATTAAATAATTAACTGTTGAGTATTGATACCAATATTTTTTTTTATTAATTATTATAATATGTAAATTCTTAAATAATATATCACGCGCGCAACGAATTTACATTAAAATATAATGGTTGTGTTGCACGTGAATCTGAAAAGCGCGCGAGCGCTAGATATTGCTGGCCCTTTAAAGCATGTATTTCAACAAATATCACATTCACGAGATACAGTAATTCTTCTTAATAAGTAGGTACTGACGTAAAGTGATGATTTCAACCAATGAATGCTGCAATGATCTGTGATTCGTCCGTTTGAATTGGATCAAATAAGTACGGAGTGGATTTGTATAAATTGTAGCTACTTTCAAAAAGATATTGACGAGCAGTTGTTGATCCGAATGGAGCCACTAAAACACATACATATGGTATTGGATCAACAAATTTAATGGATCAACAAAAAATGATTACGTAACGCTGGATCAAAAACTCCTGACGGAGAACGCTGGATAATATACTCCTAGAACGGATATACTATATATATATATATATATATATATATATATATATATATAATCGAAATCTCGGAAACGGTTCCAGCCATTTCATGAAATTTAGTATGTGCGTAGATTCGGGGGTGAAAAATCGATCTAGCTAGGTTTCATTTTTAGAAATGTCCTTTTATCCCTGTTTTCAGGGAATTAAAAATATCATTCGAATATGATAGTAAATTTCGCCGCAAAAAAATGTTATAATAGCTCGGTCGGTAATCGGGCGGCCCTAAATCAGACGGCCGCGGTGCGTGTCAGATCATTTTATTTCCAAAATATATGATTTACCAAAAATAAAAAACCGAGAAAAGCTCGGTCCTCCAGGTACTTAACATTAAGCTGGAAAGATGTCATCTGATAAAGTCCACCTCATGTCCATATCCAAAATCAGCTAAGCTCGTGGAAGGTGTCCATGCTGTGGGCTTTAAATTTTATAAAGCGCACCGCACGAATGGAACCCATAAACTGTCCGATATCACTCCCAGCCTTTGAGAAAAGAAACGTGGGATGCGGCTGCAGTCTTTAATTGACATGTTAGACTACAGGCGGCTTGATAGAGATTAGATTAGAGATTTCCAAAGATATGCGAGACGCACTTTCAACACATCTCGTATTGAAAGCGCGTAAGCCAAAAGTCTTCGCCATAGATCTGTCTATCGGACAAAGCCAAATGTCTAAGTTATAGACTGACAACGGGGCTATTACCTCTCGATTAGACCAGAGGTTTTGAATGAGATTGAGAGGTTCTATGGACAGCTGTACACATCGTCGTTGGGGACACACGTGTGAGTTACGACCCAAGAGCAAAGCTTGTCCGACACGATGTCCGTCCAAGTACAGTCCAGTAGTATAAAACCTATCCAACTGCACAAGGGTGTAATACAGGGTGATGTCATATCCGCGAAACTATTCACCGCTGTGTTGGAATATGTTTTCAAGCTTCTGGACTGGAAAGGACGTGGTATTAATATTAACACTTTCGATTTGCCGACGAAATAGTCATCATGATCTCTGACATATCTTATTGTTTAATATCCCTCAATGTTTGAAGACAATAGTTTTCAAAAGTGATGATCTACGGAACCGAGACGTGGTCCTTGGCTGCTCGATGAGTATGAGGAAGCTGAAAGTCGCTCAGCGGGCTATGCTCGGCTCTGCGTGATAGTTCTCAACGAAGACATGCCCAGTAGAACAAAGGTAACATAGTTCAGATGACTAGCAAGCTCAAGTGGTGATGGGTGGGTCATAGCTCTTGGAACCGATAACCATTGGGGAAAAAAGGTTCTTGAGTAGCAGCCTCGTACTGATCATCGCAGTGTAGGACGATAGAGTGACGTCGATGACTAGATGGAGTGACAACCTGTGCAAATGTGCAGGAAGTCTAAGGATACAGGTGGCTCAGGTTTGTATTTCATGGCAGTCTATGGGAGAGGCCTATGTTCAGAGTGGACTCAAACAGACTGAAATGATGATGATGATGATATTGATTATTACCATCTGGGTTGAGCTTTTGAGACATTTGCCCTTAAAGTTACATTACACATGTTGACAAACCTACTCTAAGCACACAATCTAGATTGAAATAAAATTTCATATATATTTAAACAATCATGTATTATGTTTCATCATCTTCCATATCTTCATCTTCAATCACGTTATTTTCATTGTCATTTTCATTATCACTTTCATTATCACTAAGTCCATCAAGATCTTTATGAAAACCTTTCCCTTTGGTCCAGTGACATTTAATGACAAATTTAAATTTGGCCATCTGAATGCCAAGCAGCTTCAATATGCTCGCTTGTTCAGGTGTTAATACAGCACCTTTCTTGCAAACCTTCAAAATTAAAAAATTCAAATGTTATTATTAATCAAAAGATACATTTTAATTTTTAATAATTTTTTGGTACATAGGTAAAATATTCATATTAACCAAAAACAGACCTGACTTCAAATACCTCACTATACATTTTCTAATTGATTAAAAAAATGAAATAATCAAGCAAAACACGAACCCAGTGAAAAAGAATTTTTAACATTGGTATATATATGATGGACTTCTCGGGTAACAAACATAAAAAAATACAATAGCATTCAGGACCTTCTATTTATAAGTTGCTTGAAAATTAAATAACATTTCTAACATAATTATATTTACTCAATTAAATTGAAAATATACCTGATATTCCTTTATTAAATGTATAACACCTCTTTCTAAAGATGTTGGAAGGCCAAGTTTTCGAAGGTGGGGTTCAATGGTGTGAGAAAAGTCTTCTAGTGGACCTTGTGATAATATTACATCTTTTGTAGCAATAAATCCAGCTCTGGCATATTCCGCAGCATGAAAATCTTTAAACCATTGCAGTACATCCATAACATCTCTGTTTGTCATCAGCAAACCACATTGACCCTTTAAGCGCTTTGAAAGCTGCAACAATTTTAACATAACTATATTGGTATAAAGGTAGGGTATTCCAAAAGTCATACCCTTTTTAATAAAAAAGCTAAATGTACACACACACACATATATATATATATATATATATATATATACATGTGTGTGTGTATATATATATATATATATATATATATTGAATTAAAAATGCTGTCTTCTTCTGCACCAATTGTTCAATTCAATAGCTATTATTTTATACCCCATAATTTTTTGAGATAAGTTATCCAAATATAGGAAGAAAAATAGAGCCCCATCACTTTTTGGTTGCTCTTGTAATGTCCTACATAATTGTATAAAATTTTATCACACATAATATGTCATTAATACTTGTAGTGATTTTAGTTCTCCATTTTTCAAACCATTTACAGGGTTATGGTCACTGGAGAAACCCATGAACAAAATAATGTGTTTAAGTACTTACAAGATTTAATTGATTTTCAACTTCATCACTTTTAGTCCTACCCAATGCCACTGCCATAACTTTGTTTTTACCAAAGAAAAACCTTGAATCCTTCCAATCACCTCGCAGATCTTTTAGTTTGGTATTTCTCATATTGTCCACAGTAAATAAAAAAATGTGTTCATATTTTGATAAGCAATTACGAATTTCTTCAATAAGTTTTTGTTTTAATAGAAGCCCCTTTTTGTTCGTTTTGGTTAAGGAAACTGAAAAGTTATGAAACACTTGTTATTAAATAGAGATTACGTAAATTACAATAAATAATTACATAATTGATGTTTAATACATATCGTATTAAACATCATTGAATTACCAAGTAAATTTATTAAAAAAATAGGTTATGGAAAATACTACCTTTTTTATCTCTTTTAGATTTCGGCATTTTTAATAAACTAAGTTTTAATAATGTTTTGGGTTGTTAATTAAAAGACACCGCACTTTAATTATAACTAGTTTTACTTTTCTATGTTTACATGTAAGTTTTCACGTGTTTCATTCTTTAACTTCTTTCAATCTTTCATCCAGGGTTGGATTTAGGTATAATCATAGATAAAACATATATACTGAAAAGTAATATACTGGAAAAAGACATATATACTGGGTATAATGAAAAAGATAATACAAGAACTTTTAAAAGTATTTATTAAAAAAAAGTGTACTATACTTTATAATTTTGATTTTAACAAACATTAATTTACTCCTGTTCCAAGATTATCAATTCTTAAATATACGATTCATCCTTAGAATTTAATTCTAATGACATATCCTCTATAAGAATAAAATCAGTACATTTCCCACTTTTGTTACCATCTTTGATAGCGTTACAACACTATGAAATGGCGTTTATGGATTATTTTTATTTCTTAGTCTTAGTTTAGGAAATAATAAATTAGTCGTACTGTTAGACATCTATGAACCCTATTACCAATCTCATAGTGCAATATGCAAAGCAAAGTTATTCTTCAAAATAAGCAACGAAAGAAAAAAATATTTAACGGCAATTCCCCATAAATAGTTCATTCATAAAGATTATTTATAATACGTGGTAATGATAAGTGGCAATATCCACTTTGTTTTGTTCAAAAACATTACAACGTTATTAACCCAACCCAATAAATCTTTTTTAATGTTGGATTGGCATTTATATTTGTCATTTATGTAATTTAAAGAAATTATAGTATTTTACGTACCTATTATCCGTAGATATACTTATACAGTACAAAATTCTACCCTGCCTGTTTTCATCTCATATCTAAGGGATGTCGAAAAAATATCGATATACCGTTATTTTTTATTTTATACAATATAACGATATTTTCAGTCAATAAAATATTCACTATAGAAAATCGTATCAAAAACTATATTTTTTCAAATTCGAATCCGGCACAGAGTCTGTAGGTGTCAAATATTTAATACTTGATATAGCTTTTTTTTGTTTCTAAGACCTAATGAGAAAATCTAGAATGGAGATGATATTTTTATAAATATCGATATTACGATTTATTTCTTCACTTTCCACATCCCTATCATATCTTCATATATATCGTTACTAAAGGGGACCATTCACTACCCTGCCTGGCAGTCCGCCGTGCAGGACTGCAAAGCAGGATGTAGCCCACACACTATCCTGCAAGCCGTCCATCATAGTGTCAGTGTTATTGTTGTAATAATTATGGATTTACGTGAAGTATCGAAAAAAAAAAGAAAATAGCGATTCTGCTATGTTTTTTTGTTGTTAGATAAAAGGTTTTATTAATAAATAACCTTTCCTCACATTATCATACTAATATACATAAAATTTAAGTAATAATCTAAGCTTTTCTCAAGTTCAACTATTTCAATATAAAAAAGTTTTTTAGCTTAGTTTTCGTTATCACATCAGTCGGGCTTCCCGGGATGCGCACGTTTTTTTTATTTAAAATAAAGTACCCAGTCCTGTGTAGATTTTTAGTCATGTTAGAAACATGTGAATAAAATTTAATTCCTAAAAATATTTCTAAAAAATTCCCTGTTACATAATTTCTGTTGTAAATCTGTACTGTGTAAATTTACGAAAAAAATCCTAATTTAGCATCCGTATTTTCATATAATATAGCGCAATTTTGCTAAGGGCTTAGTGCATTTTTTTTCTTCATATGGCAACTCTGCCGCTATGCAGGACGGCCAAACCACTGACGCTCCTGCGCGGCGGACTGCAAGCGGTGGGCGGAGCTTGCAGGACACTTGCAGGATGCAAGGCGCGTCCTGCTCGGTGTTGCCAGAAACTGTGCAGGCCTGCAACACCATTCACGATCCTGCATAAAGCGGCGGACTGCATGGCGGACTGCCAGGCAGGATAGTGAATGGGCCCCTTTAATCATAGCCATAGAGTAAAGGTAATACTACGGAAATGGTCATAGCACTTACAAATCACTTACAGGTTATTTGTATAACTTATAAATTATTAGTTTATCTAATATAATAATAATTATTTCTTGTATTTACGCGATTACACATTACTAAATGAAACTATGTTTACGGATTTATCACGTTTATTTTGGTTTTAATATCCGACGTTTCGAACCCGCAATATGTGAGTACATTTTCAATCGCCCCAACCATTATATCAGGTTTGATAGACCACAGATTCTTGCAAAAGAACTCCGATTCCTTCCAAGGATTGCGGATTCGCGAGGCTATTGAAATTAAAAACACCCAAATTCAATAGAGAAGGTTGGTAGCTACCATCGGTTACGGATCCTATTATTAATAAAATGAAATTTAGGCTCAAACGAACCACTACTTCAAGACAAGATAAAATTAGCATGTTCTGCGTAGATCAACACAAAATAAATAATTAAAAAACTGGCGGTAGCCCGGAATAACAATGACTGACGACTGACCGACTAACAAATTCTGACGTCCGACGCCTCAGTCTGTCCCGTGACCATAAACGCTGTAAAGGGTTCGAAACGTTGGGTATTAAAACCAAAATAAACGTGATAAATCCGTAAACATAGTGTCATTTAGTTTATTTAATATATAAAATACTCATGTCACGGTGTTTGTAATTGAACTCCTCTGAAACGGCTCTACTGATTTTCGTGAAATTTTGTGTGCATATCGGCCAGGGTAGAGAATCAGATAATATCTATTTTTAATCTCCCTAAAAGGTTGTCAAAGCATCTGTAACCCTCGCGTGTGCCAGATGTCCATGGGCGGCGGTATTCACTTAACATCAGGTAAACCGTCTGCTCGTTTGACAATTTTTCGCATAGGTAAAGGTAACGGTCCTGCCTCTCACCTTTGCTCTTTACGCTCTACACGAGACACTTTACATACCTAAAGACATCCACGTCAATCTCGCGCTTTTCGCGGATGACACGGCGCTCTTTTATTCAGACCGCAACCTTAGTCAATTAACAACTCGACCCCAAAGCGCCGCAGACCGCCTCGGCGATTGGTTCCGCAAATGGAGAATAGACGTAAATCCAGAAAAAGTGTGGCGATTCACTTCACGCGTAGTACCACCAACCCCCATCCGCCACACTGTTACAAAGGTCCTCGCCAGTACAGAAAGTTGGGGCAAATATAACTATACCACGAAGTATTACCAAACCCTCCCCTGGGAGAAAACAGTCAAATATTTAGGAGTCACTTTCGACTCGCGTACGTCTTATACTACGCACATTAATCACGTTCGAAATAGAGCCGCGTTCATACATAATTTAACGAATGAGAAAAATAAAATGCACTTAAGGCACAAATTACTATTATATAAAGCCTGCGTACGGCCAATCATGTACTACGCATGCATTATTTTCGCTCATACAAACCCTACTCGCATTAACAAATTGCAAGTATTCGCCGGATCGATAGGCGGCGACGAGGCGTGCGTAATCGTCGTTCATTTTCAAAGAGCGCATAGCGTATATTGAGTGACGCGATCTTGCGCTTACACTTTCAGTCTTCATCACGATCAGCAGACTGCAATTTGGATTTCAAAATATCTAGATATTTAAAGATCAGATGCATCAATCCGTCAATCTAATTCATGCATTATCAATCTGGATCGCGATCATTGATTTTGATTGCTGATCGTGATCGAGATTGACTGTAAACGGGCCAACATACAGGTTATCAGTTGTACGAGATATATAGCTGGCCCATTACAATTTCTTCTTACTAATCTTCTGAGTTATGTGGGTAATCTTTATTTTAATTCAATTTAAGAAATGTAAAAAATGAAATGTTAAATGAAATATTTAATAATTTTCTTCATTTATATTTCTTGTAAGAATGTGGTAGTATGGATTAACTTCTTTCAATAATTATCAAGTCGTCGTTTTAAACGAATCAAAAGTTTAGCAAATCACAAAATAGTAAAAGGTATATGCATCTGCTTATATTTTCTAGTTAACTTTTTTGAAGCTTGTAAGAATGTGTGTCCTAGCTTAAAAATTAAAATTAGTAGCAGCAAAAGTTTCATTGATCTTTTACGATTAAGTAATCATTTTAAACTTAGTATTTTTTAAAAAAAAAACTTATATACAATGGTATTTATTTTCTATCATTTAACTAATTTTGTTTTGGAAAAACATAATTATTTATACTGTAATTGTTAAATTCATTTAAATAGAAGCGCGTTTTTATCATTTCCTGTTTAACAATAGATCGATATTTATTACGCGTTCTTGTTATAGGTTATCTCTTTTTTTTCTTATATGAGAGAATGAAATAAATACTGTTTCATAGGAACTCTACATTTGCACCAATGACTACCATAGAGCGAAGAAATTTATGATGGCGGACATTTTGTGAGAACCCTCTTCCGTTTTTTGTTTCACCTCTGGCCCCGCTGCCGTCAGTGTAGTGTATCGTTCACCGCAAGAGAAAAATTGAAATCGTGTTGCAATTTGCTGGCTTTATTACTTTATTTCCCTTCCAACAAGTAAGTGCATTAAAATTATATTGAGTGATATACATTTGACGGTTTTGATTGAGTGCTTAAGTTCAGATCGTATTTTTGTACTTTTGTGACTGTGACGCATAAAAGGAGTGTCCCTAGCAGCAGCCATTTTGCCTGAACCGGCGACACGATATTGCGGTGCGGTTAGATATCATTCTAAATTTTTATATTCTTAACTCTATTCGAACTTCATTCTCTTTAGTTATATTTGTTTGTTGTACAGCAGTACAACCTTCTTGAAGTTACAGAATAGTAAGAAGTTTTTGGCTTGTTGCAGGTATAGAAGGTAATTGGTACTATGTGCCTAGATTGAGTGTAACATATAGTAACTTTTTTCAGATTATTTTATTGGGCTGTAAATTTCCTTTACTTGCTTAAACAACTATGTCGTCTAGTGAACACTCCGAAACGTGGGATCCTCTTATATATCTTATTACTTATCTAAGACCAACCGTTACGTTAGTGCGTAGTAACCTTACCTTGCGTTTCCTATTCAGTTTTGTCCTTATCGCTTTTGATAAGTTAAAATGACAATGTGAATGAGATGTCTAATAGCTAATTACTCAGATAGCGATTATACCTGTAAGTGGTACAAAACGCAACTGCAGAAATATCGAATTGAGTTTTTGTTTGAGGGGTAAAATTAACTCTTACCATCTCCAGTTCAAAAGACACGTGTTTCCTTTAATAGTAAGTTTTTTTGGTTGAAACTGCAATTAACCATATACTTTGTGCCGTGCACCGTTGTCGATATCTATTTTGAGTTAATGTTACAGAGGCTGCAAAATATATTGATTTGAAGGCGTTGTTCTTTATATTTGTCAAATACTAAATTATTTTGTTCTCAAACGTATTTAAGTGTGGATTGTTTTGACTAATAGTTTTGTCATTCTTAATTTCTTAATTTCTAGATTTATTTGCTAACTACAGTGTAAATGTCTTGATTTTATGAGATGCTCTAATATTCTACAAGATTCTCTTTAAAACTAACTGCTAAATAAATATCATGTATAATACATGATATCCATGTAGCAGTTGCTTTATTATAGTTTTTTCAGGAACTATGATCATGATCATACAAATTTTCTTAACATCTAGATCTGTTTTATCCTAAATTGTTTTTTCACATGTCCAAGAGACTAGGTTTATAAATAAAAAAAAATATTGTAGGTATATAAATCGGTTCTAGTAAATGAGAAAAAAGGAGCTGTAAAAATATAGGTATTTGTGGATTGAGAAATGAATACTTATAATAAATGAAACATGTCACTGAGCAAACTTCATTTTTTAAAAAACATTAATTGTTAATAAGATGTATTATTTAACATTAAGCTTTTTTTAATATAAGGTAAAAAATTTGTTATTTTTTAAATGTTTAAGTAGCATTAAATGTAATAAAAGTTTTTTTATATAATATTCTTAACAATACTTTGCATATTATATGGATATAAAGAAACTAGCAAAAAAACATATGTCCAAAAATGTCTTTGTTGAATTTATAACCAGTTAATGTGAAGTAAGAAGAGTATGTTTTAATGGTTATTGAAAGTTTAAATTTATATTATATATCACATCAGAAATTTCCAGATTTATATATAAATATGGTATAAGTTAATTTAAAACATACATATATTATGTATGAATAGGGTGGTATATAGTATTGCATCAGTAAAATTTCAAATGCTGATGGTGTAGAAAAGTTGCTCTTTAAATGGACCCTGGCAACAGGGCATGGCGTATGAGGTAGGTAGTAGGTAGATAGATAGCTAAGGCTATATCGATGGCAGGGGAGGGGTGTTGGCGCCGGGTCGACGGGTGCGGTGCACGCAGGGAGGGTGGCGAGGGTGAGGGGTGTGTGCAAGTGACGCGTAAGTCGTATTTCGTCTGGAGCGTTTATCCCGCGCCGGCGGATCAATACAGTTGGCGCAGTGGCGGTGGCCTAGGCGGCGCGGCGGCGGCGGCGCGTGCCTTGTTACACTCGCTACGAGCTCGAGTCTGTGAGATGCTGTCAAACCGAGCGGACGCCGGGTCGATGTCGCGTTTGGCGTGAGGGTCGCTCTTAGAGCTACGTTGAGTTTTTACATTGCGCCAGTGCGCTCGACAGCCTCCAGCCAAGGTGCGCCACAATTCATGATGACTCACATACTCAATTTGGATTCACTGCGGTGAAAGTGAAGCCTAACGATTAGTCTTTCTGAAGATTTTATTTTATTTAGGGTTTAAATTAAAACGGTTTTCATTTTATTAAAGTTTTTTTTTTATTTTGTTGCAGGGGCATCAGTAATATAATCCTCACAAATCGCCAACGATGTCCGTCGACAAGGAAGAACTGGTGCAACGCGCCAAGTTGGCGGAGCAGGCTGAGCGATATGACGACATGGCGGCCGCGATGAAAGAAGTCACTGAAACCGGCGTCGAGCTCAGCAACGAAGAAAGAAACCTTCTTTCCGTTGCCTATAAGAACGTGGTGGGCGCTCGGCGGTCATCGTGGCGAGTAATCTCCTCCATTGAACAGAAAACCGAAGGCTCTGAAAGAAAACAACAGATGGCAAAAGAATATAGGGTTAAAGTAGAAAAAGAGCTCAGAGAAATCTGCTACGACGTCTTGGTAAGATTTTTTATTTTATTTTTTGTTTCAGTTTAACATTTTTCTACAATATTAAACAGTAGGTTTTAAGAATTTTCATTACTTTTATCATAGTTTAGTACAGAGGATAAACTGATCAATAAACTGATCTCGGTCATCATTTTGTTACGCCCATGACGTCATCGTATTTTCGCGGTGCGCTGCCAATTTAAGGTGCGATGCCAAGTAGCATTTGTCACAATTATTTTATGCATTCGCGTTAATCAGGGGCGTTATAGAGCTTGTAGGTGTAGGTAGGTAGGTACCTGAGTTCACATGGCCGCTAGGGCGCGGTGCGGCCTTTAGCGGGCGGGGAGGGGGCGGGGTGACGTATTGCGCCGCGTCACTGCGCGCGCTGCTGTCCCATCTTCGTTCGTTGCCCTATCTCTAGACACATCGATACTCCAAGCATTTTTTTAAAGTTTTTGTCAGTTTTTACTACAACGTTTTCGATAGTACGACTTGAGTGAAGGATTGGTTTTACGCAAACACCAGAGAAAGCGCACCGGTGTACGACAAGAATCGATACTTATGCCGCAGCCGTAGTAGAACATGGTATTTAAATTAAGCATTTATTAGGCCGGCCCTTTGCTCGGAATTGAAAATTTACAGATAGCTGTTAATTGTTACGTAACTGCTTATACTAATTGTTACACATCAAGGTTTTTTTCAATTAGTATTAAAAAAACTAAAATATTATAATTTTTATAAATAAGTTTCCCGGTAAATATTATTTAATTTTTTTATGTATGAAATAGGCATTCTAATAGAAAATAATATTTTATGGTTATGAAAAAAATATTCCATATTTAAGAAAATACATTGTATATAATTGTTTCAGAATCTACTTGATAAACACCTAATCCCTAAAGCTAGTAATCCAGAAAGTAAAGTATTTTACCTTAAAATGAAGGGAGATTACTACAGGTACCTTGCCGAAGTGGCCACAGGAGAAACCAGAAATTGTAAGTAAACTTGTACAAATGAATTTTACCTTTTACCTTTTAATTCCTAAATAATTGTCGGTTAAAAAAACTTTAATCAATGACCCTATGTATTTCTGTCAACATTACTGACATGACATAGATTGTTAACAACCCTTTACATTACAGCTGTTGTAGACGATTCACAGAAAGCATACCAAGATGCTTTCGAAATCAGCAAGGCGAAAATGCAGCCCACACACCCAATAAGGCTCGGGTTGGCGTTAAATTTCTCCGTGTTCTATTATGAGATATTAAATTCACCAGACAAGGCGTGTCAGCTCGCCAAACAGGTCATTATTTGTGTCAGTTACGCATAGGCTCTGTGCTGGCTGGCACGAGTGTGGGCACGCGCGCCGCTAACATGCTCGCTTGTCCCCAGCCGTCGTGGAGGACTCGCAGAAAGCATACCAGGAGGCGTTCGACATCGCCAAGGCCAAAATGCAACCAACTCATCCCATCAGGCTCGGTCTCGCGCTCAACTTTTCCGTATTTTATTACGAGATTATCAACTCCCCTGCGCGAGCGTGCCACTTAGCTAAACAGGTTTATTCATTGCACAACAATCTGCAGTGTAACCGTGTATCGATTACGCATCCCCTACTAACTTGTAGCGATGTAGACTTCCAACGTGAGACTGCATGAAGTTGATGTTCAAATCTAATTTAAATGTAATACAAAACATATAAATTCACTAATATTGTCTTGGCATGGCAATGTTCAGGCGATTAACATCTTAATACTCGATCCAGCCAGCATCTAGAGTGTTTAAGCTTATTATGTATTATGACAATTTAAATTTTTTTTGGTTCTTTTGAGGCCGAGTTCGTATGATTGGAGGATGGATGAAAGGAAACTGTGTTGCAGGCATTCGACGACGCCATCGCCGAGCTGGACACACTTAACGAGGACTCTTACAAGGACTCGACCCTGATCATGCAGCTGCTGCGGGACAACCTGACGCTGTGGACGTCGGACACGCAGGGCGACGGCGACGAGCCGGCCGAGGGCGGCGACAACTAATGCCGGCACGCGCCTCCCCACTCGCATTTGTTCTCATCGGTGTTTTGTAAGAAACGAGTAACATTCGAGAACGTCGCGCGGCGCGGGTGCCCCCTGCTGCCGCCGCGAGCCGTCGCTTGTAAAAATGTTAAACATGTCGTTCGCAGCGGACCTTCGCGCTCCGTCTAAAATTAAATGTTATGTGTCATCTTTGACGGTTTTGTATTTCTGTATTTACACTGGATTACAGATATCGAGCTGACCTGATGAATATAAATATTTATAACTTAAGTTATTAAAATTACGGTTTCTTAAGTTAAAAGTGTTTTCCTTTATTAATAAAAATGAACTCACAGCCTGGTCGGCCCCAAAGTAACATTCCTTTCGCCGCATGTCCGCAGTGAAATGGAGATCATGATGGTGAATGTTTTGAAATTATGCAATTAGTTGATAAAATTTGTTAAAGTGCGCCCAATAACCCAATATAATTAGAATTTCATAAATATTAAATCCGCAACTGTAATGGCTGTAACAAATTAGGGCACAAAAAACTTGTTAGTGTCTTTTATGTGGTTTTTGTGATGTCCTCTATGAATTAAATATTACCAAAGCGAAACTGAATGTTGACATTAACCATTTTATTGTGCCCGTCACTGAATAAATAATACTAGCATTCTGAATTTTCAGGCATTTATTAGCAAAATAGTTTTTGTGATGGACAAATATTGTAACATTTCTGCTGCATTTTATCAGCCATTAATCTATTATATTTTTCATGTTTTCACCAATAAACTTTTGTATTAAATACAAGTTTTAGTTTTAGAACCAATATTTAAATAAACCATCACCTATTAACCCTAAAAGGATGTTTGTCTAATGTATAAGCTATGCATTCTTGACATAAACCTTTTTATTTATTGAAACAAGGGCTAATACGAGCCCTATTTTATAATTCTTTATAGTGGGCCCTAATATGATATAAAAATTAATCTATATTCAATATATAGATACAACATGAAGAATTCAGCACCTACATTAATTTGCAATCATACCAGTACATAATAGGTATTCCTTTTTTATGTCATTTAAAATGTAAAACAAAATTTAATTACCCATTTTAAGTATAGCTGTGGTGTTACCATATTTATCATATTAAAAATGATAACTCAAAGCAAAACTTCTGATAATTCTTTATATGTCGGTATCGAGAACTATGCCTCGCTTAAAGATAATTAACTATAAATTATAATATTTGTTTGAGACAAATGTGTAGTTTTTACACGATCAATAATACTACTGTTTATAGGCGCATGTGGTTAATTCGTGTTAAAATTAACACTCATAGATATGAAAATGTACCGCTTATGTCTTACATTTTGATACCTTTTTTATTTGGCGAAAATATGAAAATTAAATCATCAATGAATCTATAAAACAAAGATTGTGTTCTTACATGGAACGTAAGTAAATCGATAGAATAGAAGTATTTACGCGCAGGAGCAAACCTGGCAACTCTAATTAAAATAATTATATCGAGTAGAAAGAAGAAGTTTATAAAGTTCTACATACATTATATTATTATGCAAAGGACAACTACTTCCTGCATGATGCATATGTAAAAAAAAATATTAATTGAATTTTCTAAACTCATTTAGCCATAATATGTGCTACTTGGTTAGCCTGAGATTTGAGAAAAGCTGAAAGTACTACTACAACTTCAAGGCCTAGTATGTAAATCAATATATTTAAAGTAGAAATAGAATCCTATTTGTCACGAAAAAGTAAAAAAAGACGTTTACGTTTCAAATAATTTTTACGCTGAATTTTTGTACTCTCTTGTGAGCACCATTATAAAGCACCATAGTGTTATTAAACTTAAAGTAGGTATCTACATTCTACTATAATAATTTATTTCTTTTTTGTTTCTTGAGTAGTTAAGCTATGTAATAGGTTTTTAATTAATCGTTAAAAAGATAGAAACTTTTTAAAGTTCAACATAAGTTTGATTAAGTAATAATAATTAGGCTAGAAAATAAGATACTGATTTTCAGTTCTGTTTTCCAAATGGTCAATGCATTAAAAACACTTTCAATTGTATTTATTAATATAATTGACAAGTTTGCATTGCATATCAATATCACAGTCCTAATATATTTATAAATCATCTAAATTCGAATTTCTTAAACCAAAAAAAAAGACGTTCCTTAACTTTGGAAGAATGATTATACATAGTAAGGGACGTGCTATAGAAGCAATCAGAAAACAAATGCTACATATTAAATTGAGCAATGTTAAAATATTGCCTGGTTGTTCTAAAGCATATTCATTGTCTACTGTAGATGTCGAATACAAATTGTAAACCATAAGGATTGAACGTGGCGCGCAGAGTAAACCATATGTAGAAATTAAATACAATGATAATTTGAGTGCCGAATGACTTTCATTGTTAGTCAACTGTGAGCGCACCATCTTGGATTTAAGTTTAATTATTATTAAAATAGCAGCTGTTACCATTATCCCAATGGGTAAGAATAAGTTGAATAATGCCAATAGCGAATGCATATTTAGCCTGTGAGTCGTGTCAACGAGTGTACATAAAACAACATCGTGGTCAAGGTGGACAGTTGTTGCCAAAACAAATTCGGGGATGCTAAGTGATACCGATAATACCCACACGAAAGCTACAGGTGGCGCAATTCTAATATTTGTATCGGTTAATCGGTAATCGACGTTCATCGTTCGTGGCGGTGTTGACGTGTCACTAGCAACAAGACTGTGTCGCGATGATCTAATTTCATCGTCCTCATCATGTTCATCTCTCTTGATAGAGCTTTGTTTTGACAGTTTTTCTTCCAAGCTTACTGTAGCCAAAGTATGTAGAGCCAGCGTAGCAACTAAATATAAAGAGGCTGTAGTTGAGAATACGTTAAGGCCACGATACGCCACACATCCACTTCTTCCAAAGTACCATGTTCCTGTGTTGTAAAACCATAGTTCCGGTGCGATTACAGCTCCGGGTAGTACTAAGTCTGCTACAGCTAATTGAGCGAGTAAATTAAATAGACCTGTAAGAAGAAAAAAATACTTTAAGCTACTCTTCTTGTTTTATAATTTAATTGTTAACTTATTCTGAGAACAAAAAACAAAATCATTGTATTTAATGAAGACATCAATCATTTTATAGTATGATAATGATATAATGTGATACTTCTATATGCGGGTCTTTGGGAGACGTAGAAATTGCTCAAAACATAAGTAAGCATTTAAACTCATCATGCTTTGAAACTGAATGTAAAGCTCTATCAGTTAAATTATCGTTGATTTGGAAAATTTACCGTTTCTTGACCGCTTGAGTAGCGCCGCTAGGAGCGCGCAGTTGGCGAGAGCCGCGGCGCCGGCGACGCACGCGATGCACGACGCGAGGGCAAACGGCGGGAGTAGCGGGCACAGCGGACCGAACTCGGGCGCGAGCTCCGACATAGCGTCGGCCGTCGGGGAACGTATCGGGATCAATGACTTTCGCTGCGTCACTCGCGTTCTCCGCCGTCCCTCGGCCGCCTTTTTTTTCGTCGCCAGTAGTGAATCACCACAGCAGGAACATGTGCTCGCAAGGGAGCGTAGGCACGTATATGTGTCGGCTTATTCACAACATCTGTATGTACGAACGGCACACTAATTTTGTACAGCAAAGAACAAAGCTTAGATTAGTTAAAATTGGACCCGCTGAGAAACACGCGCCACTGCGACGCCGAACCTTTCTGGACTAGAGAAGAACTGAGTTTGTTGAGTTCGCATACAAATGTGTGCGAATATTAATATTAAGGGCTGCGGCTCTCTTCATTATCATTCAATACTCGCAGCTTACTACCTGCAGGCATCGTAGAGTGAGTGTCCGACCGTTATAATACTTTTCCGTGGTTTAACATTCAAATCGAATGGATACAGGCGGTAATAATTACAGGGCGTTGAATGCTTGCTTTGCTCATTGACGCCTTAAATTATTTTCGTTAAAAGAAAATTTTTAAAATAAAGTTTTTTTTAATTATAGATAAAATTGCCTTCTATGGGACTTAAAGTGACTTTGATGGATATGTAATTTGTACATTACAGAAATTATGAAATTTGGTTTTATAGTCAAATACTCATCTTTTAAGTCCTAGTTATTCTTTTCTATTAAAGTTTTCCGAATCATCGTTTTTATATAGCCTATTACCTATTAGAGGTAAGCTTAAATCGCGGGTCCTAACATTTTGCCTTATTTTATACAAGTACTAGCTGCTGCCCGCGACTACGTCTGCGTAGAGGGGTGAAAATTTAGGGTTGTATGTATTTTTGTATGCTGTGTCATAAAAAAATAGAAACAAAAAGTTTTATATAAAAAATAAAAAAAAATTTTGGGGTGGACTACCCCCTTAACATTTAGGGGGACGAAAAATAGATAGTAGCCGATTCTCAGACCTACTGAATACGCATATAAAATTTGGTAAAAATCGGTCGAGCCGTTTCGGAGGAGTTCAAGTTCGAACCCCGTGACATGAGAATTTTATATATTAGATAAAATAAGTCAGAGGTTCGATGAAAATTATTTGATGCGAGCTTTGTTTGTTTGCTTTCTTAGTCAGGGGACGATTAAACTTATCTGGTATACTTTATCTTTTTACGTGTTTGTTCTGATAGAAAATTTAATTTTGCTGTATGGCAATTATACGTCTTTTTATCTTCTTAATTAATTCTTATCCTCATAATTTAAATGTTATATAACATTTAAATAAATTATACATAATTAAGTATAAGTATATTATAGTAATATTTGCTGTTACAAATATCGATATTTTCCACTTAATACATTATTTAAATGTGTATTGTTACAGTTCTTTATTTTATTTATAATAATAGATCCGTAGATGGCTTACTGTTATTTACTTAATGTTTTTTTTAGGCAAATCAACAATTAAAAAAATTACATAATTTATAACTTGACTAGTAAAATATTAATCTGACATTTTCATCAGTTTTATACATAGGCACCAAATTTTTAGAGAATGCCCAAATGGCAATAAGTCCGCATTTTGTAATCCTTTTTTTAAGGTTTTGCAATAAAGCATAAATAAATAAATAAATAAAATTTTGTAACGAGATCAGCATGGCCTGAGTTTGTGCAATAGCAATAATAAATATTTGTATCTAGAAGTATATGTATATTAATGTAAATTATGTAGGATTGCTAGTGTTTTGTACTTTACTATCACATACCGTTTACATAATATTAATATCGTAAGATTTAATAACAATTACCATGGACAATATGTCATATTCTATGAATCGTAAAAAGAAAAGAAAAGAAAAAATATAATTGAATTTAATCCTATTATTTTTGCATATTTTTATCGTTTAAAACGTTAATACAGCCCGTTTGGTACAGAAACTTAAATGTTGTAGATTCGACACCTTACACTTAAATATTGCAATACATTCAACAATGTAACGAGTTAAAGTGCATTGACTGCAATTACTTAGATACTTAAAACAATTGAATGCTGTATGCGGGTAGAGCTTGACTTCTTTATAACTTCAAAAGATAAAGGGGCATTGCTAATGCAATTGAAATGAGGGAAATGCATTTTAAAAATTACTAAAACAATTGGGGAAGAATTTATTTATTTGAGGATTGGTTCAGTATCATCAAATTATTAAATAAAAATTATGTAGTCTTTAAGTTGCTGCTAATAACTTAAAATTTTAACATTGAACCGACGAGCAGGAGTCGATAATGTTTATTTGTGCTTTGATTAGCGATACGTTCGGCGGCGGGTGGAGTGATGGATGACTGGCGACAATGCTCCTACGGGGGCGAGTGTGGGCGGTGCCTTGACAGCCGAAAATCTGCACTTTCCTTCGACTTTCTCTTGGAGGTGCGAAAGGTGTACCGGGGGCACGCAATGCTTATTCGGTAGCTGGCAAGCCATAGGTGTACGCGCTCTAATCGCGATTACGTTATTCCCCGTCTCATCGGGCAATGTGCACCGATATTCAAAGCACCTGCATACTTCCGTGTTTAAAAAGCTGCGTATTCGGAGCCGGAGGACGATTTGTCGATTGGCCTGTGCGCTGTGATGTCAGAGTGCGGCAATGGCGCTCCGAGTTGATAAAGTTGTTGTGGTGCTACTCCTCGTGCTACGAGTCGGTACGCCTGCGCGTTTTCCTGTAAGTATCTGTGCACGTATGCGAAGGCGGGCGGGAAAACTTGCTATATACTGTTTATGTTTTGTTCACCGATTACGATATAACACACTTATGTCTTTATAATCACACTTTTTTTTGAAAATCATTCTTACTATTAAACTAGGTAATACCTGCGGCTTCCTGTGCATTGATCATTACATTGCCAATGTATTTATATTAACTATATCATGCACGACAAGAATACACATATAAATATATAGATAAGCTGTTAAGTCTTGAAGTGAACATAAAACGATCGTACCGAATGTTTTTCTTGTAAATATTTCAACAATTTAACTGTAAACAAAGATCATATTAGATACTGAAAGTCTTAACTCAATATGTGTTAACTAGTGGTTAGGTAAGTTAACGATTAATACTTATATGATTACACTAGCGCTCGAAATGCGTGAATCTTTAGTAGTTTCAATCAGTAGGATTCTATTAAGGGTACAGATTACAATGAAAATTATGTGCATTAGTAAAGTATGAAGAAGGGTATTTAACAATTAAAAATTAAAATTAGAGGCTGTTTTTACAAACGATACGATTTTAGTTCGGTTTATTTTACTATTCTTTGTGTCATTTATTGGTATTCGCACTAAAGCAGATTTTTCATGTATATTTGAAATGTGGTTTGAACCGTATGACACGTGTATAGTATTTATTATTCCCCAAAGTAGAAAAATCAAAGCAAAGGAAACTCGAAATATGTTAAACCTCAGTTATTTAAGTTAAATATCAATATTATATTAACATTCAATAGTTTAACTGTTTAACGTAAGTTTTTAATGAGATTTTTAGTAAGATATAGACGCAAAAACTTGATTTTTCATTTTCTAAAATATACATGAATATATAAAAGTACCTAGTGGGGATTAAAATAATTTAGTAAACCAATCCCTCAGAAATACTTGCACATGTTGTATTCTTATGTTCATTCCATTTTGAATGAGTATTTGAATTCAAGTTTTTATATTAAGAAATTATAAAATTAAAAATGTAGGTACGATTAGTTTCAATCGTTAAAATGACGCGTGTGGTACAAATTATGAAAACAAAGGCGTATTCTTACCGAGTACATGAATCATTTTGTAACGGGAACAAAGATGTTTCCTGTTGTGTTAAAATTTTGTAAAACGTAAAAAAGATGTATTTTGTTGATGTAAAATGCATTAAACGGTACAAAAGAAATGTTTTCTTTGTAACCTTCTTTTGTTTCCGACAAAATACTGAGTTGTAATAAATCATTGTTGTTTAAGAATTAAGAGAACAATGTTAACAAACAATTCCTGATTGATAGTAGGTTTAAATCCCACGTGATGGCTCGTTGAAGTTTTTCAATGCAAAGATTTCGGAAAAAGTAGTTTTAACAACTTACGAATAACGAGTAGTTGTTGCTCATAAATTAATTTTATTTGCTTGAGTGATATTAAAAAAATATTGTTTTATTTAATTGCTAAAGGACAGTAGTGTACATTTTATTTCGCATTTGTGGGTTAATATCCCATTACGCATAATGTCCCAAGTAACGGTACTTTTGTAATTATAAAGACGATCAAAGGTACTTTCACTTAATCCTGGTTTTTTTGAACGCCCGACTCTACAATTTCATTTCGGCAATTATATTGCATAATACAATGGAGCCGAGTCTTTCCCGCACTTCATCACGTAGCTGGTTGCACAAGCGTAAACGTCACGTACTTAAGGTTTTTCAATCGCTTCTCGATGATTCACAATAAGCTCTTTATTGTACCAGTTCTTATACTACGTGACGCCCGGCTTCGAGTATCCGACAATAACTTTCGACGTTCGGGAAGCGAACTCCATTCAGACGGAGGGTCAAATACCAAAATTAACGGCTTAATGTTAGCGTAACGCAACTTAAGCGTTTCCGCGGACGAGTAATTCTCAGATGGCCATTGTCTCGTGTCAATAATGGTAGAACAAATAGTTTTACGTTTTACTTTCCCCTTCTACTTTGCTAGCCTTCGCTAATGTGAAGCCTATACAGAGTTGAGTCACCTGATGTTTCGGTTTCACTCACACTTCGAACAAGGTCGCCGTTCAACAAGAAACCCATCAACGTCCATTCCGCAAGATAAGGCTGATACAATTACCTGTCTCAGGTGTACACGGTGGCAAGTGATTCATCAATCAAACATTTTTTTCTATTTATTTCACAGAATAAAAGAAATTTGTTCCGCGAAATTTCACTGCACCAATAAATAATTACTGAAGTTTCTAAAAAATCCGTAGCGAAACAATGTGGACTTTCCGAATTTTGAATCATACTTTATTGTGTTACGAGTACAAAACAAGTAGAGAACGATAGCTATCCTCTTCTTTTTGCTATCTTTTACTTGAATTTCTCCTTTTTTTTTGGTGAAGTAAATTTAAAAATACTCTTCTGAAAAAAAAGCAAACCATTCTACAATTATCTATTAAAATAATAAATGCATCTCGTGGAAATTCTCGGGGAAAACACGATGAGAGTCGGCTGGTGAGGACTAGAGACAATGAAATACTGCGACGACTATACCTAACGACGACTAAGCTTTTTTTAACAAGCAACTTATACAAAATATTATAGCAGAATTTCTTCAAATTTGTTGGACTCTCCTTTATTAATAGTCATATCAATAACAGCTAAAAACTCCTAATACAAGACTGTTAATTTTCATTGACGCTGAGCCCATCAATGAAAGGGTACTTATTAATTGAAGCAACAAAAGTAGCGTGGGAATACGGCGCGGCGTCTACGACAATCGCGAGACTGCGCCCACGTGGCGACGATGTCGCTCGTCCCCGGATCGACCCCGTTTGCTATAGCATTCATCATTGCTTGCCGACTTCATCAGAAGCGTCCTTGATACCTACATCGATTGTATTGTCAAGAAATGCAGACGGATATTACGTACAGCGGCCGGGCAGCCTCCAGAGAGTTGCCCATTTCGATTTGAGCTAGAAACACTGTTTGTTTTGCTACGGTCATTACTTAACACTTGACACACATCCATTGTTTTTATAATGGATTTAAGTGCAAGTTGTTTGCACAGCAATAAATTTTAGCTGTTTCATAGAGGTATGGATAATAAAGTTTATTTATTTTGTTTCACAATTAGCATCCATTTCATATTTTCGTGTCCGTTTGTTGTTCAGAGCGTTGTTGACTTAAAATGTCATTGTTTTTGCGGAAGAGATATTGAATTAAGAAAAATGTTGTGAAAAATTATGCTTGTGCATTTCGTGTACAATTTAGTGCCATATTAGATACTTTCAATTAAAAACATTGTTTGATATCAATATCTTTTGTATTGCTTATCATAGTTTATGGCTTTATGTGCTAATTTATTTGCTTTAAGTGTTACTCTAGTTTTAGAAGTAACATACTTCTAGTAGTCAATATATGATGAAATATTTAAAATATTAAGCAGAACAAACAGGAGGTACTGCCGCTACACGACCGGTGGGGCGCTCAGGACACCGATGGAGAAATGCAGGTGGTGTACTTGCCGGCGCTGCTGCCGCGAGAAGCTCAGTCCACCTCCAACGACGTCGAAGACGTCCCACTTCCCTACAGCTTCGATGCCTTCGGACGGTGAGTCGAGTGATTTGTGTGAGAGTTACGGAATATTATTTATGTAATTCTATCTTTTCAGTAAAGAGCCATTAAGGTCCTTTAAATTGCGAAAAGAAGATTCTTATTACTTTTCCCGGATTTAAAGATGAGGTGACGTTATTTTACTGCGTATGAAAAATCATTCTTAAATGGTGTCACCATCAATTTATTCCGTCACAGGTTTTTTCAAATGAGTTTTGATTAAAAATTAAACTAATTTATGTTTTATAGTGTATAAAAACTGCTATTAGTTGTAGTATGTTATATATAGTTAAATAAGGTGTCAGAGCCTTTATCAAAATGCCTATTGCCATTGACGATTTCAATCACGGGGACAATTTCCTGTTACTAGCGGTAATCGGAAGCGGTTCAGAATATCTTGGTGTTCTAAATTGTTCGCAAATAACAGTACACCGTTATATAATTTAAAATTTTTACAGAATTGATTTGCATTAAATTGAAATTATGATAACCTGGTGTTAAGTGTTGACGTATCTAACTCTATTCAAAATTGCTTTGAAGACTACACTTTGTAAATGGATGGTCAGATAGACACTGTTTTTAATTTTACAATCGGAATTGTGGTAGAGATGAATGGATCGACTTGTATTAGTATAAGTAAGTACGGTCTGACAGAATGTTGGGTTGAAGTAGTAATGTAAATAATTTTGCATATTTGCACTCAGGTTGGTACCACAACTATTCTATCCCCATGGGTGGTCCAACAATTCCCATGGGTGTTATGGATAGATGGATTGTAGTAATCAAGTAATATCATGGACACTGGCTGAACATTTGCCTTTTATTTCTAAAGAAAAACTCACTTTTCGACTTTCAATTTTTTGCGTCCATATTTTCAAAACATTACTGCATTTGCCCGAAACTAATCTTCTATTCTCTGTTAAAATTCCGACAAAATATGAACTAGATAGGGAACTCCTTATAGGAGATTAATTAATCTTATCCTTTAAACGAGCAATTCTTGTGTGTATATATATATATATATATATATATATATATATATATATATATAATTGGAATCTCGTAAACGGCTCCAGCGATTTTCACGAAATTTTGTATGTGCGTAGATTCGGGGGCGAAAAATCGATGTGACTAGGTTACATTTTTAGAAAATGTCGTTTTATCCCAGTTTTCAGGGAATGAAAAATATTATTCGAATACGACGGCAAATTTCACCGAAAAAAAAAATGTTATAATACCTCGGTCGGTAATCGGGCGGCCGCTAACAAACAGCCACGAAACAGAAGGCCGTGGTTCGTATCACAATCATTTACACACTTATTTTTTAATTTTTTTTTCGATTCCAGATCATTGTTTTCTTTATCTTTAATTTTTTGTCGATTTGTTATTTTGTTATTTTTTTCCCTTTTTTTTTTTTTTTTTTTTTTTAGTTCTTTCTTTTGTGAAAAATTTTTTTATTATTACGTCGGTAAGATCGAAACATATTATGCATATTTCATGACTTAGTAATTTTTATCTAAATGTAATTTCCAAAATACACGATTTACCAAAAAAAAAACAAAGCGAGCAAAGCTCGGTCCTTCAGTTACTTAATATTTGTATGCCAATCTTTTGGTTTCTGCATGTAAACATTTCTCTTTTCACCATTTTCTAATGGTGAAAACAACATCTCTACATGATGAAACCAAAACATTAAAATAGATAAAACAGGAATTAATAAAGAATAAAAGTGTAATTTTTTTTGTCACATTTATTAAAATACACGATATCGATGTCAAATAATGGACGGCACATTTAACAGATTAAATAAGAATGATAAAAGTGTTCGCAGAATTGTAATATAACCACAGTAAAAAAAATACAAATTACTCCACGGGTTATTGGCGATTGAGCTCCACTTACGTTTATTAAGCATGATTACAACCGCAAAAGATCATTTGAATTTTGTGCGAGTTATGTTCCCATTCCCATTTTCTTAGCACTTTAATATTATATAAAATGCTGTAACTTATGTTGCATAACTTACAAGACAATGAGTAAATGATAACGGTAACGTTGTATTTATTATTATACTTACATGAAAACAAGTTTTATAAAAATTATGATAATTATTTATTTATAAATTATGATAAATTTGGAATAAGAAAAACTGTTGTTGCGATAACATTTTATCTATTTAATGTCTTAAAAATTAAAATATTAAATTTCTTGTCTTTACCCGAATATTATACCTCATTTAACGAATTTACTTTTACCGATTTTTGCGTACACGAATTAAATTAAACCCGATCAAATCTGAACATACAGTGCTATTTTAAAGTAAAATTTTACCATGAGTTGTCCATTTTTTCTACACATTTTAATGTTTCATCTTCAGTGCAGAGATTAGCGCAATAAAAAAAAGTAAGGTTAGTTTAATGCGAGTGAATGTATCAGAAAATTTAAAACGTAATTTAATTTTTCTCTAATTATAAACTTAAGATTTGCATAGTTGGCTAAGCTTTATTTATGCCACACTTATCTCTATTTACAATACCACGATATAGATAAGGAAGATTAGGAACATAGCTGCACCGTTTTCTTCTCGTGGTAAGTTGTTAACGAACATAATATTATCCAACTTAAATAGCATTATTGACCGAAATTCTTAAAAGGAAACCGAAATGTCCTCTGTCCTGGTTCTTGAAATGTAAATGTACAAATATTTTAAAACACTTAACAAATTTAACAGAACCCTTAAGTTCAATATTCGGTCAGCTTATCTTTCCTCCTAAATTTTAAAAATGTTTTGGTAGCATATGTGAATTATAAAAATACACGTTGTGACAAACTCTACAAGTTGTTTAGTCACAACAAAAAATCTTGTAGGTTTAAATGGTTAGCATATGTAATCAAAACACAAAATCAGCAAACATAAAACTTTATAGGCATTTTTCAAAACTTTGTTAAAATGGGAATTTAACTTTCAAAACAGAGGATATGCTTCTGTCATAAATAGAAAGCCTACTTGATGTTGTTAATTGTTTAGTTAACTGGTGTCTGACTTAACTAATTGATCTGAATTACTCTTTCGGATCTAAATTGGCACGAAAGATACTGTATGCTTACCATATGTGTGCCAATAATCTTTCTAGCCTTGCCCTCTACAACTATCGTTTAAATTTGTAGTGGCCAACTAATTATCTCCTTTATTTTATATTTTTATTAAAAGCGATTCTCACGTCACGGAGTAGTCCTGTTCACAATCATGAACTCAAACGTACGTCACGCCGCACAATCCACATCTAAGCCTGGAACAATTACTTGTCAATCACAAACATTTTTGTCCCCTCTTTGTGTGAAGATGGATCCCACAAAATAGCGCATGAAACAGTTGACGAGGGATTGAGGACGATTCAAAATGTATATTACGAAAGATTCCGTAAAATATTCATTAGGTCAATGAATCTATTTACTAATATCTATTAGACAATTCACTTCAGAAATGATCCTCACATCATGTGAGTGGATGTATTATAGCAACTTAATTCGATATGACCTACCTTCTAGTCCGGTGGACCAAGAGAAGATCGTGAAGCAAGAAAGAGAACAAGGCTTACAAATAAGAATTTTCATATCGAAAACTGTCTGCCAGTGCAGAAAGTTTTCGATATGAAAATTTCGATATGAACACAATGTTGAAATTCACTTAGTTATCTTCATTATATATTACTGTTGTACTTTATTTTATATTTACTGCGGTAGGGCCATGCAATAGTTTTCGCCGTTGCACGAATGGGCAGGTCCGTCCGGGTGAGTACCACGACCTCACATAAGACTGGCGTCAAGTAGAAGTAGTATACTTCTGTGTTTCGTCTGGTGAGTGAGGTAGCTGGAGCCCAATTTACAAAATGTATGTATACTTAAACGTATTTGTAATCCTACGCGTTTTGCAAATATCCATGGGCGGTGGTTATCACTTGACATCGGGTGAACCGCCAGCTCGAATACCACCTTCTGCCATAAAATTGCAAGACTGCTCGCGGCCACCTTCTACTACACTCACTATTTTTCAGGGCACGAGTAATAACAAATTCTATTTATTTCAATACAATACAGTGTACATGATCGACGAGTATTAAATACAATATAATATTACAGTATAAGTAGACATTTTTATTTATAATAGTCCACATAGAGCTGGAAGTTGGTACAAACCATGGGAATATATATATGAAAATATGTATTCCCAAGGTTCCCAAGGTTACATACAAATAAAATACCAAAAGTCCCTATCGATCCCACATCTGTTAAAAAAGTTATTCAAGGTCAAAAACACCTTTTTTCAATTCAAAAGCTCAAAAAAACCTTTTTTCAATTTTGCCGATGATCAGATAGACATTTCAATATTATAAATAAATATTCTTGCTTGTTGAGCTTTCCCGGGTTTCAAAAAGTAAATATTCTTATCAATCGAAGTTCGGGCCGTCAGTAGCCCCAATAACTCAGCGTCTTCACTTTTAATTTTTTTCTTACCAAAATATTTAAATACTGAACGTATTTATCAAAAATAAATCATTTGTATGTATAAGACAAACAATAAATAATACTCATATTAAACACCGATGGTGCGTAGGCGGTTCTGCGTACATGTTATTGTTTTCGGTGAATTTTAATTACGATAACTCACGTGACTCCGTTGCTAAGCTATCGGCTTCGGCGTCAGGGGTCGTGGGTTCGATTCCCACACGGGACAAGTGTTTGTTGTGACCCACAGACAATTGTTCAAGATCTGGGTGTTTGTTTCCCAAAGAGAGTTGACGTCGTAAACATTATAGCCAATACCGCTTACATAATGGTTCACAAGTCGTCCCGACCCCACCTAGGTGGGATAAGAGCAATTCGACGATGATGATCTCATGAATATTTATTCTTAGGAAAAAATTATAAGAACAATTTTTGTAGATAATTTTACAATGTAAAAATATTGTTTTACCTATTTTTGTGATATAACTTGCTGTTCACCGGAAAAATAAAAAAAAAATACTTTTTAGTAGATGTGTGATCGATGGGGACTTTTGGTATTTTATTTCTAGTAATATTCCTAAGCGTAACTCTTAAAGGGAACCTACAGAATCAGCTGTGGTCTTTACGAAATAAAACACACTGTAAAGTTATACGGTATACAGGTTTTCATATTGTTATCACATAACATTTTGAAATCCTGGCGTTTCGGCGTGATAGAAACGAACACACACACAAAATTTAGCATTAGCATAGTAAGTGTGGTCATTGGATGACTTATTATCATTAATGAGGACTGCATAGTTGTAATTCTGTCTGATTGTGATTTTTAATATATTATACGTGTATTGCAGGAGCTTTGATCTGCAATTGGTACCGAATCGTCGGCTGGTGTCACCCCAATTCGCGGTGTGGTCAGAACAGGGCCAAGAGGCGCCGTTGTCTGCAATCGACACTTCCTGCCATTATCTGCACGCAGGCCCGACGACTGTTGCCGCGTTTTCCGCCTGCAAAGATCATACACTAGTTAGTGAAACTTTTTCATTTGGAATTGTATTGTACATTATACGCTATTTTAATGTTGTAATACTAACTGTTTAATTCCTATTTTAACGAAAAAAATTGAGAGGCGGGATACAGGAAATATAAAAATAAAATTTGAACAACAGTTATATTGGAAGTATTTGAAAAAATAAACATAGATTCTGTTGTGTTATTCATACCATAACTATGTTATTATCACCAACTCAATTTATATTGAAATATTATAAGGGCGTCTGTTACAAATTATCAGATAACTTATCAAGTTCCTTATTTGTATTCAATCGTACTGGAAGATGTTAACAGTATGTACGAGCGCCGGATGCCATCTAAAAACAAATAAGACAAACCGTCTTTAGCTTTATCGATTCATGTTTTTACTTGAATCCCCGAGTCTTCGGCTACAGGCCGATAATGGTAACGTTTTACGCGCCATCTAAGATTGAGGAATTGTGCGTTTTTAAATAAGGCAGAACTTTATCGTAAAATCGGTACAACAAATACACGAGGAAAAAATTAAAGACTGGTATCGTTTCATTTTAATTTACCGTTTACTAATGTCAAATCATCGAAAAATAAACAGAACTCTCAACTCACAATCTCAACTGAGATTGATACTGTCTATGATTAACAAAAATATTAAGTCATGAGCATTTGAAATTCAATATACTACTAATATATGTTTTACAGAGGTTGTACATAGTCCACCAAGGGATCCCATTACGGATTGATAGACTACACATATCTTCGAAATATCTTTCTTTTGCTATTATTTTGAAAAAGTCCGGGTTTCCTCCCGATGTGAAGGAATCATCGCTGATCAAGTAATAAATCGCCTACTTGAAATTAACAATTTTATTGATGCTGGCACCGGGGATTGAACTCAGGATGCTCGAATATATTAAATTAAAAGCGAGCGCCCGAACAATGAGCTTCTTGTATCTTCTTGTTATTAACTGATGTTTTTGCTTTCTGTCCAGAGACTATTAAAGCTTCATCTGACGCAGAACCGGTGGGCTAGCCAGAACTCACGGGTATAATGAGCTATCACGCCTAAAGATTATAATAAGTATTTATGTTCTTAGTCTTTTAAAATAATTTATTTTATGTATAATATCTTACATATCTAGTTTCCTTACATGTTTCTGTCCACAAGATGAATCAAAATTTAACTTTATAAAAAATTACACTGGACTGGAATTTGAACACAAATTGTGAATTTTAGTACTAATTTTATTAAATAACGTTAGCCTGAATAATGGTAACGATAAATTTTTCGCCTATGTTCTAGTCTAGTAATAAAGAAAACTATATATATAGAAAGAGTTGATGGTATTCGTGCCTCACCAAACTTATTGAGTCTTCGACAAGACAATTTTTTAACTTCCATTTGTTAGAGCTAACGTATCTTCGCCATATTACAGTTTTCCTCAAGATATTTTAACCAAAAATGGCAATTAAAAATACCATTGGTGCCGGCACCTGGTTTCAAAATTTGAACTAAGGTTAATCGAGTGTAATGAGTTTAAAGCGAAACAAATATAAAACGATCAATTTCGCTAGCGCTCGATTCTGATGCTGCCCTGTCCGATTTCAGCACGGATTAATCGTTACGGACAATTCGACGTACGAGGTGCGTCCGCTGCCGTTGGGCGCGGGTGCAAGATGGCGCGCACAAGATGGCGGCGGCCGCACGGCCCACGTGATCAGGCGCGCGCCACCGCCGCCGCCGTCGGACGACGACGCGAGGTACTTTCGGCCCCGCGTGCGGCGACCGCGCCGGCCCCGCCTGGACACACCGACGCCCGCTAAATACACCATAGAGGTGGCGCTGTTCCTCGACGAAGCCGCCTACAGACTGTTCTACCCGTTCCTGAATCACAATGAGGCCGATTTGCGGGACATGTTGCTCGCGTATGTCAATGGAGTAAGTTGAACATTGCTTCTTTTATCAGATTTTCAGTTACTGAAGCGTAAAGACTTGTATAAGGTAAGCTCGACTGGGAAAGTACTAAGGCTTCACTAAAGACCGGTAAAGGCCGCAAAGTTTTTAAAACGATTCTTAGGGTGTAGTCCACCCTGTGAATGGTTCTGTGAATGTTAAATAGTCCTTCAATTCAACGGTTCTAAAGTTGCATCAGTTGAAAATAGTAAAAATGACGCCATTTGAACTGTGAAAAAATTTGACGAAAAGTTTTCGGCGCCGCAGGAATTTGAACCTGCGTCTTACAGGTAACGCGCCCAGACTCTAGCCAATTGAGATGATATCGTCAAGGTACTCAGAAGTTTGCTAGCACTAAAAATATAAAATAATCATAAATTTAAAATGTTTGTAGAAAAAAGTACGAAAAGTTTCTCGCCGCTGTGGGAATCGAACCCACGTCTTTGGGATTCGCGACCTGACGCTTTAGCCACTAAGCTAAACGGCTGATTGTCACAGCCGCGAGAAACTTTTCGTACTTTTCTACCAACACTTTAATGTTTAATCTTAAGTCCAGAGATTAGCACTATCAAAATTTAAATTAATCATAAATTTGTTCTTTAACGTTAAAGCTACGGTTAGTACATCATCGCCATTAAAAATTATCAACTACAGCCCTTTATTTTATTTTTAGAAAAATGTTTTTTTTTAATTGTAATTGTGGCGTTGCGAAATAAATCTGTTTCTGTTGACAAATGACCAAATTGCCAATCTTTTAACACAAAATAAAGCGGAGAAGGTTTATAACGATAAAATAAATTACAATTTTAACCGAATTCAAAAAAGGAGGAGGTACTCAATTCGACTGTATTTTTTTTATGATTGTTACCTCAGAACTTTCGACTGAGTAAACCGATTTTGATGATTCTTTTTTTATTTGAAAGCTGGTGCTTCCTATGTGGTCCCATATTAATTTCATTGTTATTCTATCTTGGGCTACGGAGATACTTCGGGGAACTTCTGAAAATCAATTATCAAATGAGTACAGAGCCAGATATTTGAAGTTGGTTTTGTTTTTCGTTAATAATTAGTTTTAATTACCGAACCTAATTGATAAAATAACTTACAAGGGAATTTAATGTTTTTTTATTATAAACTTTAAATAGGTTGACCACTTTGTTATAATTATCATTCTATTAATAAACTTAAATGAGTTTTTACTTTTATATACAGCGTGTCGTTACCATCGCGACAATAAATGAACACACGTCTAACGCTACGAGCCAATAATCATAAAAAAATATTAACGTTAAACAAAATTCATAATTAAAAAAAAATATTTTTCAAACAAACTAATTAAGTAAAAAAGAAACAAAATTTCTAACATCCTATACAACTCGCGCCACAGCGTCGTATTAAAAGCCTCTCCTTCTAACAGTATGTTTTGTCTCTTTTAAATTCATTCAACCCATTCATATGCCTTGTGACCTTTACAAATGAACTTTACGTTACGCTTTTATAGGTAAGAGTGTTCTAAAATTCTTTGTTTTGGAAAATTTAATAACTCTGTAAATATTGATGTTTAAAGAATTTAAACGTTTAATACAACTTTAAAAACTTATCCTCTATATGTGTGTTCATTTATTGTCGCGATGGTAGCGACACGCTGTATATGAACCTCTTTTATCTCTGCATCAGGCGTTCTCTATCAGTCAACGTACCGGTGACTTATAGAGAACGCCTGTATTTAGTCCGTCTATACAAACATAAACATGCCGTTCTAAGGGGGAGGCCTATGTTAAACAGTGAACGTCTTACGACTCATGATGATGATAATTCAAAAATATATGTGTAAAAATTATAATTTATGTTTATAATTATCAAAATAATCCAACGGTAACTACAAAACATACTTAAGCCAACTTTTCTTCAATTAAATACATAATATGTATTTATTTGAAGATTATTATTATAGGTATAAAAATCCAGCCACTAGCAAAATACTATGTTCATCATACAAAATTTTTCCAGTAGCGGCGATTGATGAACCCTTTGGTGTAAAAGATGGGTTCAGTATACATTACCAGTCACATAAATAGATAAATTTTAATTAAGGGTTATTAAAATGTTTCAGGCAATTGAAGTCTCGTTTTTAAAGACTCCGGTCTAAAAAAACAATTTAACTCGCTCTCGAAAAACAGTAAAAACCTTAGTATCAAATATAAATAAAATATATTTGATTTTCCAGGTACAGGCGTTATACCACCACCCGTCACTAGGCACTCGCATCCAACTGTCACTAGTGCGTCTGACTTTGTTGCGATCGCAACCTAGCGAGTTGCCGCCGCACGCCGAAAGGGGGCGCCTGCTGGATTACTTTTGCGCTTACCAGCGCTCTCTTAACGTCGACGACGACGAGGATCCGCAGCATTGGGATATGGCGTTACTGCTTTCAGGGTAAGAATGTTTGTCCTTTGGATTCAATCTTCCTAATATTTTGGGTACCATGGCATCACAGAAGGCAGGCGTAAACTCAATGTGTTATACTTTTGTGTTTCGTCTGTTATTTTTTATGTAATAAATTCAAACTTCCACCATTTCCGTATGTTATATATGTAATTCCGCCGACACGTAGCAAGAGTAGTAATTGCTACGGGCCCCGAGTCAAAAGGAGATCCGCACATTTAAATTTACTCATCTCTGCCTGAGCTTTAGGAGCATCTCTTAAGTTTTTAGTTAAACTTATTAAATTAGTAATAGTATTGAATTGTTTTTTTTACCACTTTACACTTAAGAACCTATACCAGATCAAGGGCCGTTTGAGAGAATTTGCTACGGGCCCTGCGCTTGCTTACGCCTGGCCGCAAATATTCATTTCTTTCAGGTAACGACGATTCCACGAGGTCAATATAAGTGAACATGTTCTGAGCCGTCACTACATTAAAAATTATAAATACCTTTTAGTTTTTTTTACTTTCACTATTTTTTTTAACTACTTTTATGTTATTTTCATTTTTTTTTAAATTATTTTGTCGTTGTATTTTTTTTTTATTTTAAACTGTAGGTAACTAAATGCAACATAATTGAATAATTGACGGATTAAATCTTTCGCATAACTAATGCAAAAGATTTAATCCGTCACTTAATCTGTACAAGATTAAGTGACGGATTAAATCTTTTATGTCTTATGTGTACGTCTGCTGTTTCCAGGCTGGACTTCTACGCGGAGGAGGGCGGGCGTCGCAACGGGGTGACGATGGGCCTGGCGCCCGTGGGCGGCGTGTGCCTCCCCGCGCACGCGTGCGTCGTCTCCGAGTTCGGCACGAGCGACCTGCTCGGCCGCCCCTACCCCTCCGCCGGCTTCACATCCGTATACATCCTCGCGCACGAAATCGGACACAAGTCGGTTTCATCTTTACTATTACTTTCTTTTATGTTAAATGTTGCCAAGCGAGCAGGCGGTTCACCTGATGTTTAGTGAATACCGCCGCCCGTGGACATCTGCTACACACGAGGGTTGCAGATGCGTTGACAACCTTTTGAAAATTGGGCTCCGGCTACCTCACTCGCCAGGCGAAACGCGAAAGTATTATTCTTCTGAGAGGTCGTGGTACTTACCCGGACGAGCTTGCCTATTCGTGCAACACATGAGGCTGCTGCGTGGCCTTACCACCATTATGTCTGTCTTAGTTTAGACGTTTTCGTTCGTTCATCTGATTCTAAGGGAATACCGCCGCCCGTGGATATCTGCAGATGCGTTGAAAACCTTTAAAATAGTGGGCCCCGGTTACCCAACTCACCAGATGAAACGCGAAAGTTTAATATTTCAACTTCACACCGGTCTTCTGTGCAGCCGTGGTTATTTCTCGGCAGCGCCTGCCCATTCGAGCGAAAGCTTCTGCTTGTTGTTAGTTCAGTAAAGTTCATTTGTGTCTCTTAATTTCTATATAGTAACTAGCAGAGCGGGCAGACGTTGTCCTGTACGCACGTTTTTTAAATTTCAAAATTTTTTGAATAACTTTGTGAATCTCAACAATTCTTGAATCTATCTGAAGCACACAAAAAATTTCATTAAAATCGGTCCAGCCGTTTAGGAGGAGTTCAGTGACATAAACACGTACAGAAGAATTATATATATTTATAAAGATAATAATATTTTTTTATTCACTCTACTAATTTAATTTAATAACCAACACAACATAAAAGTAGCATCAATTACATTGCGATGTTAACGTCGGCAGCCATACCAGTATATACTGCCATACTGTGTCACGGCTGCCTGCGTCTCCCACTCTGAAAATACAACAGAATAACCTAATAAGTAAATTAATTATTACAAAAAGCTTATAAATAACCTTAAAATAATATTTTGTGGTTATTTATGAGGGTTTGTGTGCGCAAGCATAAAAATGTGACGTCGTTATCCGCAGCCTGGGAATGCACCACGACGGCACTGGCAACTCGTGCGCTCGCGACGGCTTCATAATGTCCCCTTCGCGAGGAACGCACGGCGAGGCAACGTGGTCGCGTTGCAGCGCGAAGGTCGCCGCCGATCTGCAGTGAGGACTTATCACTTAATTCTCATATGCCCGGTACCTATATTCAACTAACGGCCGTTAGTTACATAGATTCGTAACTTTCATAACGACTTGTAGATTAAAGGAACGCTCGTAGGTAATGGAACGGCTCGTAAGGAAAACGCCTCGTTTTGTTAATATAGGAACCGAGGGTACACGCCTTTTAAACTGCCTCTGAAATAAGGCCTATTACGGGAAAATATATATAGAACTATCGTGATCTGTCCTATACGAACTGCAATTATTGTTGCCTTGCCTTACCAGATCTTGAATGGAAGATTAAGAAAGTGCAAAATTTAGAGGAAGCTTAAGTTAAAAGGGAACAGAAAATTTGTTCGTGTTTTCTTTATGTCAGAAGGTGCCACTCGCCACCCATGGACATTTAAAACATCCTTGGGATTGCAAATACGTTACCTTTAAAGAGTGACTCTAGTTAGCTCAGTCACCAGTGAATTGTAAACGTGCATATCATGCTGATTTACGATAAGAATTGAGATACGCATGAAGAAGATATATAAACATTAACAAGTTAAACGATGTCATCTGGTTTTTGCTATTTTAAAATTTGAGTAAATAGTTTCTTTTTAAACTGAAACTGTATTCCACGGCTTTTGAAATTTAACATAAAGCACTATTTACTTATCTTTGTCAAAACAAGCAAAATTTTTGTCAAATGGGCTGTTGAAATCAAAACAAAACAATGAAAAGCTCTTTTTAATAAATTTACTTATAATACAGTTTATTTTTCTTTTCATTTTGATGAATTGATAACGGAAGAACAAGCCTTTTTCATTTGGCCCCAAAGGACCAGAGGATTATGAATAAATGCTATATATAACTTCCACAAAGCTTTTTTATTTCAGCTCCAATAATCCGAAAAATGGGTAACGTCACTAGTGTCCGATTCGAATTCGCTAACATAAGATCGCAAGATTACCATAACATTCACTAAAACATCATTGACTTTTAATTTTAAAAATACCCTATAACGTAGTTTTATGTTTTATAGTGAACGATTTTAAACTGTATCAATTTCTTTTAATCAATTTACGTTTCTTTCCATATAAAATCTATCCAGGAATTGGCATTACATTTAATATAAACATGTAATTCAATACGTGTCTTTTAGATGGGCAACCTGCTTGATGGACGGCGGAGATGATGATGAGGAGGTTCCCCACGAGCTCCGGCATGAACGGTTCGGGGGCGCCCCTGGTGTTGTATGGGACTCGAAAAAACAATGCGAGGTAAGACTTCTAACTTTTCCTTTGTCTTTCATGGATGTATTCTAAAGATCCATCCCTATCTTTTTTTTAATAAGTTAAGATACATAACCGTTTGTATAGTCTATGGACGGTTTTTCCTATAATTCTTATAGGTCTGATTTGAGCTTTGATATTTTTGACATTTCGGCAAAATGTTTATATTGCGAACAGAAAAAAAAGTTTTGCTTGGCTGTGAATTCTATATTCAAATTAATTTTGAAAATTGAAAAAAATTCAATTCTCGAGAGGTACTACAAAATTGATTTTAAGTTTGTTGCCGTAAAATAAGTACTTTACTTATTTCAAACAAAACGGCGTTTTCATAGGTACAGACCTACTAAAACCTTAAACTAAATATTCTTGAACTACCAAAACTTTATTGCCACTCTAACCCCTAAAACATAATATATACTTAATGTTAGATCTTCTGTAGATGTCGGTTGATTACAGGTGTTGTTGCGTGACAAGGATGCGGCGCCGGTGAGCGCGCCTAGTGGAGCTGGTGATGCGGGGGAGGGGGAGGGAACATGCGCCCAGCTTGTCTGCCGCTCCCCGCATCGTCTTGGCTTCTACTATGCGGGCCCCGCTTTGCCCGGCACTCCCTGCGGTCTACGCAAGGTATCAATTTTATTTTTGAATCCGTAACAGAACATTTTCCATTTCAGTATCAGTGCAGATTATTAAGAAATAATATTCCCCCATTGATCCCGCACTGCTCTAACGTTTGTTAACAATTAACAATTATCTATCGTTTAGGGTCGTTTTAATGTCCATACACGGACAACTCCAGCTCTGACACAACTATGTAGACTTTCTGGCCCCATTGTGCGCAACTGACAACATGCCGTATAAGCTAAGTAAAATAAAACAATGTACTCAACCTGGCCTAGAAGTAAAGCAAAGCCATGCCGCGTACAAGGTACACAAATTCTCCGCTACCGATTTGACCGACTGACTGAGTTTATGACTGATGTTGCTACACTCACGCCTTAAAACCAATTGTAAATAGTGGCACAGGATGGGGCTTCTTTATTAAATGTCAATGGAAGTCTATACAGCTTTGTTGTTGAGTAACACCACAACCAAAAGCTTCGAAAAAAAAAAGCTGTATAATAACGCTCTACTGTTCAAAAACTAAGTTGTGAACGAGAATTATCGAGTCAATCCTCTACCAGATTTTGAGTTTTGTGGAGGCAAAACGTACGGTGGCTAGATGTTTGCATAGGGATATTTTAGAGGGGTTTATTGTTGTCGTGTCAGTGGTGCCAAGGCGGCGAGTGCGTGGCGGCGGAGCCAGCGGGTGCTGAGCAGACGCCGGCGCCTTCGGGCCCGGGCGAGGCGTGGGGCGGGTGGAGGGGGGGCGCGTGCCGCTCGGGCTGCACGGTGCGGGCCCGGGGAGCGCAAGAGAGGCGCCGCACCTGCGCCACGGGCAGCGTCTGCGAAGGCGCCGCCTATGACGTCACGCTGTGCGACGACACAAAGGTGAGAGGGGCGTGACGTCACGCTCTGCGAAGACACCAAAGTGAGAAGGAAGTGACGTCACGCTATGCTATGACAAAACGGTGAAGGACGTCGAAGCTAGAAGGTTTGCCGGCATCATTGACTACAGCTACTGTATTATATATTTACTTATCATGTTATATATTGTGTGTGTAACACAGACACGTCAGACATAAAGATGCGTAAAAGAAGGAACAAAGAAGTTTCTTCCAGCAGGCCTGTACCTAAGTGGAAAATTGCGAGTAAGACGGCTCATGTGAAGCATGTTCTCTTTGTTAGCCTAATCTAGCAATATAATTTTATGATTTGCTGATGTCACATATGGGAATTTCAATTCATTTTCTACTTTTCTACAAATATGTACCTATTTAAAACGTTGCTGTTCTGCTTCATGAGCTTTGAATTGAAGAAATGGAAATAAGGAAGTAAAAAAAAGTTGATGGATGTGGACGAATGTAACTCTTTTGGGGCTGAAAGCTGTGTGGGATCCTTTAGGGATGTAAGTTGCTACCGATATTGACTTGTGATGAGACTTGCACTCAAGCGTAATCTGGAAGTAGAAACACAGAGTAATCATTATATTTATATATAATAATGACTTTATTAGTATTATAGAACATTAATTAGATAATTTAACATAACTGCATGTATATAATTATGTTTAATTGCTTTTTTCCGCTGCTTCAACCGCACGGCTGCATTCAACGCGTAATTTACTCATTACAACATTGGCTTTTACCATTACGAATTTATTTCATATCTTCGGCTATTTCAAAAGCTACACACTAACGACATTCGTAACATTACTAATTTAATACATATCGAACGTTTTGTGTGCAGGTCTGTGGTAAGAAGAAGCGCGTGGGGCCGAACGAGTTCGCAGCGCGCCGCTGCGGCGAGTACGCGGCCTCGCTGCCGGCTCTGGACGCGCGCGGCGGCGGCCTGCAGGCGCCCCACGACCCTAGTGAGTGGTCCAAAGCAATCATCTTAGACCAGCAAGTCATACTTTGACATAGACTCATAGATCTCATTGCCATATTCCCCATTGGTTAACTGGAGTTCATCGTGAATGGCGAGAGAAACTGATGCGCAATCAGCACACAACTGCTTACTTCCTGCTCTTAGAGTTTGAGTCTTTACTTAAGAGTTGACAGCACGGGTAGCGCAATGGTTTGATATTGTTTTTATGTCGTTTTCAACTGCATCCGGATCCAAAAATTTGTGGGGTCATAGTTTATCTGCGTCTAGATGTTCTCGGTGACTTTATTTTTGTTAACGTTGGGCAAAAATGCCTACGCATAGCCACCGTCGCGGAGACGAGGATGGGTTATGTTGGACTCGCACCGACTAAAACCCCCACGATGTTCCACCCGGGCGCTTTCGCACACTTCCCTGCCAGCGTTGGCCGCCTCAGCAGCCCCTTCTCAGGGAGTGACTCCCTCTCCACCAGTTAAAGGCTCGCTGGAACATTCAGCGCGCTTTCCTACTCGGCTCCTTTTTCATTATCAACGAACTCTCCCGAGTTCGCTGACCAGAGGCTGTGGGAGTCAGGAGAGCCAGTGCTAATAAACGGCAAGTCTTCCAGCCCCCAGCGGCGAACCTGACCTGTGTAGCTCCCCCTATCCTCCGTGATTCAGCGGTGCAGCCCTGCTGAGTCACGAAGGATTGGGAGAGCGGCCAAACGCAATACTGACACCCTTCTACCTCTACGACCCTAACTTGGTAGCAGAGGACAGGGAGAGTGGCTTCACGTCTACTCTCTCAATCGGTATCCCGCCCCCTACTCGCACACATCCAAAGTAGATATGTGAAGACCGCCAATCCCCAGACACACACAGAGGAGCTCTTTCCCAGCAGTGGGACACATTTACATATATACGCTTATGTTACTTTACTTTATCACTTAAAGTTATATGTCGTTGTATTTCCCTTTCGGTGTTATTTTCAAATGATGTGAGTAATGTTTTCTATATTGATTGTATTTTTATACTTAATTTTAAAAAATATTAGCATCTTGCACTCCTTCTTTATAGAAAGTTTAGGTAAAAAGGGGTACAAAGTTTTTATTTCACGTATTTAATGTAATGATATTAGAGATATTTAATTTTTTCATTTGATACTTTCAATATTGTTTTGGGATTTTTCGTTAGTCATAATTTTGATTTTCATGATTTTGGCTTTCTATGGGTAATTTGCTGATCATGTTCTCTTCTTCTGTATGTAAGGATATCTAATGGAGTAAAGATTTTATTTTAGATAAAAAATGATCAATGGGAGAGCCATTAATCATATCAATTCATTGCATTATCCGCTTTGTGATAAAAATCACCTGCTGCAAGAATATGTCTATGTTTATAAAAAATTTTACGAACTAGTTCCTGCACTATTTACTCGTACTACCTTTATTTTTAGTACTAGTCCTGCACTGTCATGACAGGTCAATTTTTGGTTGAATTTATGATGTCTAGATGACATCAGTTTTATTCCAATTGTCTTGTGGATCCAAGGTGACCATTAAGTCATTGTACAATAAGTACAATTTTTTCCTTTTTACGCCATTATTATATGTACGCCTCCGAGCACGTGGAAACCAACACATCGTGTACAGTGCAGCCGCATTTTCATGTCGGTTCTTACCGCCCATGTTTCAGCCAACGATTAATATAGCTGGTGGCCATCGGGTTTACAATCCATACTGAACTTCGATGGCCCGTAGGAGACATACCTCCCAAAAATAACGATGAGCATGCAAGGTCAGCGATATATGATGGATACTTCCCAATCAAACTAAATTTTTGCAAGTGACCAAATGTGTGTGTGGCCTGATTTTATCTTGATTAAAGAAATGGTTTTGTTCGGGAGCACATACGTACTCGCGGGATCTGCTTATCTTACAGGTTCCGCGCTCGATGAAGCTTTAATAGTTTACGGACTGAAAGAAAACACAACAGTCAAAGTAAAGTAAAATCTCACGGAAGACGCAGGTTGAAATCCCGCAACGCTGCAGCATTTTTTGACCAAGTATCTGCAAAAATTCTCAAACATTCTAAAAGCAAAACATAGATGGATCTAAAATAATTAAAAAAACTGTTTTAATAAATTCGTTAGGTGGTGGTGACAAAGGTTTTCCAAACATCGCAGAACCGTCGTCAAATCACTATTTTACTAATAAAATCTAAATTTTATGTCAAGTAAAATCGTGAAATCGTTATTGGACAATTCAAGGTTCAATTCCTTGGTATCAGTATAATTAATGGGGCACGGAAAATGTTTTGCGAGAAATATTATTATCACTTTATCATATTTTTACTGCAAAAAATTTAGAGGTCATCTTCCTTGCATATTTACTATTTTATTTAGTGATGTATCGTCAGGTTGTATATTTTCAGTAGATTTGATTTTGATCGTCTTATAGTCACGGAAATGTTACGTGAAAGGGCCGGCTCCATTAGAAATACACGAACTTATTGATGAGTCTCGTGAACTAGGAGTATTTGTAAATTTTGCGGCCACCCTCTAAAAGGTTGCCAACATCCCTGAGCTCTCACTGGCGTTGCGTACATACGCATGGACATCCATTCAGACTTTCGTCAGGTGGAACAGTCTTCCCTGTCCATCTTATCTTATATCATTTTCTTTCTCTTCCTTCTTCTGCCCATAAACCGCCTAAGTGTGATCGGCACAACATGTAAATGATGTTGTTAATGTTATTGACTAGATTTTCTACGACCGGCCGCTGGCCTAAGGTCGACTCTCCCGAACAAACACCCAGATCCGTAATATAATTATCCGTGGATCAAACAAATAACTTCACTCGTTTAGGAGTCGAACTCAAAACCGCCGGCCTGAAAACCCAAGGTGTAGCAACTGCACTACCTTAACTTCTAGTTGGCTATACATTTCGTACACATTTTAAATCAAAACTGCAACAAAATGTAGTAGCACCCTTTCCTATGTATTTTTTGCTCTTCGCCATCTTCTCTTTGATGAACCGAGTGTATGAAAGCATCGTTCGTTGAGGCGTATACTTTGTCCCCAGCTCGGATGTGGATGGGCTGCGCGATATTCTGCCGTCGCGCCGCCGGCGGCGGTTTCTACGCGCCCCGAGTGGAGCTCAACGCGGCCGGCCTCGACCCCTACTTCCCCGACGGGACCTGGTGCCACAACGACGGCGCGACCGACTACTTCTGCCTACAGCATCACTGCCTGCCCGAGGTCTGTGGGATGTTGTCTTTTCAGGCACGTGTGCTAAACAAGAATCGATCTAGTAAAGAGACTGTACAGTTCACAAGCTTTGCTGTTCGTATATTAGTTACACAATGTTGTCCATCTCGCGTATATGACTTCTGAGAATGTAGACGGAGACAGTTAGTTAACGTTTAAAAATGTTCGGATAAATTATTCGGATCGGTATACCGGTACAAAAAATGTTGCCTCGGTTGATACCTGAATTTTACCATAGCTCTGAATAAGATACGAGCGTACAAATGTCATCAATAAATCAGGAAAACTACACTGAAGGAGATTATTGTGACATAATGTGTTCTGTTCGATTTATTACGCCATAATTATGATCAGTGTAATAAACTCACTACAATATTACAGTCAAATAATAAAAGGAACAATATTTGGAATGGAAACTATAGTTCACGGTATGAAGCAGCACCGTTAATTATAAAAGAGCAGTGCTTATTGTTGTAACAGTTACGTAACATGCAATCGCTTCGTAGGCGAATGTGCAATTTGTGTTAGCGATAATAGTGAGACGCTAAGCTATAATATTGTCAGTGGATGTCATTACAGCTAATTCAGAAGAGAATGACATACGTTATGAACGACGGGCTCCTAATCCTATTGTTTGTCAACACTGGCACGTCACGTCACGTGCTCCGTTAAATCACCGTAGGGCCATAAAGATTCATGCTCAGAGATAACACGTTATTCCACCTAAGACTAACGTAAATGGGTACTTGCGTCGTACAACCACTTTCCGCTGTTAAGGATAAATATGTGCTCTACCTAATCTCTTAATACCTCTGTATTCTTTAACATGATCTCAGAGATCGAGTATGAAATATTTTGATCAATGCAATAGGTTGAAACATTTTAATATATTGGAGAGGAGATTGGAGTTGGTAATTTTCGGAAGTGAAAAATCCTTATTTTACCGAACATCTTTCATTCAGTTGTTTACCCAAACGTTTTTCATTCAGTTTTAGTTTTATAGAAAAGTCATGTCCCTGAAATCTATATAAGTAAAACAACATTAAAAATGTGTCCATTGCACGGCGATGACAAATCCGTAACTACAACTAAGTTTAGAACTGAGTGATGAACTAAGTAATAAAAATTGTAAGTAATAACAAAGAAAACCAATGAAATTCCTCAGTTCAAAGTAGGATTTCACTGGACATGCGTCGGCCTCGTGAGCGTTAAAAGACTTGGAGCCATGTTGGTAAAAGAGATATAAGTTCTATCTCAAACCATCGTCTATATCAAAAAAATAAAGTTAATAACTGTGTTTATTTCAGGTGAAAAACAGTTACGTTTAGGTATAAAAATCAAAACCGTGCGCTAATAAAAGTATTACACGTGAATACGTCACAATTCTGCAGTCGACGCATAACAAGACAATCGGTCTTTCGTGTTTGTCCGTCAAACAAGTCGGCTGTTTTATGGCCTCTATGCTTGCGTCACGGCCTCAGCGTTATTTACCCGATACGGTGAACTATTCGCTAATTCGTCAAGAGCTATCAGGACGTTTAAATTGGACCGTGATAAATCGATCTCATCTTGTGACGTATGCGCCATGTAACATCGTATGTCGTGATTATAATATTTATTATCCAGCGTGATAATTATAGAAATAATATTTATCATCCAGCGTGCTAACTGGAGAGGAGGGAAACGCGATATAACTCTTTCAACACAATTTTCAACTGAATATAGAAGTATGCTAATAAGAAACTAAAATTACGATACAATAATGCGTATCCATATCTAAACTATGCTTTAATAAAACTTTCTATTAAAACCAATGGGTAAATGCGGAAATATGAAGGTAACATTTTATTTCCTAAATTTATTTAATGTACATATAAATTTTTCATGTTATCGCCGACACACTCCAGTGTAGTCTTCGGGTTATACTGAGTACGATATCATTTAGGACGTTTCTTATCAAACGCCATAAATACGGAGGAAATGAATTCGCAGACATTACTCTAGGGCGTGAACAATTACCGCTTCCCGTTTCCCATGTATGTGCGACACACGAGACCACTATTCGAGCCTTGACAATAACCGCAGTGAATGCGATCCTTCAGTGTCCTCGCTTACTTCCGACGTGCGGACGGGTAGCTAGGTGGTTGAGGAAGTTGTAAACAGCTTACTGACACACATACGGTGCATTGCACCATGTAAAAGTACTTTTTGCCTCCCACACTGCGCTAAATACAACGCATGGCAATGATACTGTGAAAAAATGTGATCGTTGAAATCTTTTCCTTTGCTGTTGTTGCTCCAAATTTTGCCCAAAGCAAAACTGTAAACTGAGCGTTTTCTTAATCTCATGAGGTTATAAGTATGTTACTAAATGCAGCACCGTTTGACTGCCTACCAGATCTACATTAAAAGTTGTATCCAGTCCGGTTTCGGGGAACCGGTGTAGTCCCACCAAAAGAAAATGTTTACTCTTATGAGAAAAAAAATGTCCCGCTGAGTTTCTTTCGCTGGTTCTTCACAGGTCAGGGTCTTTTTCCGAACCGTTAGTAATGTGTTTTGTGACAATAAATAAGTGTAATGCTTCTATATTGAATAAAGATATTTGAATATTGAATTATGTACGTCTACATTACGTTACAGTTAAACGAATTTGCATGAAGGATGAGATGGCCATCTCGGCTACCATGTCATATATGCAGACTTTTGCGAAATATGTCGAGGAAAAAACTATAACAGTTGGTTTTCTTACATAGTCTACAAAATAGTTATTGATATAGCTAACGAATTTTTTAAGAGTTTCCTCCTATTTTACAGCATTTACGCTCATGAAACGGAAGAACATGTGTCAAGGCAAGTTAAATTTGATGTCTCAACTTCAAAGTTAACCTGACCTACTGTTAGCTATTTGATTCTTTATTTATATTGGTTTTAAGCTTAAAAGAGCAATAGGTTTTTTTAATTTTAAAATTTTATCTCCACATATAAATAAGATCCTCTAGTAGGACCATTACCGGGTATTTCATCAAATGCGCTCTCATTTGATCCTCTACGATGCAGTCTGCCATGTATTCGTGGACATATAAAATATAAGTAATAGAGTTTGATATTTCAAACAATTTGGTTGTTGTTAATGACTTATTTCTACGTATATCTCAAAATATTATCACTCCGTGCATACTTAATTTACATTTTATCACTACGTGATTATTATACAAATTTTAAGAGTCAAATCCTTTGTTACTAAATTGGAAAGAATTATGTTAAATGCATTTCTGTCTAGAACCTTAAAGTAACGCGACAAAAGGATATACAGTGGGCTCGTGGTTAATTTAACACAAGGACACTTAAAACTTGATCAATTTTTATCTGTAACGAGTACGGAGTCTAAGAAAAAGTGCTTTATTTTTGTCTCAAACTTTGCATAATATTCTTAAAATCCCTTTCTGAATTGCCCTATCTACACAATCTTGTTATTAATTACGTACTTTAGATATTGCAAACAAGATGTTATGAAAGCGTTTGGAACTCGTTTCGATACGTTAATGGATAATGCTCAGTCTATAGAATCTTATGTCTTGGCCTAAGAAATTACACAAATTATGAATTAAGAAATCATAATGAATTAAACTTTATGCCTTCTAAAATAAGTACTCAAACGGCCTACAAAAATATATTGTATGTGATATTACCCACTAGCTCTTCCCGCGACTTCGTCCGCATGGAATTATATTAGGTATATTAATGATAATAAATAAAATTTCTAAAATAAAAGTTGCCTTAGCTACTCCTTATTTCATCATCTATCTGCCACTGATAGTCCCGTCATAGTTGATCCAGCCGTTTCAGAGATTAGTCGGAAACAGACAGACAGACAGACAAAAATTGTAAAAAATGTTATTTTGGTATTTGTACCGTGTATGCATCCATATGCATTTAGTAAAATGCGATTATTTTAATATTACAAAGAGACACTTCATTTTTTTATCTGTATAGATGATCATCTTTAACCTTCGTGGCCATATAGGCGGAACAAATTTTAGATAGTGATTTTTTGCAAGATTAATGTCAGGCCAATTTTGCCTCATCACGGAAAGAGCCAAGAAAGAACCGTTAACATCTCCTACAAATAATACAAGAATGCTCATATTGAAAGGAATAAAAGTAATTTCACCGGTTTTCGATGATATCAATAAATCGTGCGCCGCTTTCACAGCAGCACGCGAGCCCAACGGTTTGCTTGTTTTGTACAGAACTTCAAGATGACGCCGCAATGGCACGTGTGGGACCTGCCGAGCCAAGATATCGGGGGGCCTTTCAACGCTAGAGCGCGCTCCGTTGATGACGGTTCCGAGGCGGCCATCCGCTCCTATCTGTCCCTGGACGAGGCTGGGACACCCCTAGCGCGGGCCGCACTGCCCCCCCACATGCCGGAGGAACCGGAACACAACTGGGAAGTCGTCGACTACGTTGAGATAAACAACCGAACCGACTCCGTAATGGTCTAACTGAACTAATTGCCCACAGAGCACGCGTCTTGCCCAACTCACTTTATTGCCTCCTTGTAAGTCGGTCCACTGTTGGATTTCGATATGCGCGTCACGTGCGTGTCCTTAGTAACGTATAAATCTTTAGATTTACTATTATTACGACTTGTAAGTACAACGTACGTCTCTGTGCTTAGCGCGTGTAGACATGTATGTTTTTATGAGTACATAAAGTCGAATTTGCATTTACTAGGGTTAAGGTTTTAATTTCAGTATTAATACACATTAAGATAATTTATAGCCACGTAAGTTTTGAACCTCATGACAGATAATTGATTGACAATGTATATATATACTTTGATTTTTAAACACATTTGGATAACGATAAATAATTTTTGTTATAACTATTTTATTTTACTGGAGAGTTTGTTGACAGTATACCGAATTATAAATTGGAAAGATAACGTTTATATGTAAGAAACTAATTTAGACAATGTCTGTGCTTAAGTTAATAAGATTCGATATAGTAAAGCTAGTCTTATTTCAAGTTTCAATTTAGAATTGAACATCTGATGACCATACCACATGGTTAAGCGTTATTACAATTTTCACTATAAGTCATATTGTAATAAAATGTGTTTACTTCATACATTATTTATGGATATGTGTCAATTGTATATCGTTGCTAACTCTGAATTCTTACGGATATATGCTTAAAAGTATAAAGGTTAAAGACATCTGATTTATCTACAGTGTTGATGTTTCGTACTTTACTTTCCTTTGAATGATGTGTTTGCTTTCAGTTCGTAGACTATTAAACCTTCTTAGAACGTAGAGCTCGGGGTAGGCTGATTCTACGCTTGATATGGCCCTGTACGCATGATATGTGTCACGTGTGTGCTCGTGCGTGAGTTATCTATAGGGTAGGGATGTAACCTATGAGGTCCGGTACGGACCGTGGCTCCGATGGCCGTTGACTGTATTACCCATTGGCTGGGGCGGTGGGAACCGCCCTAGAACGCGTTTGTTTCACTGTTCTCATTTATGTTTCAAGTAGGTGAATAAGAACTATTTGATTGTGCGTGCTTTCACTAATTGTGTGTATAATGTTGTTAGTTCGGTCGACGACAGGTTCGTTTTGCATTTGTTATAGGTTGCTATAAAATACGTAACTTATGAAGAAGCGTATTTTTGTACATAATTGCCCTATTTAAAAGCAGGCAGAACGTTTTTCCTACAGATTTTTATTTTTTAATGATGCATATCAAAAGATACTACAAATTGATCGTTAAACATGTTTACTTCATTACGAATAAAGTTCGTATTCCCTTTATGGTTAATTTATTCATTTTTACAAATTAACGACGTCCGTGTCAAGTTAAGATTTTGACTAGATATTCTGATAAACTAAAAGATAAGCCAATGACAACCTGTATTGCCCTCTTAAACATCAACACATTAAAACAACATAAAACTATAAAAACAGATATACTTATGTTAATATTATCTCCATAAAACACATTTTAGTAGATATTATTGTACGCAAGGTATACGGAAACAAATTGTGTGTATACGTATAATTATATATAACAGTAAAAATTTATCTCACTTTTGCAACCTATAATATAAAACAAGGTAAATTTATTAGTCAAGGGCTCAATACCTATAAAAGGCTAAACGATGGAGCCCGATGCTCTTTTCCCATGTCGCAATCATTGCCCAAGTTACTATGTACCCGGGCATTGTTACTATGTGCCCGAGGTTTCTGTACTCAACCGCCTATCTCAGGGATTTCCACATATTTAGTTTAAATGTGCTTAGCTCGTTTTACCCTCAATGAAGGAACTTGCTCTTAGAGTTATAACTGACTGAAGTCATTATTGTACACACAAATACTGGCTTTATGCTACATTAAGTGGTAATTCATGGGTAAAAACCATAAATAACTCTTGTTAGTTTAAGATTTGTGAAACAGTGATTGACAGGCGTGTAGTGGCGCATACGTGATAAGTCGGTTAGCTTCCATATGCAAATGCTCAAAGGCAATTTAGTATCATGTGTTAAACCTTGTTCACATATAAACGTTTACTCTAACGTACATTCATGGCAATTTAATTTCATTCCTAAATAGTTCTTATCCAGACCAAATATATCAGAAATGAAAAGTATTAAGTATGTGACTTAGACCTTTTAAAAGTTTTTGTTAAATTTTATGTTGACGACACAAGAAATCTCAATAGATTATAATATACAGTGTCATATTTTGAACGAATAGTTTTGGAAGATAATAATATTGAAGAAATTATATTTCATTGGAATTAGTATTTTCGGTGTTCAAATGTTTTGGTAAGCTTTTACTACAATGCATATGGATGCATTGTGGTAAAAACTTAGTACTTGCAAGGACTTACTAAACCATATTTCCTGTCACTGAGAATATAAAAAGATTACAGGTTACTTCACGGTACTTTATAAGGAATGTCCCACTCACTTTTTTCATATAGTATTACTTTGTAACAGCAAAAAAAAGACAGAATCGCTATCATTGGTGTAAACACTAAAATACCGCAACCAATGCAAAAACCCGTGTGTACAGTTCTTTACTCGACATTTTTTCTTCTTATTCTTTGCGCGTTGACTTAGTACTTAGTAAAATCTACTATACTCTGCTAATTTATGAGTTCCTTTGTTATATCGTCGGGTTATAAATAACAGAGGGACGGGCGAGGAAAGCTAATGAATAATCTACCACATTGCAAGATTAATACTTCCCGTTTAAAGTACTACCTTTGAAGTATGTTAGACCAACAAGAGCTTAAGAAACAGCTGATGCTGCTCGAATAAGTCCGAGGAAGTTTCTTGGCCTAATAATCACCGGCGTAAACTAAAAGTATTTCTCTTACACTTAAAAAACAATAAAACATCGCCCTCACTGTAGGATAACATTATCCTATGAACTGCGTCACGGAATCATCATAATATAATATTTTTGCGTTTCATCCAGTAATTTAATGAATTAAATTAATATTTACAAATATCTTACTTCAATCAGCAAATTAAGACAACAGTCCTTTGATTTGTTCATTCATTATATCTAGTTTTTTTATTTGAATTTCACGTTTAAAGGTAGGTTCGTGATTTTTTTCTACCGAGAATATGTTTTGAAAATAATGGTCCATTAAAATGTAAGATCAAGATTAATAGATATATATTTGCTTCAATAAAATGTATAGATTTTGTTAAAAAATTTTTTGAAAAACCTGTTTTTACTGCATACAGCGCCTTAACGACTATCAAGACAAAATTAAAAATGTATTTAATAGAAAGTGAACCCATCGGATTATCCACACTTTTAAAATGTATTTATCATGTAGTATGTCTTAAGTGAGTATTGTAATATTCTTTTGAAAAAAAAAAAGACATTTCTTTGAACCTATATTTTGATGATATTTTTTTAATATTACAATTACTATAGTCAAATAAAGCTATTTAACGAATTTTATCATGTTTTATTTTAAATGTCTCATAATCTATAATACAATATTTAAAACAGAATCTTTCCTGCAGCAATAACTTTAACAAAGCATCAAACTCTTGAAAGGGAATCAATCATGCTTCATTGGATTTCACAGTAATGTTTCACGTTAAATGTAGTTTAAACAATGTCATTACTTATTATTAATTTGAAACGTTTCTTCGATACTAATGAAGCAACTGTCGTATATTTCATTTACAAGGACAGGAGCAAGTATTGTGTGTAAATTCTTATGTTTTGTGCTCCATAGGCTGCTCGTCCGCGACATTTTTTATCATTGTTGTTACGCTCTTTGAGCAGAACAATAATGTGACTAAGTGCTTCCTGCGGTGTTAGAAGGCGACGAAACCTACCTCATTAACTTATTACGGGTATCAACAAAAGCATCGCCATGATAGTCACTATCAAATAGTTGATGCTTGCATATATCTTAATATTAGAATTAAACAGAATAAAATGCATTGTACCAGAGTTATTCTGTATCTCTCATCATGCTTTGCTTCATTGAAAAATAGCGGGAAATATATTTAAAAAAAAAACAATTACCACTAAGAGATGATCATGTTTGGTGTTTTAACAGACTTTTTAAATCTTTTTTAACGTCTTTTGCCATCCTTACTGTAGTACAACATTAACCTGAATTCTAATGTATGTTTTATACTTGAACATATAAATATCAGAATCCTGTTCAATATTAAATGCAGTCTTGATTCAACGCAAAATTATTTTTGGCGCTGCTGCCCCAAATATTTGAATGCAATGCGAACAGAAACGCTAAATATAAAATTATAATAAAGTTTTAAAATACAAACAGGAGATTCAAATTGAAACGTTGCCAAAATCTGTTGCACCATAAATACTTACTTTATAAATACTTACTTAATAAATTTTTCTGTGCTTCGACCAATATTGATGGTACTATGAAAAATAACACATCTTTCATCAATTCCTTCCCCCGACTATCCACCTTTTTTTTCTGAATCAATTCTGTGCTTGTGATGTTAAGAAGAGTATTTTATCTATAACTTCAAATACAGTCGGCAGTGACTGTCTTTCCCGTAAAATGATCCTTCCTGTCCTTGATTTCCTTCTTCCTACTGTATGTCATATTTTAAATGCCTCGATCACCATGGGCATATTCCCATGTTCCTGGAAAGATGCAAAAATAATTCCTTTACCTAAAAACACAACCCTTCGACCTTTTCCGATTTTCGTCCAATATCCATATTACCATTCCTATCCAAAGTCCTCGAACGCCTAGTACATAGTCAGCTCAGCACTTTCCTTAACAGTAACTCCATTTTAAACCCTTTACAATCTGCATTTCGACCTGGCCACAGCGCGGTAACAGCCTTGGTTAACATCACAGAGGATATAAGAACAGGAATGGAAAACGGCAAGTTAACGGTCCTTGCCTTGCTCGATTTCAATAACACCTTTAATACGGTTGACTTTGAGGTTTTGGATGGAATACTCAGGTGTC